TGCCCTCGGTAATGGCGTGGATCAAGGTTATCTAGATATAGATTTAATCAAGGTGCGCAACCTTTTGTCTACCCAATTAGAAATATATCGTTCAATCTCTATGTCATATTTGAAATATAAGTAGATGTCATAGCACAACTTTTATGTCAATGACACATCGAAAAATCCCATAGTTTTGATAGACCATCAGATTCTGTGACAAAAACATCCCGATTAAAGAACTTAAAACAATCACCATGGCAGAGGCACAAAGGCTCTTTTAGTTATTAAGCCTCTATTTTATGGAATAATCTACCATTTAGTTTAAGATGTTGTACATCTCTATATTCTTTTAAAAAAACAACTTAAAACACATTTATTTAATCAGGCTTTTAACTGACTCTGTATACAACTGTTAACAAGTCCATAATCTTGTTGTTTATTTATGATTATATTGTCACTTTGTAAAGTGCCCCTGAACATGTTATATGAAAGGGCGCACTATAAATATGCTGTAATAATTTGTGAGAAGGTCTGAACTTGAAGCTCTGATATTCTGTACTTTACGCCATTATGTTTAATTAAACACCAAGAGTATTCTGTACGCTTATGTATGTCAGGCAGTCAAAATCATTACATAAACAACATATCCTACAGTTCGAACCTCTTCAATAAAAACACATACGGATGTCGGAAAGTTGAACAGTCTTCGTCAAATATAAAAGTTCTCATTTTGAGAGGGCTGTTGTGGTCCAAAGAACATACTCCATTAAGTTTTTATAAAATATGTGCGTCTAAAAGGTTAATATTTGGAATTTTTCAGAGAGTTTTAACCAATTCTGCTAATCTTATTAAGGAATTGGTATGTACATGTAATTTAGCATTTTTATATATTTTCATTAACACCCCTGGCCGTCCTTGTCACGTACAACTGGGGAATCGAAACCACACCAGTTGACTCAATGACAAACATGATACAACGCGCACGCGCTAACCATTCGGCAACCCCCCCACCCCACACTAAAACGTATTCAAATGGATTATCCAATTAAGAAAACAAAACCGAAACATCAACTGTAGAGACTCCCCTGGCATGGATTCCGTCGAATTTAAAAGAGGCCCATTAACACATAAGGGATTTCGGAAGGTTGGGAAATATTTATTTCATGATATCTGTGTAAATATTGAACATGATTTAATCATTTTTGAGGTGATATTCGTCAGGTATATAAATAGATCAATCTGATAGAAAGCACTCGGTGACTGACAATTATCAAGGCCTCCATCATTTCTACCTGGTTTTTGTGGCTTTGTTTTTTTTTTAAATATTGATTAAAAAAACAGAAAACATTAAACTGGAAAATCGAGGCTTCGTGTTTATTATTGTAGCAATGACAATTGAGACTACGCTATTCTTGTCAAAACTTGAAACATTCGTAATTTTGCTCATAGTAAAGTAATTTGACTGAAATTTACAATTCAGTTTTCATTATCTATTTTTATAACGAGAACGACCTACTCTTTATCTAAATCTTATTGTGATTAGTGATATTATTTGCCAATACTATGACGAATCAAGGCTATTTAATTAGAAGTTTCTTTGTTAATTTTCTATCAAAAGATCACTGAAAATGGAATATTTGAAATCAGACAAGTTTTAAATTCTACTGATGGTTTTACCGCTGCCTTGGCTATGGTGTTTACTAATGGCACAGACATCAGATTATCTACAGATCAATTTGGTAAGCTCAAAAGTAGGCCTACTTCTTATCCATGTAGAGAGGTAGAGAAACGGGGTTTAACGTCCGATCGACACCAACTAGGTCATTTCGGGACTGACATGGGGTCCTTAGCAGTAGGAGGATGCCGGAGGACCCGGAGAAAACCCACGAAGTTGGACAGGCGACCCTACTCCTTGTCACGTACAACCGGGGAATCGAAACCACGTCAGTTGACTCAATGACAGACCTTATGATACAGTGCTCACGTGCTAACCATTTGGTCATCCTAGCCCAGTAGGACGTTAAACCCTATTTCATTTTATTTTCAATTCTGCTCTAAAAATAGAACTACCCTATACAGGCAGCTGGTATATTTTTAATGACTTCGTTAACTCTCCTTATTTTTGTCTTTATCTGTCTTTTTAATCCTCTTGTTTTATAGAATTTGTTGCTGAAATTCTGGACTTGGAAGACGATTATAGTGTTACTATAAATAATTTTAATATCAATATTCCTAAATTAGGTAAGATTTCATACAAATAGATATATATTACAGGTAAACAGATATATTACATTGCATCTAATACACGCATATATAAATAGATAAACAAAAAAAAAAAAAAAACAAATATGATGCAAGTATAAAACTAATATACAGATAAATGGCGACCATTAACGGGTTTTATAAACCTAATGGATAAATGACGGGGATTATACAATCTGGTTAAAACACAGATCTTATTTCGTTTCGTTTTTTATAATTTAAAATTTCGTTTTACTTGTCTTCACAACACTAGGATCTATGAGTTGTTATATAACAGGCGTTCTAGTTGATGTGGGGAATTAGCCAATGAAACTGTCTGTTACGGTGAGATATTGGCGTGCTCTGCACGGAACTGTGGGCAAACCCCTAGAAACGTCAACGCTGATTGATTAATCAATGTCTGACGTCATAGGGTCAAAAGCTGCTCGTATGACCCCTGACGCGACAGTACAAGTGGTCAGATCTTCATGTAGTGTAGGCCATCAAAAGTATAAAAAACGAAACGAAATATAGATGTGTATTTTAATCCGATTGTGGATTAGATAAGTAATAGATAAAGATCGGGGACATACGTAGCTTGATTCAAGAATGAGAATCAATATGAAAATGAATATTCTGGAGATCTTTCTGGTTAATTAACTAGCGCCTTACTCACTGAGCCATCACGGCACTCTGTGTATAAAACACGATGTTCTTTATTTTGATAGGAACAGGCAAGAGTAGTATACTGATGTCAGTTATAAGAGACTGGACAACCGAGACAGGTATTAATGGTAAACATATACAAGCCACGCCCATCTTATCTATCAATATGCAAGGTAGTTTTCCATCAGATAGACTTCTGTACATGGATTTTATACACAATGAGACCAATGTAAGTTTCAAGAAAAATAATTTAGTACAGTCAAAATGCAATGCTTCAATAAAACTTATACACTGCCTGAGCCATCATAAATAATAAAGTGCCGAGAAACTTTTCAATAAATATGGCATGTACCCCGCTTTGTACGAAATCCATATGTGGGACGTAATAAGCTTCCATTTTGGCATTTCTGTATGGCACAAATTGTTGATGAATTCGGTCTTTCAAGAAAGATCTATTTTGTGCTTTGTACAAAAGATTTTATTTTACCGGAGCTGATTTCATACGAAAGTAAAATGAGTTAATTATTTGTGACTGGTCAGGAGAAATTACAGTTCTTTGACGAAGATAATGAAAAGAAAGGAACCGGGTCTAATGAAAATAGACATACGTCATGTCGTGTGGTAGAGGGAAATTCTACCCGGGAAACATCGTTTCCACCCACTCGTCCTGGAATTCTCAGTTGCTAGCAATTAGACTTGAAAGACAACACAAAATACTGACAAAGACGTTAACAGATCAAAGATCTAGCCATTCTTGCTATAATAGTTCGAAAATGAATAATTTAAAAATTTCATTCGAATTACTCTATTGTAAGCGAAGATATTAGCCTTTGAAGGTTTGACAGGACGTATGCAATAATTTCAACCACCGTACTGGTTGTTCGAAGCTAAGCCCCTCTCCTCCATTTTTAGCTTAAATCAAAATATGACTGAACTATTTAATATCGGAGATATCCGATGCCATCGAGAGTTGGTTGTGTCTGGATAGGTTAATTAATGTCTAAATAATAATTTAGATAACATTTCAGGCCTAAAGAAAGACTTGCAATAGACAGATTTAGCTCTTACATAATGTATGTTTAACTTGTATATGTTTTTATAAGTTTCCTTCTGATCTGTTATTTTACTTATTATGGTTAAACATACATTATGCAAGAGCTAAATCTGCCTATTGTAGATCTTTCTTTAGGCCTGAAATGTTATATAAACTTAGACATTGTAGATCTTTCTTTAGGCCTAAAATGTTATATAAACTTAGACATTGTAGATATTTCTTTAGGCCAAAAATGTTATATAAACTTAGACATTGTAGATCTTTCTTTAGGCCTAAAATGTTATATAAACTATTAAAATTAGACATTATTTAACCTATTGACATAACAAAACCATAATCAATCTCGATGTCATCGCTAGCCTAAGATATTTACTGGATTAGAATACGATCTGCTGCTCAACGATCATTGATGATTAAATCAAAGAGTGGACAATCGGGACTTTATTTTATCGTACCGACTTTAGTAATGATGATCGAGGCTAGGCCTTAAATTCAGTCGCTAAATTCTCGGTTCAGATTCGATCAATTTGAAATTTTCAGCAAATTCCTTTACATCATCTAGTTTTTAACTATTATAGTGAGAACTGCCAACTCGTTATCTAATCTCCCATAATGTATCTTTAATATATTTTAAATGGTTTCCCTATTGATTAATGGATAATTAGTCGCGCTTCGACCTCTAGCTGGCCGGTCACCTCTGGCTTGCGGCTGTGGTTTCGATCCCTGGTGTGAGCGTATGTGGCTTGGAGATAGGGGCGCCTTCTCAACCTCGTGGGTTTATTCCGGTTTCCTCCCACAGGAAAGAACCCCGCGCGTGAACTAAGATAATGAAAAAATGAAAATAAGACAACTTGTCTGCGATATCACCTTCGGTGGAAGCGGACGTTAAACACTAAGAATAATAACTATTTGCTTGAAAACGTTGAGAGAACGCTCAACGCAACGTCGCTTTAATTAAAATAGTAATTGTTTTCCATATTATGTTTCTGTGTTTATTACGTATGTCAATTATTGCTAAATGCTGCCTAAGAGAGGATTAAAAATAGTATTGGCCAGGAAGAACGAAGATACACGAAGAGCAGTTTTGTTTCAGAAGGAATTACTCCATAAATTAACACATTAATTTACAAAAGATTATTTCGTTTCAGGAATATAGGGTACCAATATGCGTCTACATGGACAAGGATTCAGACAAGTAAATATATCATTTATTACAAATAGGATCACCTTCGTCATATAACTACACAGAGAGAGGGAAAGAGAGAAATGGGGTTTAACGTCCACTTGGCATAGATCATTTGTCAGGCTTTTAACTGACTCTGTATAAAATCGTTAACATGCCCATAATCTTGTTGTTTATGTGTGATTTACATTGTCACTTTGTAAAGTGCCCCTGAACATGTTATATGAAAGGGTGCACTATAAATATGCTGTAATAATAATAATAATAATAATTTGGGGGCTGACATGGTTCAATTTTATTTCAATAATTCTCTTGCGCGTGGGGGGGGGGGGGGGGGGTGGTGGATGGCCGAATGGTTAGCACGTGCTCGCTGTATCATAAGGTCTGTCATTGAGTCAACTGGCGTGGTTTCGATTCCCCGGTTGTACGTGACAAGGAGTAGGGTTGCCTGTCCAACCTCGTGGGTTTTCTCCGGGTCCGCCGGTCCCTCCCTCTGCTTAAGACCCCTACGCGCAAGCGATTTGTTGAAATAAAATTGAACCATATGTTAGTCCCGAAATGACCTAGGGTTTTTTCGCAGTGGGAGGAAACCGGGGCACCCTAAGAAAACCCACGAGGTTGGACACTTGACTGCCACTAGAAAAGAGAAAACGAAAAAATATATAAAAAGTCCTTGCATTACCATGTTTTTATTGAGTAAAGAATAAATAAACACACGTGAATGTACGGACTATTTCGATTTTTGTCGTGTTCTCTTGTCTAATGACATTCAATTACTTTTTTGAATTGTCAGATATCCTCGCACAGTCTCACATAACAACTTTTGGTCTTCGAAGGAATTGTAAGTGAGCAGAAATTCTCCTGTGTATCTGTTATCACTCGTCACTTCAGTCAGTTATATAGAAGGATAACTCGTGTTTTCCTTTTTGTGTTCGTCACTTCCTTTTGTAGAAACCTGCATTACGCATCAATCGTAGCACTGATCTCTGTGTTAATATTATATTTGAAACATGTTTAACCAGTTCTATCACACTTGTGATAATGACTGACACCAATATTGTTCTTTAAAGTTATGGGGTTGATTACAACATGGTGAGATTCATGTTCTGAGGTATAAAAGTATTTTTGTTTTACAGTCTGGACTGGTTAATCGATGGTATGAAAACTTTACCTTTAAATAAAACAGCAACTAGATGTTTTTCCAACCATTTTACTAATTTTGCTGTGTTGATGCAGATTAGCGCCCTAGAGGTATGAATTGATATCATTTACTGTTCAACCTACACTTCAATTGATTTTAATTATTTTATACTCGAACATCAGGTCTATTAAATATCAAAGATTCGCCGTCTTATCCTCGAGTTTGTTTTAGATCATAGACTTAAGTTTTTTTCTGTTAATAAGCGAATATCACGTCTTCAGAAGAATTATTACTCTCACAAAGAAAATCAAGGTAATTAATTTTGAATATAATATCAAATTTATAATAGAATGGCCTGCTATGTATAGTTTAACGGTCGAGAGCGGGACATTGAGTCATATATTATTGAAACTACACGAGTGGCGTCAGTCCCGGGTGTTGTTTAATATATTACGCAATGTCTAAAGCTCGAGACCATTAAACAACTTAAAATACAGACACCCGCACGTGCTTTATAATGATATACGTCACGTCGGTCCAAAATTTCATCTAGTATAAATAATACGCTTGGCGCATTGCCCGTACCATTATTTGAAATAATGGCATGCTTACATCAAAGGATGACGCCACATGTGTATTTTAAGGCCTATTAATAGATCGGGCATTTTAACGGGTTTTGAAAACTAGTTTCGTAAATTGAACGTTATCACATGAATTAGGCTGAAAGGTTCCAAGTCTGAAAAGGAGTAGATCAGTGTGGTTAAAACAAACTATGAAATACAATATTTTATTGTTCCACATTTTCTAGATCTCTGGCAGTGATCGTAAAGCCTTGGACTACCTATCTATATTTGGTTGCTGTGTCTCCATAACTTGTCTGTTTATAAGTTTTGTTTTACTAGTACTTTCTAGGTAAGTCTCGATTCTTGAGTCTAAAATTCATAATTGAAAGGTTGGCAAACTCTTGTGTCGCCATGCCGGTCCGCCAGTCCGTTCAGCACTTCTTTTGAGTACTCGGTGAATCCAGTTCCAGGCAGGTGTTGGTTCTTTTTTTTTTCAAATTTTGAGAGGTTGAAATAGGGTTTAACGTCCACTCGACCAAAACTAGGTCATTTCGGAACTAACATATGGTTCAATTTTATTTCAATAATTCGCTTGCGCGTAGGGGTTTTTAGCAGTGGGAGGAAACCGGAGGACCCGGAAAAACCCACGAGGATGGACAGGCGACCCTACTGCTGGTCACGTCCAACCGGGAAATCGAAACCACGCCGGTTGACTCAATGACAGACCTTATGATACACGCGCTAACCACTCGGCCATCCACCCCCTTACTTTGAAACAAACATGTTTAAGGACAAAGTTACTATGTGAAATGTGAATTATTTTTTGTATTATTTGAAGGTTACAGACAGATAATGTGTTTGTATTAAAGTTACTTTGTGAAATGTGAATTATATTATTTTTTTGTTTATTATTTGAAGGTTACAGACAGATAAAGTGTTTGTTTTAAAGAATATGGTATTTATGATGTTTTGGGCACAGATATTATTTTTAACTGGAGTTGACAAGACACATCTTCCTGTAAGTGAATCACAGGTTACTACAAGTGTAAGATAGTAAATATGAGAAGTTGCACACACATCATCTGATCTCGAGAAATAGAAGATTTTCCATTAAAGTTTCAAATTTAAGTTAACCACCAGCTAAATAGCTACTAAGTTGGATGGGTCTACTTGGGACCTTTTGTACCGAGCCTATCCAATGCCCTGTGACCCTTGGCTTCTGACATTTTGCTGCACAGTCACCGTTGTCATACATTAAGCGAGAATGCTCAGTCTTTTTGGAAAACATGAAACCAATCCGTGACTTCTTATTTGGGCAGTTCAAGCTAAAAAAAAAGTTTTTCATACCCCTACTCTTATTTCGAATTTCAACTGTCGGGAGTTCTTGTACCTCGGGTTTACGTTCCATCCGAACGACTATACATTTTTTCTTGTCAGACCCTCCTTTAATTTTTCACCACTGACAAGGGAAGCCACTCATTCGGCCAACACCGTGATAGAACACGGGTCCTCGCGGTTAGCGAGCCAACGTCTTACTCACTGAGCCACCGTGACCCCTGGGTTATTATTATAAAGAGAGAGACAGATCAGAGAGAGAGAGAGATAGAGAGAGAGAGAGAAAGAGAGAGAGAGAGAAAGAGAGAGAGAGATTGGATTTAACGTCCACTCGACACAAACTAGGTCAGTTCGAGACTAACATGGTTCAATTTTATTTCAATAATTCGCGTGCGCGTGGGTGTCTTTAGCAGTGGGAGAAAACCGGAGGACCCGGAGGAAACCCACGAGGTTGGACAGGTGACCCTACTCCTTGTCACGTACAACACGCCAGTTGACTCAATGACAGACCTTATGATACAACGCTCCCCCCCCCCCCCCGTGGGTTATTATAATATTGTTTTGTTTATTACAGGTGGTTTGTAAGGTAATAGCTGCTTTATTACACTACCTTTTTCTCACCGTCATCATGTGGATGTTTAGTCAAGGGATACAACTCTACATAAAAGTTTCGTATATTACGTCACAGGCCAGCCATTGGATAGAGTATACATTAATCTCGTATGTTATACCTGCTGTGATTGTAGCTATTTCATTGATAAAGTCTCACAGAAATTATGGTTACGCTAAATAGTAAGAAACATTCTTATTTTGTTTTTAATAAAGGGGCCATCCCAATTTGAGTCTCAAAAATAAAAGTCTGTGTCTGTATAGAATTTAAGCGCCAAGATATAGAGAAAGGTGTATTTACCTTGTCTCAAAACATTGAGTCGTTTGGACGTCAACGTCAAAACCGCTTATCCGGACACGTAACCCTGTTAAGATTTCGGGTCAGTTTTTTCGTTGGGTGACCTGATAATCTATTGCCTTTCCTTTCGAGGTCTATACAGTGCTTGTCCACGTGGTGTACTTGATAAAGAAAGATAAATTTCACCTACACGTTATTTTTATAAAATAAAAATCTGGTTTTATCCAGACACCGTATAATACAGCTTGGGACACCGGTCTCCATTTCCAGATGAAGACTGGCGGTTGGTTGCTCAGCCCTAAGGTAGATGATTTTAAGGGCTTTTAACACAAAATTAAGCAGTTTTATTCTCCAAAATATAATCGAGATTGGCCCTTTAACTAAATACCCCATAATACCCCATTTAAATTAGAAAAAAAAATCTCAAGGGCATCATTATCAAAGTCAATATCTCACTTTTCACAGACCGAAATATGACTGAAATTAAATAATTATTATTACCATTATCACATTACAACTTTTGACCAACATCAATTTGAGAGAGAGAGAGAGAAATGGGGTTTAACGTCCACTCGACACAAACTAGGTCATTTCGGGACTAACATATGGTTTAATTTTATTTACATAATTCGCTTGCGCGTAGAGGTCTTTAGCAGTAGGAGGAAACCGGAGGACCCGGAGAAAACCCACGAGGTTGGACAGGCGACCCTACTCCTTGTCACGTACAACCGGGGATTCGAAACCACGCCAGTCGACTCAATGAAAGACTTTATGATACAGCGCGCGCACGCTAACCATTCGACCATCCAACCCCCCAACTTCAATTTGACTTCCATCTTAAGCCCCTACCTGCCAAAATAAAGGTTATTGTTTAAGTTTAGGACCTTTATACCATATTAAACTCCTACCTGTCAGAAGAAAGGGTATTGTTTGAATTTAGGACCATTATGCAATCAAAGGTGCTTAAAATTTAAAAACATTTTGGACCAAAAATTACTCAGATCTCTAAAGTTATTTTAAGTTTACGTTGGTTTGTACAAGCCAGCGAATTCTTCATCAAAAACTGTTTCATAGTCAAAGATTTTGTTTTATGTAAAAAAAAAAAAAAATCAGTCGTTACATTAAACTGGTGCATTATTTGACTGTGTCATCAATATAAAAATACGGGGATGTTTTTTCTTTTAACCATTGTGGTATTTTGGGACCCCGCAACCATATCCTTAACCTTTGTGGGGAACTGGTCCATAATTGTCTAGAGAGAATTTTATACATTGTCAGCTACTTAATTTCGAGTATAATGCTGATGGTTACAAGTGCCTAATCTATTCTGGGATCGGTGCTAGCTTTGTATTTGGAATATTTCATACTGATGATGTTGTGTTGATCATTCTAGTAATCTAGATCTGAAAACAAATCCTGGTACTCTACCAACCACGTCAAAAGACATGTAAACTAATGACAATTAAGTTATTTTCAGATTTTTATGGTTTCAAAAACTCCTTATAATTCATATCATCACTGTTAATACCTCAAATATTTTTTTTTCACTCTGATTGATTATTATTCAGTCTTTATATGAAGCTGTAGTTTGATCGTATTTGAATAAAATTATGCATCCAAAAACCTATTTATTTATGGGGTCGTATATTACTCCTTGTTGCCGAGAATGTTTTTCTTGCGACGTGTCCAGGGTTAAATGACATATGTTATAATATAATATATTTTTCTTGCAGTTGTTGGTTAGCACCCAGTGAAGGACTAATGTTTGCTTTTGTTGGACCTGCACTGTTTGTTATAATTGTAAGTATAGAAACACGTTAGTCAATGGTTTTAAAATATTAATAGGGCAAAATTCTACCAGTACGACAATCATTCCTATATATAATTGCATACAGATACATGTCAGACTACAGGGACGGATCTACCAAGCCCAGTAAGACAGACCACCGGGACGGATCTACCATGACCAAGACGACAGATCACAGGGACGGATCTGCCATGACCAAGACGACAGATCACAGGGACGGATCTGCCATGACCAATACGACAACCATTCCTATATAATTGTACACAGATACCCGACAGACTACTACAGGAACGGATTTACTATAAAACTAATGAAGCTTTCGTTTAGGGTCCCAGATCCTGGAGTTGTCCCAGAAACGACCCAAGTCCACGTTTTAAAACATTTTAGGTCTACATAAACCAGGGAAGCTTAAGAGTGAATGGATACTGTAGAGCTATGTGTCCCGGTAATATACTGGGTAGAATTGAGACTCAGGGAAGATTAGGAATGAATAGGCTCTGTAGAGCTATGTGTCCCGGTGATATTCTAGATAGAATTGAGACTCAGGGAAGATTAGGAATGAATAGGCTATGTAGAGCTATGTGTTCCGGTGATATTCTAGATAGAATTGAGACTCAGGGAAGATTAGGAATGAATAGGCTCTGTAGAGCTATGTGTCCCGGTAATATACTGGGTAGAATTGAGACTCAGGGAAGATTAGGAATGAATAGGTTCTGTAGAGCTATGCGTCCCGGTGATATTCTAGATAGAATTGAGACTCTGGAAATTAGTAATTGAATTCCACATGTTCAAAACCAACAACACTGGAGAAGATAACACCCAGCTTCAGGGGTCCCAGTAATCCCCCCCCCCCACTGTCAGGCTATGTTAAAATTTATTAACAGTAGATGCAGCGTTGTATTTTTCATCTCGGCATCAGGGAAAATCCTGTATAATTAAACGATAACTAAAACTAACCATATCATTTTCTTGTATAGGTGAATTTGTTGGTACTAATTCGAGTTCTGAAGACTTTCAACTCTGTACAAATTAATGCTAGAAAAAGTGATCAAGATAAATTCAAGTAAGTAATATTATTTTAATATGTTTGATGCCTTTAAAACCTTGTCGAATTATTCATCGTCGCCTGTAACGAGGGATAATATTAAACGTTATCACTGTTTGAAGGTAACAGATGTGGCATAGGCTGCTATAGGTTGTTTTAAGAAAGTTTTGGTTCTGTGGCACATGCTAGAATTGATTTCATGTATATCTGAGCAATGACAGTTTTTCCAGCTGTTAAAGATCACTACGCGCAAGCGAATTATTGAAATAAAATTAAACCATATTTTAGTCCCGAAATGACCTAGTTTGTGTTGAGTGGACTCTCTCTCTCTCTCCCTCTCTTTCTATCTCTCTCTCATTTCTATAATTCGCTTGCGCGAAAGGGTCTTTAGTAGTGGGAGGAAACCGGAGGACCTGGAGAAAACCCACCAACTTGGACAGGCGACTCTACTCCGTTTCACGTACGACCGTGGAATTGAAACCACGCCAATTGACTCAATGACAGACCTAATGATACAACGCGTACGCGCTAACCATTCACCCCCCCCCCCATGATATCAATAGATATGATAAACAAAGGTGAGAAATCCTTCCTGGTATCTAGTATTTCTGTGATTCCGAATTCTGTCTGTATGAAATCATTACACAAATCACATGATTGTGGTGGCAATTATACAAACAATTGACAGTTATATTAGGCCGTTTGTTTTTATCAAGGGCAAGTGTAAGGGCGTGTTTTGTTCTGCTACCATTATTAGGAACATCCTGGATACTTGGAGTGTTTGCTCTAGATAATACCAATACAGTTTTCTTTCAATACCTGTTCGTTCTCCTCAATATGTTAAAGGTAAGTTGTTTTGTTTTTCTTTTCTTTTGGAACAAAGTTTCAAAAGTCTTGTTTAGAAAACGAGGTTTGTTTATATGTTACAGTATTGTGTCTTTATATCAGGTTCTTGATTACAAAACTTGTTTAACATCTTATATAATACTTTTATTCTTCTTCTAACATATTAAAACCTAAGACTCCGTAATTAGCTTGTGTTGAGAGAGCCATGTCCTAGCTTGGCTAGGCACGAGTGTGCCAACTCCCAACTAACTTACATTACATGGCCGTTGTCCGCTCTTAACTCCAGACCTGCGTGGCCTGGAGTTAATTTCTAGACGCCCTCGCCTAGCCTCCAACTCTCGTGTCCTGGCCGGACCTGACTGTCGATTCGTTTGTTATCTGGGTTTATAAACCCTTCCAAACAAAGGATCTTATTAGGCATCTGGCTAATGTATCATATATCATATCAGGTTTAACATTCGATACATGCTAATCAGACACAGAAAGTTTAAATAAAACATGCCAGCAAGTTAAGGTTACATAATCGTTACATGATCACATAGACCAAGAACTCCAGGGATGTCGATAGCGAACAGGTGTCAAGTTGGCAGGAAGCGTCTATAACATCAGATAATCTGTGATTATGTAACACTTGGTTGGTTTCTTTTATACACTAACAATGCAATCTGATTAGAATACAAGGCCCTGTTTCTCGAAATCTTATCTAAAGTTAAGATCCAGATTTTAGTAAATACTTCAATTTTGATTGGCTAGGCACTAAAATCAATCTAATATTATCCAATCAAATTACTAAAATTTGGATTTCATCTTAGTTAAAAGTTCGTGAAACAGGCCCCTGATCAATATGTCGTATTGTTTTTTTATACTTTCAATGGCCTCTAGTAGATCAAGATCTGTGGTCGGTTGTAATGGCAGGTCGCGTCCGGAGTCATACGAGGGACTTTTGACTCTATGACGTAAGACATTTGATTAATCAATCAGCGTTGATGTTTCTAGTTCGTGCATTGTAAGCCAAGAACTCGCCGTAACAGACCATTTGATTGGCTAATCCCTCACGTCAACCAGAACGCGGTTTATATAACAACTTTCCCAGATATTAGTGTAGCAAATACAAGAAAAACGAAATTTTGAACTATAAAAAACGAAACGAAATAGGATCTGTGTTTTGATCAGATTGGGTTATCACTTGCAGTGTTATGTGATACATAACGTTGTTATCCATGGAATTATTTTACATGGTTTTATAGCTATGGGATGGGGGTCAGTGTTTGATGGGTGGGGACTGCCATATTGTTTTTATGATCTGGTATTCTCCATGTTTTTTTTCTTCCTCAGGGAATCCTGGTACTGGTGTTTCATGTTCTGCTCAATGATGATGTAAGTTGATAATTTTAATAATATTTTGATTGATTGAAACACCCATAAACTATCAATATTCTACCCAAATACATTCGAGAAAACCATAAAGGATATGATCAACCTACGTGTTTTTCAAAAATAGATAGAAAATCATATCATCTATTAGAATCAACTATTAAAAACTCTTTTGTCGGTTATTATAAAGTTAAAGATTGCGTTTATCACGTCAATGGCGGATCTTCTTTAAAGGTGCAGGGGGGGGGGGTGGATGGCCGAATGGTTAGCACGTGCGTGCTGTATCATACGGCCTGTCATTGAGTCAACTGGCGTGGTTTCGAATCCCCGGTTGTACGTGACCAGGAGTGGGGTCGCCTGTCCAACCTCGTGGGTTTTTCCGGGTCCTCCGGTTTCCTCCCACTGCTAAAGACCCCTACGCGCAAGCGAATTATTGAAATAAAATTAAACCATGTGTTAGTCCCGAAATGACCTAGTTTGTGTCGAGTGGACGTTAAACCCCATTTCTCTCTCTCTCTTTAAAGGTGCGTCATGTAATTATAAGAGCTGACCGGGCTTGCTATAATAATTTAAAAATGAATAATAAAAATCGAATATATTGAAAATTTCAGTCACATTATCTTAGTATACAGTTTGATCGGTGGGGGCCTGATAATTAACTATTAATCACGGGAGTACGACAAGATGGTGTCATTCAACAATGGCCGTTAAATGGGCGATGTTTTGTTAAATTTATAAGTTGTTAAGTTGATTAAAGAGATGAAACAATAGAATTTTTACAGGGAGGAATTTATCGTCGCTGAGTAGGAGTGGCTGGTCGTAAGAGTCTACTGTAGACGATGTTGATTATTTCTATTTTTATATCCTATTCAGGTTACCAGTGTAGTGTTTAAGAAGTATGGATGTCGTCCACGTGGTAAAGTTATCCACATCTCAGATAAACCAGGTACCAAGTCGTCCGGGTTGTCGCCAGTAGATGGCACTCATAAAACCACTCGAGATAGATATAGTTTATTTTTGGTGGTAAGTTTTACTTCAGATTATTATTCATGGGGTGTGGTATGGTCCCTTTAAAGGTGTGAAGGTCTAGGACTAAGTTTTACTTCAATTCATGGGGTGTGGTATGGTCCCTTTAAAGGTGGGAAGGTCTAGGACTAAGTTTTACTTCAGATTGTTATTCATGGGGTGTGGTATGGTCCCTTTAAAGGTGGGAAGGTCTAGGACTAAGTTTTACTTCAAGTTACTATTCATGCGGTGTGGTATGGTCCCTTTAAAGGTGTGAAGGTCTAGGACTAAGTTTTACTTCAATTCATGGGGTGTGGTATGGTCCCTTTAAAGGTGCGAAGGTCTAGGACTAAGTTTTACTTCAAGTTACTATTCATGGGGTGTGGTATGGTCCCTTTAAAGGTGTGATGATCTAGGCCTATAATTGTATTGGGGGGTTGGATGGCGGAATGGTTAGCGCGTGCGCGTTGTACCACAAGGTCTGTCATTGAGTCAACTAGCGTGATTTCCATTCCGCGGTTGTACGTGATAAGAGGTAGGGTCGCCTGTCCATCTTCGTGGGTTTTCTCCCGGTCCTCCCACTGTTAAAGACCCCCTACGTGCAAGCAAATTATTGAAATAAAATTGAACCATGTGTTTGTCCCGAAATGACCTAGTTTGTGTCGAGTGCACTTAAAGCCCATCTCCCTCAGGGTATGTGATAACTGTATGGTCGACCTATTTAATGACGCCCAAATAAATGAAATAAAATGGAGATTTAACGTCCTACCGATCTGCACCGACCGGGCTAAAGAATACAGACAGGTGCCATATAGTGTGATATGTGGGAAATTGTGCCCGGACAATTGCGCTACGGCCTACTCTGATTTTGAATTTTAACTGTCATTGGTTCTTTTATGTGCACGCCAATGTGTACATGGGACCTCGGGTTTTCGTCCCTTCCGAACGACTAGACGCTGTTACTTGTCACGCCCTCTGTCACAAATGACAAGGTGAAACCACGCCGCCAAATCCCGAAGAACTTTCTCGGCCAACACAGGGATCGAACTTGGTATCTCCAGATTATCGAAACAACGCCTTACTCACGGATCCACCGCGGATTCCAAGCCCAAATAAACATCCATATAGCCTATATTGTTTCAAAACTTAAAATTGTGAACTGAACCCGTTTGAGAAGAACAAAGTTATTTTCAGTTATGTTTTCGTTTTATTTTCAGAAATCATTCCAAAAAACCAAACTATCAAAAAGTGACAACTTACAGCCGAGAACATCATCAAAATAATAGATTGACTATTGGGCATCTTACTTGGTGCCGAGAACAGATTTAGGCTTTAAATGTTCCAGATAATGGCAAATGGTTAACATAAATCAGTTTATTGGAGCCAATAATAAAACGGTTTAACGATCAATAAAGTATTTGTTTCGTTGTTTTATTATGCGCCCACATTTTCATGTGGACGTATATTGTCGTCGCCCTGTCCGTCCGTCCATCCCGAATTGTGAACAGTCTACAGGTCACAATTTTTATCCGATTTCAATGAAACTTGAAATATAGGTTTATCACCCTAAGATCTAGGTTCCTTTCGATATTGGCATGTATCGGACTGTAACTTCATCGATTATGGCCAATGATTGTACGAAAAATCACGTATTTAGCTTGTGAAAACTGTAGGGGTCACAATTTTTATCCGATTTGGTTTAAACTTGAAATGTATGCTTATAACCCAAAGATCTCAGTTCCTTTCGATATTCGCGCATATCGAAACGTAACTTCCTGAATTATGGCCCCTGATTGTACAAAAATCGCGTTTTTAGCTTGTGGACCCTATAGAGGTCATAATTTTTTTCCGATTTAAAAAAGCGTATTCTTATATCGCCGTTAAACCCTAAGGACGGCTGAGTTCGAATTTCGTGAAAATCGGCCCAAAACTGACAGACAAAATGGCCGCCGTTCGTTCTCAAAAATATGGTATATCAAGGTTGTGGACCCTATAGAGGTCACAATTTTTATCCGATTTTGTTGAAACTTGAAATGTAAGTTTATAACCCAAAAATCTCGGGTCCTTTCGATATTCGCGCATATCGGACCGTAACTTCCTGAATTATGGCCCTTGATTGTAGGAAAAATCACTTTCTTTTTAGCTTGTTCTCTATCCATCTCTCGAAATTGTTGGCGTATCCCGCTGGTTTATCTGGCAGGAGGCCCAACTTCTAGAGGGTCCATATCCTTGGTATATGTATTGTATGCTTTGCCACTATTTGCTTAAAGGGGTGGGGCCATTTTGACGGTGGTGTCGGTACGAAAATCGAAAACATTCGCGATGGTTGTATAATGCACATATATTTGAACATTATTTAAACTGTGCAATCGAGGGCAGTTATCCATGATGTTACAATACGATCCGTGCCAAAATTGAATCCACCCGTGATATTTGGAATATAAACCTATATTCTAATTTAAGTTTGTTCCCCACCCCCTCTGTATCCGTCCCTGGACACTCCTTCATATACCGGGAGATTTTATTAGTCAACCGGTCGTTATTCACAATAGAAACTATGAACTCAAGTCTCCTTTACACTCCATTTGTACAGACGTTCAGGCTGACCAGGTTGCTACTTATAAGGGTATTTTTGAAATTGTTCATGTCCAAAAAATAAATTATAATATTAATGGCGCCCTTGAGTAGGATGAGTGACTGCTACAGAGCAGACATTACCAAAACTTTTAACAAATTCTTATATTGGTCCCAAATTCGAAATGAAATGGGGTTTAACGCCCTACTGTTCTGCTCCTATACTAGGCTAATGAAGACGGGCATACCTTATACAGTGTGCAATGAGGGAAATTTTACCCAGGTAGGGGCACTATGGTCTACTCTTATATCAAATTTCAACTGCCAAGGGATCTTTTACGTGCACGCCAATGTATACACGAGGCCTTGGTTTTTCATCCCATCCCAACGACTAGACAGCTGTCCTTGTCCGACCCTCCGTCTTGCACCACTGACAAGTGGAAACCATGTTGGAAAAGCTCCCCATATCAATTGATCGATACATACAAGACAAATTAATTAAAGATACTGTACATTTTAATGTCATTTTCTTTACAAGCATTCAATGGTCAGAGGAAATTCAACACATGAGATTATCCTGCTATGTGTACATGAACATATTAATAATTTATTGTATATTTTTTACCTACATGTGGATCAAACACTGACCACTATCATACAGGATATAAGAAACTTAACACGAGATAACAGCTAAAAATTCCTAGACTAAAATAAATATTCATCTGGACACTGGTAAATCTATTTACAAACATTGTCTTTGTTCATAAAAAAAACAAAACAAAGCCGTTTTATTTAAAATATGAAATAATGCAACACATATTAGGCAGGTGGGAAGGGGGAATATATGACAGGGGACGTAACTCTTATCACTTTGGAACAGTGACAGACTTTCGCAAATTTATGTGAACTATTTCTTTGGAAATTTTAATAAGTGAAATTAAATCAGAGTTTGGGTTTGTTTTTTTTTCCTAAAATTTGAATAGGTGTAGATTTATTAAGAATTTGTTTTAATTTAATCCAAGTCTGTTTGTTTATTATGAAGCTATAAACAATGGATAAATGCAACTTTTTACACGTTCAAACAATTTACACATTACAAGACTGCCATTTAAAAATTCATAACTCAAAATTCATAACTCTGATTAGAATAGCAGACATACTGGTAAAAACACTATTTTACATAATATCCATTTTTTATTAGATGTAACAAAATCTACAAAAAAGAAAAAAAAAAAAAAAAAATTTTGAAAGAAAACAAAAAATTAACAAAAATACTATATTACACACAAAATGGTCTCTAAAATCTCAAAACAATTTCCCCCATATGAAATGTAGACAACAAAAATACACAAAATTTGAACCACCATTTTTAATGAGATGTACTGCTTTTTGTTAAGCTCTGTCAACGACATAATTATTATTCTGCACCAAGTTACCAAGACAAAATATAAGGTATAAGCTTACTAATGTCAGTGTGTTAGTTTTTTTTTTTTTAAATTTAATTGTTCTAAAACCTTGGGTAAAATAAATCTAAGGTATGTAAAATCAAATGTCAATATTTTACCTTCATAGTAAAAGACGTAGTGTATAGATTCAAAATTTAATGTCCTTGTTTTATCCAATTGATAAATTTCATTGTTGTGTCAGTCAATGGCGAGATCAAGTCAGAAATATATATCAACTGTCAGTGAAACAAGACAAAAACAGATACCGTTACATTTACAGTTGTATAACATTTAAACCGTAGACAGCTAGGGTCTATAACTGAGTTTTATTATATTCTGATACACAGCTAACGAATGGGCCGAAGCCTTCAAATATTTAAAAAGTTTTTGTAACATTGAAAACACGAGATCTAACTATCAAACTGTAATTTCTGCTTCATCAAACATCAAATCATAGTCAACATTAAAGTGAAGATATGCCATTCTTATTTGTCGCTAAAATATCAAATTTCTCACTGCTTAATACAGGCTCGCCAATATGTCACCACGGATTCTTTAACATTTAATTAAGAAAATAAAAGTGAAATACCAACGCTAGATATTAACCTGGCTTGGATTCAGTCGGATTTACAACAGGCCTATCATGAATGTTTGCATAGCGAGCAGCACAGAATAATGAAATTTCAATTCAACATATATTTGTAAGTACTAACTGGAACTGAACCAGTTTTGGACTGACATTCCATTTAACGATTCATCTTTTACAATATTGTAGTTCGCAAGTAATTTCTATTGCTTAAAATGGCACATCAGGACTATTAACTGGTTCTTGAAAATTAATCAAAATAAAACATTAATGTCAACTTAAATCTGTCATAAGGCCTACCTCATTAACACTCAGTTTCAAACATTCTAACAATTTTCCATTTTGAATATTGGTTTCAGCGATGTATCATATTAATTTCGACTTTACAAATTATTGTTTTACTCATTTGTCAACCAATGTTATAAGATCTTTTATAAAATTTCTATTCTGAAACTAATTAAGCTACAATTAATTGAAGTACCATCGGATATTTAGTACTTCAAACTGAAGGCAAGATGAGTTAAAATTCATCTGTATTCGTAGTGTAAAATGCAGTTCACAAAAAGAGGCATTCAATATTTCGGACACAACATACTCTCACCAACTTTTGTGTACCTTACTTTACACACTGTTAATCCTAACGAGCGATGAACCTAGATTATTTAAATGAATATAGTACATGTATTTACATAATATATATAGTAGTAGTATTATTATATCAAGATTCAATGACGTCTCTATCATTATAAAAACATGACTAGTCCTAGCAACTAACCCAATCTTTTATATCAGTTCCTAATTGATAAAAGACCGATTTTCTCGAAGATAGTATGGCAAATTTTATAACCGTTTTATTTTATTACAGAAGAATAAAAATATGATCGATGATTAAGAATTCATTCCAATTTTTAGTAAATTTCTAAACCAGTTTTAAGCCGATTATTTCAAGGACAAATACCTTTTTTTTTTTCAATATTAAATATAATAAATAGAAAAAGAACAAAAATTTTCATAAATAATTTACATTTTTTATAATAATTTTAATATTAATTTGTTGAGTTATTTTAAGTTGGTAAGAGAAAGAAGAATTAAAATATGATGAAAATAATGATGAGAATAATTCATGCAAAAATAACTTGACCTATTATCACAGCATGTTCAATCTGGTTAAAATACAGATCTATCTTTCGTTTTGTTTTTTTATACTTTCGATGGCCTACACTACATGAAGATCTGACCAGTTGTAATGGAAGGTAGCGTCAGGGGTCGTACGGGCGGCTTTTGACCCTATGACATCAGGCATTTGATTAATCAATCAGCGTTGAAGTTTCTAGTGGTTTACCAACAGTTCCGTGCACAGTACGCCAAGAATTTGCCGTAACAGACTAATCCCTCACTTCAACCAGAACGCTGGTAATATAACAACTCTTCTAGATCCTAGTGTAGTAAAGACAAGTAAAGGGAAATTTTGAACTATAAAAAACAAAACGAATTAGGATCTGTGTTTTAATCAGATTGCAGCATGTTATGTACCACAGCCTTTTTCAGTTATTTAATCCATTTTAAAGGGAGTTGTCGTTAAGGACCAAGCCATCTTCTAGAATGAACGAGGAAAGTTTTTTAAAAATGTCATTTTCACCAAATAATAAATTTGGATAGATTGTTAGGATTGATAGTGTGTGATCGTTTGATTGGTTCAGATTTTGGTGGATATCGTTACTCAAGTATCAGTAACTCACTCTACACACAAAATAAAGCGTTTGATGGATTATGTCCTAAAAATTGTCCAACTAAAATGTTGCTCTCCCTTTAAAAAGATTAATGTACCTATGAAAACACTTTAAAAAAACGTGCAATTTCTCTAACGTTTTCTCGCCAAAATTCAAAATCGATCAAGGGTTACTAAAACCCAAGTTGAGTACAACCCATCACTTGTATACATAATATAATATATATCTATATCTCAAGGTTCGTTTATAGATTCAGTCATCCCTTATCGGCTTGAATTGTCAGAGGAGAATAAAAATATGACTGGGCTTCGACACATACTTTAAAAATAAACTTATTAATAGCAACAAAAACAGATGAACTCATTCACACCATCACATACGACTGACATCCGATATTGCAATTAAACATTGTAGTCAGTTTATGATATTAATATGATTTACAAATCTACGGGTCTACCATTTTCAAGCACTACCACCACCTGCTGCACCAGCCATTGGGGCTTGTGATGTGGCCTCTTCACCTACTGGTGTGTGGGAGGAGTTAGGCGATACCTCGCCAGTCGGAGACGCTGTTGTATTAAAGTTGGCTGCTTGTGATCGGGCATGTTCTGGTATAAGCGTTGAATTAAGGGAGGGGTTGATAGCCAATTCTGAAAGAAAAACAGAACATTATAAATCACTATGAGGAAACTGGAGGACCATAAAAAACCCCACGAAATTGGACAGGCAACCCTACTCCTTGTCCGGTACAACCAGGGAATCGAAACCACGACAGCTGACTCGATGACAGATGCTAACCATTCAGCCACCAAAACAATATAGCTGATAATTAAATGTGAAGACAAAGGGGTCAATTTACAGCCCCACTAAAATGTGGGGGGAAAACATATAAATTAAAACTCAAGGAAATGTGTCATTGCCTTGTTCGCAAAATGTCAAATTTACACGATTAAAATCTTCTCACATTGATTAATTAAACATACATTATGCAAGAGCAAAATCTGATTATTGCAAGTCTTAATTTAGGCTTCAGATGTTATAGAAATTATAAATTAGATCTTTATTTAAACAACAAGACCAAAATCAACTCTGTAGACCCATGGATGGCTCGGCTACAGCTCGGATTTAAATAGGATTTCACTTATTGATAAATTCAAATATGGCGCACCCTGGTGAGAATACGTCAGTTAGATCGAGGCTAAATGATAGAGTGTACTTAGCGAGGCCGCTGTAGAGCGTTTCCGCATGCCATTTAAAACTTTACTTGATAATCGAGATATGTAGGTGGAGTTAACGCCTGTCAATCAAACGTTCGGCCAAGGTGAAGACACATTTCACTACCATTTCTAGTCAAATATTACAACGATGATAACTATGTTCAGAATAAAGTAATTTGACTGAAATTTTCAATATATTTCTTTTTTTTATCATCTACTTTTGAACTGTTATAGCAAGAATGGCCAACTCCCTATAAAAATCTCCTATAATGTATCTTTAACATTTTATTAAGAAAAAAAGTAATAGATAATCTCTCTGGGGTCATTTTGATTAAAAAAAAAAGAAGTGATAGATAATCTCATTGTTAGGAGTCATTTTGAAAAAGAGCTACGTACGTCAAAAGAGATCAGGGGAACTTAATGATGGCATCGTCTGCTTGTTTCACTCTTAAGTTAGACGTCATAACGTTAATCCGTGATTAATAGAACATCACCATGTTATTATCATTTATCAAGAAGAAACCGAATGATTTTTAACTTTCAAAATGTCACACAGGAAGTAAACAAATGAGTTAAAGTTGCCTGTTTATAAGGGAAGTAACTCTTATTACGCTAGAAACGTTGCATTTGTTTAACCAGTTTTGTCTATAAAAGTCGCCGTGGGTATTTAACGATAACATTATAGGTGTCGACAAAAGTCGACTTGGGTCAGCTAAGAGTTAAAAGGGTTATAGACGAAATGGCCCAAAAATTTGGTGAAAACAGGGCATAAATTTTAGTGAAAAAATTGTCGTCTGCAAAGGATTAACAACCCCTGAAACAACATTCAGAGATTTGAATGGGGGTGCTACTCTAACGGATTCTCTGTTAAATAATTTTAGTGCCACATATTTTATACAGGAATCTGATACAGTGTTTCCACATTCTGATGGAATTAATATCCACATGTCAACCCCATTCAGATCACATTAACGTCATGTCACATACAGTATATATTATAATCACATGTATATTATTATTATGTTTTCATGATGTGTTTCAACATTACATCTGTTATTAGTAATAAAATATGTGTCTACAATTTACATAACACTGTCTTTCGTTCAAATTACCTCAAGCATGCTCACTCAGTAATGAGACCAACTCACTATTAAAACCACATCTAGACAGTCCCACAGGTGAAATGAAATGAAATGGAGTTTAACGTCCTACTGTTCTGCTTCTATACTGGGCTAATGAAGACGGGCATACGTCATACAGTGTGCTATGAGGGAAATTTTGCCCGGGCAGCGGCACTACGGCCTACTCTTATTTTGAATTCTGACTGCCAAGGGATCTTTTACGTGAACGCCAATGTGTACACGGGACCTCGTTTTTTTGTCCCATTAATAGAGGGATTTCACTGTATATCTTTTTGTTATTGAAAACTTACCATCTACTCTGAAATTAAATAATGGTGGCAGTTCACGTCCACTGGGATATCGAGTTGTTGGGTCTCGTAATTCGTCAAAGAAAGGGTGAGCACAAGCCTCAATGGGAGCTATTCGACCTGATGGAGTATATTCTAACAAACGACTAACGAGTTGTATCGCTTCTGGTGGAGTCTTCGGTCGAAATACCTGTAAAATAGAATTACCAGACTACATACATCTCTTGTAGAAATAATAATCGTATAAATATGGCCTAACAGTTCTAGTAATTAACAAGTCTCTTGTTTGAGATAAATGTCTATAACTTACTTAACACAATGCCCACTCATACTATTATTCAAGCTATAGAAACTGTAGTTTAATATTGATAGCTGTGTTAAAAAACCCCACAAATATGATAGTGTCTACGAAAACAGGAAAACAATAATAATTCATGATCATCATCATTTTTAAAACTTTAATCCTAAATTAAAGTTGAAATATTATTAGACATGCAAGAGTTAACATTCATATATTATGAGACAAGACAGATACATGTATAGGTGTTAAGTTTTACATCAATTATACACAAAATACAAAACTAAAATATAGTACACACGAAAACAAAATAAAAACAATGAATTGTCACATATCTTATTTTTATATTGGTAAGAGGAATTAGTACCTACGAGAATGTAGTTGAAGGCGTTTTAGAAGATTAATGTGCTAAGTGTATTGATGATAAATAACTGTCAACAGTCCAGATGATACTATACTATGTACTACAGACCCTGTTTATTGTATATCATTTAAATGACTGGACAATCACAACTTGCATATTATTTTAAAACCGCTTACCCCTAATGTAGATATTTCTATTCAATCAACCAGTATCAAGACCAAAAATATTAGGAAATAGCCAGAATTTTAGCCAAATTGTGAGGATTGGCAGGTAATTAGCATCTAGATATCATTGCACACGCAACGAATGATGTAAGTACATGCTCACCATTGTTTTGATATTATTGTACAAAATGAGTTATATTCATCCAGTATTTAATAACCATCGTTCAGACATGTTCTATGGGAGTTGGTTAGTTTCAATCATCCTCCTTACATTAAAAGGCTTGTTTTGTTCCCGATTACAAAACGATCAAAGTACGAGTTTTAGCACAACAACTTTATAACCAGTGTTTTTTCCCTTTATCAATCAAAGTATCAAATTTTGTTGAAAAAAAAAGAAATTTGCTTTCAAGAATCTGATAAAGTTATTTTGTTTTTAACGATTTGTAAGAGCCATTATGTGTATATTTATAACTAAAAGATGGGGTGCAGATAGAAGGGCTATGCTTTAAGCTAAAAGCTATGCTTTAGCAGAAGCGCTACTATTATAAAGTTACTAATGAGTCTAATGATGAATATTCAGAATTCTTTTATAATAATAAATGATAATTCTATATTATTATTCCAGCCATTATCGTCCAAATACTATCTGAACACTGTAGGCCTACTGTCTCCTTTGTAATTCTCTAAGTTGACAATAAGCAATTAGGTATATTAAATGTTATGTCCTCTAGGTAATCAAAGCACAGTTTAGGGGGCTTTGTCTTGGACCCAGTAGTTCTTGGATGGGGCGCCTACTGGTTTAATTGACATGTTATATAAATATTGTTTCCGTTTCGTTCAGTTACTTTAACACAAGTTGGGGAATCTATTTCAAAGAGACAGGGGTGGGAGGACCATTTCCAAGGCCTGTTTCACCCACCCACACAAGTTCGGAAATATATTTCAAAGAGACGGGGGTGGGAGGTCCATTTCCAAGGCCGGTTTCAACCACCCACCCACACAAGTTAGTCTTTCCTTACCAAGGGCAATATCAGTATAATATTCTGATATTGGAGGACGTTTATAAGTCAATCAGTTGACTTTCTTCTAACTTACAAAATCAGATTTTGACAACAAACCCTGTAAATATGAGATCTTGCTTGTTGATCCCAGCTTGCTGAAGACCTTAGTGTTCACCGTCACCATCATTGATAAAGTTAATTAATAATCCATCAAGAAATAATAAAGGATTAATGAGTTGAGTTATGGTTATTTATCCTAATAAAGATTGTATTAGTGATGACTTTTCTACCCATATACCCCAATCTGATTAATAATACACATCGATATTTCGTTTCATTTTTTATACTTTCGATGGCTTCTACTACATGAAGATCTGACCAGTTGTACTGGGAAGTCGCGTTAGAGGTCAAACGAGCGGCTTTTGACCCTATGACATCAGGCATTTGATTAATCAATCAGCGTTGACGTTTCTAGAGGTTTACCCACAGTTTCGTGTAGAGCATGCCAAGAACTCGCATAACAGTTTCATTGGGTAATCCCTCACATCAACTAGAATCCCTGTTATATAACAACCCTTCCAGATCCTAGTGTAGTAAAGAAAAGTAAAATGAAATTTTGAACTATAAAAAATGAAACGAAATAGGATCTGTGTTTTAACCAGATTGTATTTATACCACTGATGGTTAGAACTAAATGAGAACGAAGTTAACTGTTGTTGTTAGTCACAATAGAAAATAAACTATGGATTAATAATTGAAAATAAAAAGTACCATAAAAATAAATATAATACAAAAATAACCAATCATGACTCATGCTATTGAAACAAATTAAATCTTTCATGGAAGTTAACCAAATAAAAACATGTATATGCATGGCGTTCTTTTGAGACATTGGTCTCAATTTTTTTTTTTTTTTTTTTTTTTTTTTGAATATCAACCCCACAATAACCACTAAATGATGAAAAGAAGAAAGGGAAATTTAAGATTACAATAGCTAATAATGTGTGTGGCTATCTCAAGATTTAGCTAAATGTATAAACAGTGATATTACAGACACCAATGAGGGGAAGTACTTGCCATACGTACACCGTTAATAGTGCCATGATCTCTGTTGCTTTTTCTCTGATTAAACTGGAAAAAACAGCCTTGAGCTTAGAATTTACGATTTCCATGGTTACGAGCATAAAGTATCAAAATTTATTTTCTCAAAAAGGATTAAAGCATTACAGTGAACAAAAAAAAATAATAATCAAACATAAAAGTAATAAGATGGGGGACACTCAAAATATATTCTTTTAAAAAATGGGTGGGATGAGCTTTTTAAAGTCTTAACACTTTTGACATTTTTCTTTCTTTGCAATCCAATAATTTTTTATACAGACAAACAAGAGAGAGTAGAACATGTACAAAAAGAAATGAAGAAAATGAAAATCTGAAAACCAGAGAGATAAAAAGAAAAAACTGAAAATTCTTGAGATAGCCACTGAGAAATTTTCCTGTTTGTTTGGTTTCTGTATATTATTTGTATTAATATTAGACGTACAGATCACTGTACTTTTATGAACAATGCATTTTTTCGTAATTAAGACATTTGAAATCAGGAAATCTTGATTGAATTCTGGAATAAGCACCATGGTCTATAATATCGACAGAAACTGAAAGAAAATCATCAAACGGAGAATATTGGGACAAATAACCTACAACATAATTCTAGGTAAACTGTCCAATATTCTTGGACTAATGAAGTTAATTTGATAGGATGCTTGTCCACCTGGCCAAGTACACTCTCGATCAATGTCTAGAATGTTAGGACAGATTGGCAGACAGCTTTATAAAATTTACAGAAGAGTTTCAATTAGTTAATCTAGTTGTTTGATTCACCTTACTAGGTAATTTACCTCGTTTAAAGTAGTTTTTAAAACCTGAACAACAAACTGTCAATACAGCCGATGATAATTCTTCATTTTACGCTAAAAATGCATTGTTCAATTAACGGAAATATTGGTAATCAATAATCTTAATATAGATGAATGTCTGTGTAATTATCTACTTGTATGATATTAATTCATGAAATAAGTAATAGAGCTCGAACAGTTAATTCATGAAATAAGTAATAGAGCTCAAACAGTTAATCCATGAAATAAGTAATAGAGCTCAAACAGTTAATTCATGAAATAAGTTATAGAGCTCAAGCAGTTAATCCATGAAATAAGTAATAGAGCTCAAACTGTTAATTCATGAAATAAGTAATAGAGCTCAAACTGTTAATCCAAGAAATCAGTAATAGAGCTCAAACTGTTAATCCATGAAATAAGTAATAGAGCTCAAACTGTATATATGCGATTAGATAACAGTGTGACTATAGACTGGGTTAGCAGTACATATCAAGATAATATATTGATCCAAGACTTTAATTCACATTATCTAAATTTATGGAGAGGCTACAATACCTATTCTATTTTCGATCACTACTGGACAATCTCTACTTAATATAGTCAACATTGTCACACAACATGACAGAACAAGAAAATGCAAACAGGATTTAAACGTTCTAAATTACAACAAAACTAAAATGTTCAATGTATAATACTTACTTTTGTCCACGGGTGTGCCTTAATTTGTGGAAATTTAAATTCCTGGTAATTAGGGTTCATCTCTCGGATCTGTTCTCTCGTCGGTGTACCAAGAACTTTAATAATTTCAACTAACTGATCAACACCACTATCGCCAGGAAATATTGGTTGACCAAGTAATAACTCGGCTAATACGCATCCAGCAGACCAGACGTCTAAAAGAAGAAAAGAAACAATGATTTCATTTTATCGTTCTCCATATTTAACTTATTGTGTTCAACCTCTCTTGACCTTCAAAAATTATTGATGTCTGCCCTCCAGAGGTTTCCCCAGACAAGTGGAGAGAGAGAGAGAGAGTTTAATGTCCACTGGACACAAACTATGTCATTTCGGGACTAACATATGGTTCAATTTAGCAGTGGGAGGAAACCAGAAGACCCCGGAGAAAACCCACGAGGTTGGACAGGCGACCCTACTCCTTGTCACATACAACCCAAGAATCGAAACCACGGCAGTTGACAGAAATTATGATACAATGCGCCACACACTCTAACCATTCGGCCATCACACACCCCGCCCCCCCTCACTGTTCTTGTAACCCTGCAAAGTGATACCCCCGACCAGTGAGGATCTGGTTTATAAATGGAATTTTGACGTACCTATACGACAAGAATAATCTGTTGCACCAAATATTAATTCTGGTGCTCTATAATAACGAGAACATATGTACGATACATTTGGTTCAGCACGCACTAATACTTTTGCACTGAAATAGAAGAATAAGAAACTTTAAAATAACATAACCTCAATATAAATTTCTTGTAGATAAGTCTTGCCAATAGAAGGCTAGCTATCCACCAGCAGAGCTTTGTCGTGATTATTAACTGGTTATATGTAAGATATACGAAAGAGGATCAAGTCTGTGTGTTCAGTAGTCGCAATGAATCAGACGTACCTTTACAGGAACAGTACTGATTCTAGTTCCGCGAAATTACAATCTGATTAAATTACAGATCTATATTTCATTTTGTTTTTTTATACTTTTAATGGCCTCTACTACATGAAGATCTGACCAGTTGTAGTGGAAGGTCGCGTCAGAGGTCAAATAAGTGGCTTTTGACATTATGACGTCAGACATTTGATTAGCCAATCAGTGTTGATGTTTCTAGTGGGTTATCCACAGTTCCGTGCATCCTAATGCCAAATACTCGCTGTAACAGACCGTTTCATTGGCTAATCCTTAAGATCATCCAGAATGCAGATTATATAACAACTCTTCCAGATTCTAGTGTAGTAAAAACAAGTAAAACGAAATTTTGAACTATAAAAATCAAAACGAAATCAGATTGGCGAAATTAATTATCATGAACAACTTGTTCATACATCATTTTAATTCATCAGATGTAACGAACAGTCCAATTGGGACAATATCTACTGATCTATTCAGGGGAAACAACTGGGTAAAGTATTTGTTAAATGCTCAAAAATAATGGGGATCTTGTTCAGCACTATAGTGACAATTCGTGAAATTTTAGTATGAACAAGTTTAATGTTGATGAACTATGTATGATCATGTTAATATGCCTGTGGATAAATACAATGTTTATCTTCTTGTCAACATCAGTGATATTTTATCGAAAGATATTAAACTTCCGCCATTAATACTGAATTCCAGTAAAGAAATTTAACTGTTTATTTTACACAAAGATAGGTTGCCAGGCAACAAAACATACGCCCACAGCAGCTAATTCGTCCGAGCGGTCGTCAAGGGTTGTCGCATATTTATTTATTTGTAGGTAATTGGGGGCCTTTACAAGACAGTCGTTTGAGGGTTTACAAGGTTCTACAAACTGAAAAAAGGGTCTCAACTCTGGAAGTAATCTATCGAAATTGTTGATATTTGACAGGCTTTTTCGTTTTACTAATTTAAATAATGCATATAAATTTCATACAGATCACATGACTTTTGTCATTCAAACGTTCACAATCACCATAACTCTAGAAATTATTGACGGAAATTGCTGAAATTCAATAGACCTGTTTCACAAATTTAAATGATGCATATAAATTTCATACATATCGGATGATAACTATCATCAATCGAGCATTAACAAGGTTTAACAAAGTGAAACAAGGGCAATAACTCTAGAAGTAATAATTGTAAATTGCTGAAATTCAATAGGCTTTTTTGTGATAACTTTTTGTGTTAGAGCGTTCACAAGGATCAATAAAGTGAAACAAGGGCCATAACTCTAGACGTAATAAACGGAAATTGCTGAAATTCAATAGGCTTCTCTGTTTCACTAATCTAAATAATGCATATAAATTTCACAAAGATCGAATGATAACTTTTGGCGTTGGAGCGTTCACAAGGTTCAATAACGTGAAACAAGGGCCTTAACTCTAGACGTAATAAACAGAAATTGCTGAAATTCAATAGGCTTCTTCATCTCACTAATGTAACCAAATATATCAACTTTAAAACAATTGGATTATAACTTTTGGCGTTAGAGCATTCACAAGAAATTGTGGACGATGGACGGACGGACCGACAGACGGACGGGGGCGACGGCAATATACGTCCACATTTCAATGTGGGCGTATAAAAATGAAATGAAATGAGGTTTAAAGTCCTACTGTTCTGCTCCTGTACTGGGCTAATGAAGACGGGCATACGCCATACAGTGTGCTATGAGGGAAATTTTGCCCGACCAGCGGCACTATGGCCTACTCTTATATCGAATTCCAACTGCCAAGGGATCTTTTACGTGCATTCCAATGTTTACACGAGACCTCGTTTTTTCGTATCATCCGAAGGACTAGACAGCTGTCCTTGTCAGGCCCTCTGTCCTGCATCCCTGACAAGGGGAAACCACGTCGGAAAATCGGGATGAACTCTCTCGGCCAATGCAGGATTTTACACAACTAACCTTCCAAAATCACAGAGTTTGAGAACACCAGTTTCTGGATCTACTAGCAAATTCTGAGGTTTAATATCCCGATGACAAACACCTTGGGAATGTATGTACGCTAAGCTGCGAAACAGTTGGTACATATACATCTGAAATATATACAGTTTAATATCATCTATCCACAAGATCCTTCAAACAAGTTTACCTATAAAATCCTTATACGGCATTTAGTAATTGAACATATAATAAGAACACAAAGTTATATGGAAAACAATCTACAAGTTCTTCATTTACTTACTTGAGAACGACAAGAGGAACTTGTCGAAACGTAGTGTCAAATAAAACAGTGATTGTTTTCCATATAAATTTGTGTTCTTATTAAGTTTAGCTATATGAATTCTCCATACATGTATATTGCAGTGATATTTAGCCACAGGATCCATTCTTTCAGCTTGTCGTCTATGGTTCCATAGCTGTTATTGGTGTACCCATTCATTCCTCTTGCATTTAAAATTAAATATTAAGTACCCGTAATCCAATGATATTTCCGGTTTTGAATGACATTTTGAAAAAACAAGCGGTTGCCATGTCCATATTTTGCAAGAGATTTTTTGTACTATCAGTAGTATCAGGTGTCATAATCCAGAAAGTTATAAAGATATATTTTAAATTTCATCAAAATCGGCCAAAAATTGTGACCTCTGGAGGGTCCACAACCTTGGTATTAAATGTGGGCGTATAAAACCCCACTTTATTCCGTTTATTAAAAGAATGATGATCTTACCTTTATATATAGTATGGGTATTGTCTGCTTTGATTTACTGTAATGTCGAGCTACTCTATATACTGTTTCTGGTACATATTCTAATACCAAGTTGAGGTAAACTTCATCTTTCTATATTAATACATAAAAAACACCATTACCCTACAGTCCAGTTCTCGTTTCACAATATTGCGGTCCACAAGATGTGATAATAGACCAGAGATGTCTCCTGAGCAGTGCATAAAAAATGGGGGTTTGTCAGACCCTTTCATAAACCTGTCTCCATATCTAATTAACAAGCTTTGACAAGATTTTCTAATTCATATTCATTGCAACAATCAAAATAGTTCAGACTTCAATTCTCTAAACTGAAAAAGGGACAAATATTTCAAAAGATCAGATAATATTTACATACAAAAGGACATCCATCTTTTTTTGCATTAAAATTAAAAGTAATGGAAAAAATTCCCAAATTTTCTTCTCGTAAAATAACATGTACTCCTAGATCAGGGAGCCCCCCCCTGGGTAATAAAGTGGGTGTTACATGCAGGTGTTTACGGTATACTCGAAAAATTCTAAATTTAATTGAAAATCTCCGTGAATCTACCTACCTGTATTTTAGTATGAAGTCTAGACCAGTGAATTTGTTTAAATCAAAGATTAAATGGAATGAATGATAGCTTTATAGATAATATGATCTTGACACTTACCTTATCTCCTGCTGAATAAAAGAAAAATCTTAATTTCACAATATTTGGATGTTCTAATTTTCGCATTATCTGTAATTCTCTGTTCTGGAATAAAAATAAGAAACATCATTATTATTATTACAGCATATTTATAGTGCATCCTTTCATATAACATGTTCAGGGGCACTTTACAAAGTGACAATGTAAATCATACATAAACAACAAGATTATGGACATGTTAACGATTGTATACAGAGTCAGTTAAAAGCCTGATTAAATAAATGTGTTTTAAGTTGTTTTTTTAAAAGAATATAGAGAAGTACAACATCTTAAACTAAATGGTAGATTATTCCATAAAACAGGTGCTTGATAACTAAAAGAGCGCTGACCATAAGAGACTAGTTGAACAGTTTTGGGCTTTAAAAGTTTAAGGTCTGTACCAGGGACTTGTTTTAAAATCCATAAAGTCTTATTTCTGATGTTTATTAGTACATGTATAATTAAGGTGGTATGGTTAAATGTCTGAATGGTAGGCCAACTCTTTATACCAGTATAAATTGATCTGTTCAATTGTTATTCAATACTGTAGTTTATCTCTTGATATTATTATATTGTCCTAATGACATGACTATTCCGAATAACGAACTTAATCATTATATTTGATATAAGTTGCCAAGATTCTATGATATTCAGTCAAAGACAATAGAAGTCATTATCAGAATTGATTTAATTTATTTAGTGCATTATTCAAAACGATAAAAATTCAGCAATCAAATGTTGTAACAAGTTTCTAGGGTTCAATGGCGAGCCATATATTGTTGACTTCAAACAAAAGGATTTCAGATCAAGTCTTTAGGTGTTCAAATCAGTCATTCAATTTTATTTACATGTACCTAAATCAAGGGCTTATCAATTTTAATGTAATAGAGAGAGAGAGAGAGAGAGAGAGAGAGAGAGAAAGAGAGAGAGAGAGATAACATATGGTTCAATTTTATTTAGCAGTGGGAGGAAACTGGAGGACCCGGAGAAAAGCAATGAGGTTGGACAGGCAACCCTACTCCTTGTTACGTACAACTGGGGAATCAAAACTACTATAGTTGACTCAATGACAGACCTTATGATACAACACGCAGGCGCTAACCACTCCACCCCCCCCCCCCCCTCCGCCATTCTTAATGTAAATACCTGTAGAAATCCCGTGCTTACTGTACAAGTACACATGACCTTGCCTTAAATGTAAATTCTAGCGATAATGAAAAGTATGAGAGCAACCATACACTACGCTCAGATATAACAAACACACATAAAAACTTGTGAAAGAGGTCGTTTCTCCCCATTTTCTAATGACAAGACCAGTTATACACGTACAAGCAGATCTACTTATAACAAATTACTATAATCTACTTACTTTAAATCTTTTATCTTGTAAAACTTTTTTAATAGCTACAAGTTCGGAATTTTCGACTAGTTTCGCTTGGTAAACAACCCCAAATGAACCATTTCCTATCACCTTGGCATCAGTATAACTGACTTCTTGGGGTCGGTCCTGACCCTGACTATTTCCGGCAGTAGCCAAAACGGTTGTGACCTTACTCCCATCTTTACCTGTAACAAAATTATACAATGTATTACGATTAAAATGCTTGGTTCCTTTTTCCGTAATATTTCTATCGGACTTTCAAGTACCATATTGTATTGTACAAGCAGATAAAACTGGAATCACAAATAAAAAAAAACATATAACGAAACTAATTTTTAATAATGAAACTAATTTTTAATCTAATCTTCATGTTTAAATCTATAGTCTTAACTAAAAGCAAGAATTATTCAGCAATGTAAACTGCATGACTAATTATATTTATATAAGAAGTATCACATCTATTCTATATTGATGTTAGCAATATACGATTTAAATATTAAAACAAATTCTCAGAAAGAATAGGCTTATAAATGTATGTTACAGGGCCTTTTCTTGTCAAAAATTTACATTGTGTATGGGCAAAACAAAAAATATTAAACCAATGGCTACATACACATGTCACATACGCCTGGGCACAAAATATTTACATCACATATCAATAAGAAAACAAAACCCCAACAAAAATGATAAATAGGTATATAATAATTCACCACAAACAGTACAAGTACATAATGTCTTCCTTAAACATATAATAGATCTGATCAATATCCTTATACAAAACATCAGTTAAATCGGCGGAACAAGTCAGATGTTTGATTCTACTCGATAGATTTAAAGTTGTCTGTTTTATTCATTAAACCAGAAATATATATTATAATAGTTATAACAGAAACAGTTCATATCGAACATACAAAATAAACTATCATTTTATGACATCTTACGATGTTGTCTGGTCTTTCAATTACTAATGATCCTAACTTGAAACAACGATCCTAATTTAAACCGAACATCCTGGTACGTAGGCCTACATTTACATTCATTATTTTTCCATTTAAATTTGATATCTAGTTTCAATTTCATCCTATCTGTACATCTATGTCAAGGTATTTTACTTCCACAAGCTGAAATGAAATTGGATTCGACTCCCACTTTTCCACACATGGATGCTCACTATGTTGATGCAGTGTGCACAGAGGGAAATTTTATCAGGGCATTCATTTATGCCTACTCTTTGTTGAATTCCAACTGTCAAGGGATCTTTTATGTACTGCCGAGGAGTACACAGGACCCATTTGAACAATAAGACAATGTGTATTTTCTTGCCCTTCGTTCTGCACCACTGACAAGGGGGAAACACAAGAGAAAAATAGCACAGAAACTTTACTGGTCAACACTGGGATAGAAACAGATGGTTTACTCCACTCGACACAATCTAGGTCATTTTGGGACTAACACATGGTTCAATATCAATAATTTGCTACGCGTAGGGGTCTTTAGCAGTGGGAGGAAACCGGAGGACCAGGAGAAAACTTACGAGGTTAGACAGGCGACCCTACTCCTTGTCATGATTCAACGCGCACAAATGCACGAACCATTCGGCTGACAGTGGTATACCATAAATATTTTAAGTAGCACAGTGTTAACTAAAAGAGGCAGGGGTCACTTCTGCCAAGACGTACATCTATGTTTCACAATGTCTATAATTTGTACACACTAATGTATGTAGTGGTGTGACTCCACATTCTGTATGATAGACTAACTAAAACAAGTTTTTACATTATTAACAAGTAACTACGTAATAAACTTAACACAAATCCTGTACGTACAAGGTAAAAATTATTTGGTGGGTTGGGTTAAGCAGGTATTACAATAATCAGTAATAATTACACAAATAATCACAATAGATAATATAAAACAATAATAATGACTGACTAGAATTCCAACCAAGCTACTCATACATGTACTCAATTTCAATGTCACAAAGTCATTAACAATATGAATATTAAACTGTTTTTTTTTGGGGGGGGGGGGGATCACATGGCCAAGTGGGTAAGACGCTAGCTCGCTAGCCTGGATGTCGGGTGTTCGATCCCTGCATTGGCCGAGAAAGTTCATCCAGATTTTCCGGCGTGGTTCTCTCTTGTCAGTGATGCAGGACAGAGGGGCTGACAAGGAAAGCTGTCTAGTCGTTCGGATGGGACCTAAAACCGAGGTCCCGTGTACACATTGGCATGCACGTAAAAGATCCCTTGGCAGTTGGAATTCGATACAAGAGTAGGCCCTAGTGCCGCTGTCCGGGCAAAATTTCCCTCATAGCACACTGTATGGCGTATGCCCGTCTTCATTAGCCCAGGTTAGAAGCAGAACAGTAGGACGTTAAACCCCATTTCATTTCATTTCATGTTTTTAAATTCCAATTAAATTATATGTCAAGGCCTACTGTATACATGTATATTTTTACAGTTTTTAACACTTCAGTGGCGTTCACACGATACAACCAATCCATACAACCATCGAATACAACGGTCGCATCCGACTAACTCATCAGACAAATGTTTGGATGGATAACTTGTTGTATGGATAGGACCAGTTCTAAGTTCTATCCTCATCCGACCAACTGATGCAATAGCCAATCACACGTCATATGGTGCATGACAACGTATCTGACTTGGCAATCTGAATTCCCAATAAAAGATGTCTTCTTCTGTCACTTCCAGTACTTTGATGTTCTTTAAAATTGAGTTTAGACCTATCCACGACTGAATTAGAATATCTAATAACTCTGTATACGAAGAATGGAATTTGTAGAACCCACAGCAGCAAAACTACACGAAGACGCAGGGATGAGAAGTGTCGCCTTACTGCCATTTTTTTCAGTTACTAAGAAGGAATAAAGGTTGCCATACAAGTTACAACGAATAATTGTATCGTCCAATATGTTGCATCCGATGGTTGTATGGATTGATTGTATCGTGTGGTAAAGAATGATGGGAGCTCTGGAGGAGAGGAAAATAAATGTTCATCACACTGTGAAGTTGTTGGGGGTTTAAGCATTTTATCCAGGCCGACATGTAGAAATAATCCTTTACTTGTACAAAATGTCAGTATTTTTAACTGTGTGCGTCAATTTATACCAGACATTGACTGACACTAAAGGGATTGTGTCTGACAGTGTCAGAGGCAGGAGGTTTATTCCCAGAATTCATTTATCACATGATCTTAACTGAAGCCATGGCCAAATGAAATGAAATGGAGTTTAACGTCCTACTGTTCTGCTCCGAACTGGGCTAATGAAGACAGGCATACGCTTAAAAAGTGTGCTATGGGGGGAAATTAACCTGGCCAGCGGCACTATGGCCTAGTACTTTATATCAAATTCCAACTGCCAAGGGATCTTTTACATGTACACCAATGTATACATGGGTGAAGCCATGGGTAGGACAGTAGCATAATTGATTACAACTTCCTTTATATAGAATGGAGTCACAAGAAAGATAATATAATAAAACATCAATACTAAGACAGCCCGAGATAATCGATCTAAAATAAAAGTAAAATCTTTCAAATTAAAATAAGAGTACAACACAACTAAACTGAAATAGTGAAACTGAACTGGAACTAAAAAAAATAAATAATTATTATAAATATTTGATAAAAATTAAAACTAGAAACTTACTGTCTCATCACATGGATTACAAATGCAAATTTTCATGTGCTACTTCACACAAGTTATGATCTACTACAAGCATTTTATTTTTTTGATATTTTTGATATCTTGTGATTTTGGTGTTTGATTTTGTGATGGTGTGTGTATGTTTTAAACTAACTTTCCTCCACTATTATTTCTAAATCTTAAATAAAGTTAAAAGCAATCTATGACTTAGTCATGCTGAAAATAGAGTGTTTTCATCCTATATGACCAATCTTGTTACATGTAATTATGGTTATCAACAATTTACCAATCACCTATATGTATGTACAGAAAAATAAAATCCATTTGTACAGTATTCCAAACCATAAAAACATTCTTGTATAAAAAAATTTGGACTCGCACAGTACTGCAATGACAGCTAATTACCTCACTAATAAGGATATGTTAGATCATTTTGTACAAAGGGATGATAGCACGAGATAGAGTTAGTTAGAAGAAATAGGGTGTAATATCCACTTGACACAAACTACGTAATTTCGAGACTAACATATTGAATTTTATTTCAATAGTTTGTTGGCGCATAGGGGTCTGTGAGAAAACCCACGAGGTTGGACAGGCGACCCCCTACTCCCTATCATGCATAACCGGATAATCGAAACCACGCCAGTTGACTCAATGACAGACCTTATGATATAGTAAAAATGAACGTTTGGCACAACAGTACGAAAGCAAAAGTTTGAAATATAGCCTACTGAATAATGAAAGCAAGTTTGAAATATACTCAACAAAAATAAGTTTGAAAATTGAAATATACTCCGTAACGAAAGCCAGTATGAAATATACTCATTAACTTGTGTTGTAAGTTTCATTATCATCGTAATATTAATTTTAAAGATCAGAATGTTTTGACTGACTATTTATTATACTAGTATCCGTTCAGTCAGTGATATGTAACGTACATACATTTATTATTATTAAAATTTAGTATATCGTAAGTTCACCAAGGTCGAGTTAATAATGCTCAAATGAAAGGAGTACATTATAGATGCCCAGACGTTTATTCAGTCAAATTTGATCCCCCCCCACAACATCTTTATTTGTTTTGTTCAACAGGTGACAGGTTTCATTTTGTGATGAAGTTGTGCAGCAAATACAAGCAAACAAGTTGATCTTTCAACAGATCTTTTTTTATGAGAGAAAGAGAGAAATGGGGTTTAACGTCCACTTGACACAGACTAGGTCATTTCGGGACTAATATATGGTTTAATTTTATTTCCATAATTCGCTTGCGCATAGGGGTCTTTAGCAGTGGGACGAAACCGGAGGACCCGGAGAAAACCCATGAGGTTGGACAGGCAACCCTACTCCTTGTCACATCCTCCAGTTTCATCCCACATCTAAAGACCCCTACGTGCAAGCAAATTATTGAAATAAAATTAAACCATATGTTAGTCCTGAAATGACCAAGTTTGTGTCGAGTGGACGTTAAACCCCATTTCTCTTTCTCTTAAATCTGGACCTTGAAATGGATACCCTTTGGGTTAATTACGGTACTGGTTGTTTTATTAATCAACTTGCATCATACTAAATACATTTTATTTCACGAGAATTATGTCTCTTATACATCCACTTCTTCATCATCTGGCATTTACAATTTAAATCTGAATGTTGATAATCAAGACTAGAAAAATACCGAAAATATTAACGTTTTTACCAGTTTTTCTTATTTTCACTTTTTATAGTCTCCAATATAGATCATATATATTTTGTTACTGGACATCAGGACATTGACTAGTCTGGGTTATATTTACCAGAACAATATGTATTATTTCTTAGTTAGTCTGTTATTAATATGTGATATGTCGGATTAGTTATTTGGGAATGTAACTGAAGAATTTTTAATTTTAATTGTTCTGCTGAATGTTTAGAACTAGTTTTTTGGAGAATATTGCAGTGCAAACGTCACTATTTGGGGTCAAATGATATATTGGAATATTGCACTATTTCCGAGGATTTATTGCAATTAGAGTCCAGCCCTACATGTATATGATCACTCAATTAAAATCTAAAGACATGTTTAAAATGGCTAGACCTCCTTGATTTAAGCAAAACACAAAAATAAAATTATTGCCTTCATCGGAATTTACATGTTTTGTTTTGTGGATGAAAATTTTACATCTATAGATCATGTCAGCATGCTTTGGCAGTTCAAAATCAGAGTTTAGAGTAGGCACAAATGATGCTACCCGGGCAAAATTCTCATTTGTTACTTTGTATGTAATCATATAAAAAAAAAAATAACAAGATGTTACATTTAGTCCCAATGTGACCAAAATAATGTGTTGACAAATTGAGACCTAAATGAAAGTGGGTTATGTCCTTTCACAAGGAGGCATGGTGGCTCGTTGAACAACATATTACCAGCCTTGTATTCTCGTCACTGGTGCAGTTCAGGGGCAATGCCGTCGCCCAAGCTACTTGCCAAAAGGGGACGTATTTTTAACTGTGTTGTGTCGCACATACATGTACTGACTCTAGTAAGCTAAGCAAGGTCTTATTTTCTCACTAAACTGTTCCTTTACCTTCATTGTACAGGCGTTCACAGGGACTGACACACGACCGTTTAGCAGTAAAAACTGTCCCAGTCATCGTCATTAGCTTGGTTTGTGCAGAAAAGTTTTCTTTTAAAAATCACGTTATCCGGTTACCGACAGATAATATAGAAACTTGCTTTGGTCAGACTGACAACCAAATGTAAGAATTTCTGTTTTCATGGGCTTTGATTTGTACATGTACATGTAGGTTGATCTGGATTCTAACTCTGAGTACGGACTGTGTCTTGTAAATAAAAATGTCTTCAGATCAAGATGGAAGATGAAGTGGAATAAACAAACGATAAATAAAACAAACTGTTGTATAATTTTAGATTATCATGTACGATTTGTAATCCATGTGGCAGGGACAATTACCGCTATAATAATATGATGCACAGCACAGAAAAAGACAGAAGTTAACAGGCGACTAATAAAAAGAAATTTGGAACATCGAGATAACAAACAGCTTCATACTTTTTTGTAAATTCATCATTAATTTATCAAGTTGACTGTCTTCAGATCTGAAACAGTTTGTCAATACAACTGTAGAGGCAAGATTTGGTCTAATTAATTGACCACAACATTCACAGTTGGCTTCTTTAGTTCTTTGTCACTGACTTCAATGATCTGTAATCAGATTATGAAATACACATAACCAGATTTGATTATGTGATTGATTCTACAACACAAAAAGAAGCAGAAATAATTGACAGTGAGTTAAATACGTAAATAGCAACATTTATCTCGTATAATTACGAATTTAACGTTTATATTCTACACTTATAACACATATGAAATAATTATTGGATGATCGGCCGCCATCTTTAATGTTAGATGAAGCCAGTGTGGCATGCGGACTAAACTGGTAACTTACTGATGGTCCTCATTCCTCCAAAAGGCGCCGATGAACCAGCTTTTCCTCCTTCAGCAAAAGATGTTGTCCTTGGGCGACCACTCATTATAAATTAAAGTCTTTAGATAAAACAATCAGTCCAGAAAGGGTAAAACTAGCCAGATCTGTTACATTTCAGTCGACGACGGACAAAATGTTCCTTTTCGATCGACGGAGTTCTATCGTTTCTGATAATAATATTTTAAAAATCAGGCCATTTATCCGTTACCGTTATTTCCAAAACCTTTATGTATCCCTTTACAGGTTTCTTGGTTCGTTTGGTAGCCCAAGAAAGGCTTTATGTTATAATTCTAGTTACGACAATGTTTTCTCCTAATATTCGTTTCTAATGGCCGATCGCCTGCCATAAAATGATAAGAGACTTCCGAAGTCATTGTACGGAAAAACTCGCGAGCCAATCAAATTCACGAAAATGTGAGCTCGGCATATTACGATTACATTCGGACTCTGACGATTATAAAATGATCACGGTATTGGTTTCGTCATCAGTATCAGTGCACTAAGACAGTGACGCACTGACTTCTTTTCTCCGACTGGGAAGTAGGTGATGCGATAAGTGAACTTTTCAATCAATGATAGATCAATGATTCATTAGCAAACTCCGCCGTTTTGTTTATTAGGTATAGGTCTACTATTAAAACATTGTTATAGCCTTATGTGTAGTTTATATCATCTCGCCCGGTAGATTTCTTCAACTTGGTCGGCGACGACGACTGCCAAAAAAAATTAGACGGTCTGTGTCTGAACTTGAAGTTCTCCAAATTTACCATCTTTTTGTGTGACAGAGATAGAGAAATGGGGTTTAACGTCCACTCGACAATAATTCGCTTGCGTGTTGTTTTCTTTACCTGTGGAACCTGGAGAAAACTACGAGGTTGGACAGGCCACCCTACTTTTTGACCTTGTGGTGATCATGTTTGATCTGACTCCCTTTTCTATTTCCATCACTTTTAAACCAAAAAACTAGCGGTTTAGTTAGCCGTCCGTACAGTGCCCACATGGAACTTCCTACTTTCTGTTAGGGTTAGGGTCAGGTATTTAAGATTAAAACCTATAACACAAAAATGGGAGTCACATCAAACATGAATGCCCTTCTTGTCACGTACAACCGGGGAGTCAAAGCTACGCTAGTTGAGACTCAATGACAGACCTTATGATGCAACGCGGACCCATCTTTTTTTTGTGGTCAAAAGTCATTATGATGAAGGGGGTCTCCGGTCTAGGTGGATAAGACGCTGGCTCGCTAACATTGGCCGAGAAAATTCATCCAGATTTTCCGGCATGGTTCCCCCTTGTCAGTGATGCAGGACTGAGGGCCCGACAAGGACAGCTGTCTTGTCATTTGAATGGTATGAAAAACCGAGATCCCGTGTACACATTGGCGTGCACAGTTGATATTCGATATAAGAGTAGGCTGTATAGTGCCGCTGTTTGGGCAAAATTTCCCTCATAGCACACTGTATGGCGCATGCCCATTTTTATTAGCCCAGTTCGGAGCAGAACAGTAGGACGTTAAACTCCATTTCATTTCATTATGATGAAAATAAGCTTGTGAACTAACTGAATAATTGGTTACATTTTTACTGATCATTGATAATACTGTAATATATTTAAGATTTAGATAAAGAGCTAGCCATAAACAAAATAAGGATAAATAATACAGTATAATATTAAATAATAATAGGACCACAGTCCCAACTTTTGAAAATTTCTAATAAATTGCTTTTTTCTGACAAAGTTATGAACATTTGAAGTCTTGATGAGAAATAAGTTAGATTTTGTACACAATAAAAACAAAGTCTTGATTTTCACCATTTTCAATCCTTCAATAGTTCAATTGGCTGTCACTTAGATAAATAAGAAAACCTCATCTGTCAACCCTCCATGTTTTGAGATAAGAGATTCAAGGATACATTCAAAATAAGCTAGTGCCACCTATAATCTCTGTTTAAATCTGGGGTGGGGGGGGGGTTGGATGGCTGAATGGTTAGCGTGCGAGCGCTGTATCATAAAGTCTGTCATTGAGTCGACTGGCGTGGTTTCGAATCCCCGGTTGTATGTGACAAGGAATAGGGTCGTCTGTCTAACCTCGTGGGTTTTCTCCGGGTCCTCCGGTTTCCTCCCACTGCTAAAGACCCCTATGTGCAAGCGAATTATTGAAATAAAATTAAACCATATGTTAGTCCCGAAATGACCTAGTTTGTGTCGAGTGGATGTTAAACCCCATTTCTCTCTCTCTCTCTCTCTGTTTAAATCTTTGATGGGCCTCTTTTTAATCTGATTGAATCCAAGCCCGGAGATTATCTACAGTTGATGTTTTGATTTTGTTTTCTTAAAGATACATTATGGGAGATGAGATAAAGAGATGGCAGTTCTTGCTATAATAGTTAAAAACTAGATACTGTAAAGACAATTTGCTGAAAATTTCAGTCAAATTGATCCACTATGAGCCGAGAACGAAGCGGGTGAAATTTTCACATAATCTCGGTCATCATTACTAAAATCATTAATATAAACAGCATAGTCTCGATTATCCACTGTCTTGATTTAATTATCAATGGCCGTTAAGCGGCATATAGGAATCTAATCCAGCCAACATCGAAAGCTAGCCTTGACATCGAGAGTTTATTATGGTCTGGATAAGTTAATAAATGTCTAATTAATAATTTATATAACATTTCAGGCCTAAAGAAAGACTTGTAATAAGCAGATTTAGCTCTTGCATAATGTATGTTCAATTAAATGTTAAATAATCAATTTGGGTATATTTCATCCTCGGCTTCCACTGTGGTCTCATTTCGTTTCTTCTCCACTAACTTCTGGGTTAATCCATGGGAGAGGGCACGTATTCAAGTTATCTGCCCTTGATGATTGTGCTATTTTTATCAACCAATCCCATAAATTGTTAATTGAAAAGAAAGTTAGCGAAGTCAAGTAACTCTAATCATTTTGCAACAAGCCGCCATGTTGTTGTGAACGTAAACAAAAAGGCTAAAGAGTCTTAGTAACACTGGTTTGTAAACTGTTTTTGATTGGTTCGCAGACTCAAGCCACGATCAAGGCCACAGAAGATAATTTGAAATCGTGAATACCCGATGGATTAACCCAGGGTATAGTGGAGTAGTACGGAATGAGACCTCTGAGGAAACCGATGATGGGTATATTTTAACATGGATTAGTTTAAATGTTTGCAGGATGTTTTTGCCGATTGATTCATGGTACATTTTTGCACTTTATTTTACAGAAAATGGCTACCAAAAAGAAATTTCAAGACGAACACTGGTCTATAAAAGACTTAAAAGATTTAAAAGAGGTTTTGAACACGTAAGTTTGTGTTCCGAGCTGGTAGAGTTGAAAGTAGACCATTTTTGTTTCCTTTTCTTATTTTACCCTACTTTACATTACCTTTAAAATTATTTCAAGGCATCTTAGACTCTTTCTCACTAGGTCTGCTACCCACGGCCAAAGGGAATACTTTGACTATATCACTTTACTCAATGATCAAGATGATCGAGACTGAATACTGTTGGAGTCACAGTGACTAAGCGGGTAAGTCGCTGGCTCACTAGCCTGGAGGTCGGGTGTTCGATCCCTGCATAGGCTGAGAAAATTCACTGGGATTTTCCGACATGATTTCCCCTTGTCAGTGGTGGATGACGGGGAGCCTCACAAGGACAGCTGTCTAGTCGTTCGGATGGGTCGGAAAACTGAGGTCCCGTTTACACGTTGGCTTGAACGAAAAAGATCCCTTGGCAGTTAAAATTTGATATAAGACTAAGAGTAGGCCATAGTGCCGTTGACCGGGAAAAATTTCTATCATTGCACACTGTATGGCATTTGCCCGTCTTCGTAAGCCCAGTCAAAACAGAACAGTAGGATGTTAAACTTCATTTCATTTCACTGAATACTGTTAACACATGGTACGGATACACAAATTTATCCATAAAATTGATCCTTGTGTTAATATGATCGATATGATTATTTTGTAGTGTTCCTATTGATGATATACCCAAGATCCAGAAAAAACTTCCATTTAAAACAGAATCACAGGTGAGTCAACATTAGTGCCCGGTATCATTCAGTCAATGATGTGGTCATAAGGATGCATCAAATGAAAAATTTTAATTCGATTGGATGTAACAGAGCTTAACAATGGCTGACAGTTGAAGTAAAAAACGAAAGTGAAATAAATAATCAAACCAACTTCCACAGAATTAAAAATATTAAAGTTAAAAACTACATAATGTAAAGGGAATATACAGAAAATTTCAGCCAAATTGCTCCACTCTGAACGGAGATATTAGCGATTGAATTTTAGGCCTAGTCTCGATCATCCAGTTTTGGATTTAATGATCAATGAGCGTTGAACAGCAGATCCAATGATTTTCGACACATAAGATGACTTTGAGAGTTGATTATGGTCTTTTCATGTTAATAAATGTCTGATTAATAATTTATATAACATTTCAGACCTAAAGAAAGACCTGCAATAGGCCGATTTATCTCTTGTATAATGTATGTTTAATGAAATGAACTTGTCCCTTTCACTGATTGAATTAAAACAAGTGGTAGATATTTTTTTGGACTGAATATTTTTAATAATAGCACTTTTAAAACTTTTCTGACTAAATATTGTTTATACGGCATTTAGTGATAGGAATAATATTGAAATGACAGGAACACAACTTTATGGATGACAATCACTAGTAACTTTAATAGTGCAACTTTTAAACAAGTAGGCCTATCCTCTTGTCGTTATCAAGTAGGCCTATCCTCTTGTCGTTATCAAGTAGGCCTATCCTCTTGTCGTTATCAAGCACTATTAAAGTTGTGTTCCTGTTATTTCAATATGATTTGTTGAATTTAAATAATGTTATGAGTTATAACCTCCTTTCTTATTTTGACAGATTAAAGATTTAATAACAAAATGTCGAACGTATGAATTTAGAGGTTAGTACGATTATTATAGTGCAGAAATAAGCAAACGATCCAAATACCAGGAGCTTTTTTATGTCTCACTTTTGGTTCAGCATTAATAAATTACATTTCTGCTATTTTCTTATCAGATGAACAGAGTTAATTCATATTTAACGGTCTTAGGCATTCAGATTATATCAGGGTTCCCGCGGTCCTTGAAAATCCTTGAATATCCTTAAATTTAAAATTTCATTTTCAAGGTCTTGAATATCCTTGAATTTCGCGGAAATTGGAAAATATCCTTGAATTTCAGTTGAGATCCTTAATTTTGTTTCAAATGTCTTCAATTCCTTTTAAATATGAGATTATAACGATAGTTGGTAATGTTTTGGGTTTTTTTAAGATGAAAAAATTGTAACTTTAGGCTAAAAAATGTCCTTGAAAATCCTTGAATTTGATGTATATTTATCCTTGAATATCCTTGAAAAAATGTTTGACGAAGCCGCGGGAACCCTGTATATGTTTAATATCAAATTATGTAATCCAGATTCAGAGCTTTGTCTTTGAAAATAGAAAATCTTTTCCACCGATGCACATGGTTATTTCACAAAGCAATGAATGATTTAGTTGGTGGAGTCTGAAATAAGTAATCTTCCCTTTTTGCAATATTTTATGTTGTTGTTCAGATGTATGTATTTAGTAATGATTGATGTTTTAACTTACAGAAAAACTTCCCAGCTTAGAAGCCCCCATTGAGGTATGTATTTTTAAATTGGATGGTTTACAGAACATAAACAGATGTAGATCTAATAATAAGAGCAGGGGGAGATGACACCACACACAATTACACAAAATAAATCTACAGACAAGACACAATACACAGAAATCACAAACAAACGTACATATCAGATTAAGTGAATGGATCTGGGGGCTAGCTGTAAGCGGCCACTTCCTTATTTCTTATCTCTGATGTTAGTACATGGTTGAGGTCTGACATTATTTATTTAAAACCTACTAAGAATATTTTGTTCAGTATGTTAATTTGGTGTACTTTCAATGACATAATCAAAAGAGAAGAAAAAAAAATCATATGAATACATAGTCCCGAAATGACCTAGTTTGTGTTAAGTGGACATTAAACCCCATTTCTCTTTCTCATATGAATACAAAATGGTTAACTATTTAAATGGCCACAAGATAACAAATAAAGTGGAAAAGATAATTATTAAATAAAAAGTTATTGTATAAAATAACATGTTATTCACGTCTATGGGAATGTATTCTGTGGTGTAAGGGGAGACAATAGAGGTACCATGTAGAGTTACTTCCCTTGCATGGTTTGGTTTAGAATACACAAGAAATTAATGACAATGCTAAACATTGGTATTCTTTCTGTAACCATTAAAGATTATTAAAAGATGACATTCTATAATATAATTCTGTATATTTTATACATGTTTATTCTCAGAGCTGGACAGGTTTAGCAGCAAGATTGGTGTACCATGATGCTATAGATCACTCGGAAAATCTCTCAAGGGTAATTCATTTATTTATAATATCTAGTTAGTTTAATTTATTTAAATGTAACTCAAAGCACTTATATTGTTTGTTTAATTTATTTAAATTTAATTTAAAGCAGTTTGTAACTTAATACATCTTTCTTACTTAGAGTTATTTTAAAGGGACAATAACACTCTTGCTGGCTTGACAGCTCCAGAAAATAAAAAAAAGCCTTATTCTAAGTACTAGATGTGTTAGTGTCCTACCTGTTATGTAAATTATCCATTAAATCCTATTTTATGTGTCCAGAGGGCTCAAAAATATTTTTAAATCCAAGTCACATTTGAAAAGCTTTACGTCAGGCTTTTCAAATCATTTTGTTGAATTTTTCCAATTTTTTAAATTAGGTGTGTTAAGATGCAATTTGTATCATCAGTTAATTGGAATATTGTAAAATAGTACAATTTTTTGACCAGAATAATGATTGGGACATATTATTCAGTTACAACAAGAGTGGTATTGAGCCTTTAAGTCTTGCTTTAAATTCATTTTACAAGATTAAAACTGCTACTATAACCAACCAATACTCTTTAGATTGTGTTCAGTGAATAAACCAATCTCATTAAAATACAGATCTATATTTAATTTCGTTTTTTTTTATACTTTCGATGGCCTACACTACATGAAGATCTGACAGTTGTAGTGGAAGGTCGTGTCAGGGGTCATACAAGCGGCTTTTGACCCTATAACATCAATGTTGATTGATGTTTCTAGTAGGATACCCACAGTTCCGTGCATCGCATGCCAAGAACTCACTGCAACAGACTGTTTCATTAGCTAATCCCTCACATCATCCAGAACGCCTATTATATAACAACTCTTCCAGATCCTAGTGTAGTAAAGACAAGTAAAATGAAATTTTGAACTATAAAAAAAACGAAACGAAATAGGATCAGCGCCCTTATTCACGAAAACTTAAGCTAAGATACAATCGAAATTTTAAGAAATACTGCAATTCGATTGGCTGACCAGTAAAATCAATTTGCTAGATCCAATGAAGTTGCAGTATTTCTTAAAATTTCGGTTGTAAATTAGTTTAAGTTTTTGTGAATAAGGGCCCTGTGTTTTAATGAGATTATGAATTGTTTTATTTTTAGGCCATGTCTTTAATTAGTGAGTATGAAGATAGAACACCAGTAGATTGTGAGTTAAAGGTTGATTATAAACGGATATATAGATACCTAGCAGATATATTACTAAATAAGGCATCAGTTACAACATTACCAGCTTTAGGTACGTTGACAGACAGAGAGATTAACCTCCACTCCACACAAACTAGGCCATTTCGGGACTAACATATGGCTCAATTTTATTTCAATAATTCGCTTGCGTGTAGGGGTCTTCAGCTATGGGAGGAAACTGGAGGACCTTGAGAAAACCCACGACGTTGGACAGACGCCTCTACTCCTTGTCACGTACATCCAGTGAATCAAAACCTTGCCAGTTGACTCAGTGACAGACATTATGATACAACGCGCACACGCTAACCATTTGAACATCCAACCCCCCCAATAAAAAGCAAAGTAAAATCATTAATGTAATTTGGGACGATAGTACAGAGTCCTCTTGAATGGGGACTTGTGTCTAGATATGCTTGCTGTGGATCTGGACATTACACATCAGTTTTTTTGTCGGGGGGGGGGGGGGGGGAACAATGGAAAGGTACACTATCACATTTGGTAATATCAAGGAGGAGAGTTTGGAACACCCTCAGTATAATATTTTTATTTAGATAATACTGTACAAGATGTGAAGATAGGGACGAAATGGACATTTCAGCCAGAAAACAGAATTGTGAGAAACTTAATGCCATAAATTCAATGTCCCATAGTTAGCAGTTTCATACAATAACATTCACATTATTGTTACTGATGTACAATTATTTTAGTTCTGTGGCCTAAACTAAATCAACCGCCATAATTGTTTTCATCCGTGTAATTTGCATAGGGACTGAAATTAACTTAGCGGTTATTTTAGAGTAATGGAAAACGGTCAATTTCTTGAAATATCTCAGCCTGGTACCGTGCAGAGAATGGCACGCTTATCGCCGCCAAGTGTAAACAGGGCTATAGTTAGCAGTTTAATACAATAACGTTGACATTACTAAAGATACATTATGGGAGATTAGATAACGAGTTGGCAGTTCTCACTACGGCCTACTCTTATATCGAATTCCAACTGCCAAGGGATCTTTTACGTGCACGCCAATGTGTACACAGGACCTCAGTTTTTCGTCCCATCCGAACGACTAGACAGCTTTCCTTGTCAGCCCCTCCGTCCTGCATCACTGACAAGGGGAAACCACGCCGGAAAATCTGGATGAACTTTCTCGGCCAATGCAGGGATAAGTTAATTAATGTCTAATTGATAGTTTACATATAAAGAAATACCTGCAATGGGCAGATTTAGCTCTTGTATAATGTACGTTTAATGCAAATATCTTGTTTTCAGAATGTACAGTTATATTAGATTTAATGCATAGTTTAGCAGATGTTTTAAAAGAGAAGAATACAGAAATACATGAGAAGATAATACAATGGAAATATAAATTATTAACTTGTAAAATAGATTTATATAATAAACAACATCAAACAGATCAGTTTAGAAAAGCTCTATTTAATGGTATGTTTATTTCCTAATCTGGTTGTTACATATTTATCCCAATATATTATTTAAAGCTGAAGTTTGTTGTCAAGGCTTAAACAAGTAACTGGTTGTTTTGAAATGATTTGGATTATGTATAGGTTTACATTTATGGTGGTTGAGTAGTCTAAGTTGCGCACTAACTTTTCAGTATCGATCTTAAGACTTTGTATACTTAATCCATGTGTAAAATAACCCAGAGGACACATAACACACACAGTCCGACTGTTGTGTAGTAATGGGGATACAAGGGGTAGAGAAAAAAACTATTTATAGTAAACAAGACGGTTTCTGGGGTAGAGAAAAAAAACTATTTATAGTAAACAAGACGGTTTCTCAGACCTAAATCAGTTTTTGAATAAATTAGGACTTCTTACACCTCGGACACATGAGCCACAGTAAACAATCATGGTTGCCTCCAGCAACAGTTTCACATTGGACGACGTATCCCTTTTACTCAAAGATATCACGTCACCTCAATTAAGTCACATGACCAGAAGTAATTCCCTCTACAACGCAACAATCGAGGTCTACCATTTATCACGACTGGAATATCGGTGAATTTGTTTTTTTGAATGCATAAAATGAATTTGAGTTCGGCGGAGTAGAGCATTGAAGTAATCCAAATTGTTGTATTTTAAAACTTGTTGTGGATGTATTTAAAGAATTAACCCAAATCACAAAATCTCATTTGAAGGTAAATAATAAAAAAGATTTTAAAATACTTTGAGTTGATATTATAACCCTTACTTTCAATTGATGGTTGGAATTATCGAAATCTTTTTTTTAGCATACCGATAACTTAAAGAATTTTCAAGAAAACTCATCATTTTTTTGCAAGACAAACCAAAGTCTATAGCCAAAAAACGAACTGCAGTTTACTATTACTTGCAATGAGCATTTTTCGTGCCCAATTTGAAAATCCATGCAGGCATAACTGAGAAATTTTGACTTTTGTTGTCATCAGCACCCTTAATTATCATGCTTTTGGGCTAAGTTTGGAACATAGTTAGTAAATAAAATTAGTATTTTTTAGGTGATTGATATGTAGTTTATGACCCTAAATAGCCGAAAATGTCATATCTTATTGAACAAAACTTATAGTGCTAGCTTTAAAATGCGCATTTTAGAGAGAGTACTCAACACCCTTGATTAATTATTAATATTGTGTTCCATCCTCTCAGATAAACATTTTTAATTTGAAACATTGTAACATTGAGTTAACAAGATGACTAGATCTACAGTTTGGGCCGTGTAACCTGCATATTAACATGGGTGTCATATATAGGGCAGGATATGCTTACACTTTCTATAACATGTAAAAGTACTTGCTACTGGATCTGTGTTTTAATCTGATTGTATTTATCTTGACGTCGGATCTAAAATGTATTTTCCATAAAGACTTTATCATTAAAGATACATTAGTTACACGTGTAAGCTGATACTGTTGACTAATGAAGCTAGGCCTTTTAGTAATGACAATTTTTGTCATTAACTCATATAAGAGGTTAGTATTCTAAACTAATGTTTAGTATGTATAGAAAGTGGTTAGAAATTATGCAGTTGTCATTAATTAGCAAGTGTGTAACTAGCTGTAAAAAATGTGACTATTTATAACACCCATCACTATTGAATACACAAACCTGGACAATAGTGATGTATATCATTCAATAGTCACAGTTTTAACACCTTAGTGACAAAACACCTACATAATGACTACTGCCTGATTACTAACAATTTTAACTAACTAATACACATTATGTATATAAACTGATGACTTTGATCTATTAGAGTTGTATATTTTCATTTATAACAGTTATTTGTTGCTTAGTCAACGATATCAACGTTACAGTGTTAAGAACTAAATCTGGCCATTGTAAGTCTTTCTATAGGCTTCAAATGTTATAGAAATTATTAATCGGCAATTCTCAGACGGTGCAGAGACAGTTGATGCCTTTCTAGTTCAAACTTCTAACAGTGACAACTCTGTTCAGAATAAAGTACTTTGACTGAATTTTGAATATTTTCTTTCTTAATCATCTATTTTTAAATTATTATAGCAAGAATGGCCAACTCTTTATTAATCTATTACCTAATGTACCTTAATGGTGACATTGTAATCATTCTATATCATGAAGTTTATCTTTTTGATGGAGAACCTATGTTTTAGTTTTCTAATTCTATACTTGTGTTTTTTTTTTTATAGATTTCTCAGATTTACTGAACCCTGAAAAGACACCAGAGAATCCAAAGTCCAAAACTGGACATGGAAAAAAACGAAAACGCGGTGCAACTTTGGATATGAACAGCCTTGCCAAGATTTGTAAAGCACAGGATAATTCAGAGGAATCTGTTAAAGATCCAACATCAAAGAATCGACATCAGCAATCATTAGTCAAACCCAAACTATTTACAATTAATCCATTGTGTATTCCAGTAGCGCTCGTTAAATTAAAGGACTTAAAATAGTTGATAAGTGATTTGAAGCGTAAATATGTTCATCAATGCGGAAGTCATCTATAATTGAACTTTAACCTTTTAGAAATCATGTTGATGTCTAAGTGTATGTGTATAAGTGTGTCAATTTGGATTTTCCTGTGATCCAATCATTTCCTTTGTTAGGCCATATAAGAAAATATTATGGTTCTCAGATAATCGTCACTTAAAAAGGGACGCATGACCCATTTTTATTTCAAATGATAAAAACATTCTATTTAGTTGCGGGGGTGGTGGTGGGGGGGGGGGGGGCGAATGGTTAGTGCGTGCACGTTGTATCGTAAGGTTTGTCATGAAGTCAACTGGCGTAGTTTCGATTCCCCAGTTGTACGTGACAAGGAGTTGGGTCGCCTGTCCAACCTTATGAGTTTTCTCTGGGTCCTCCGGTTTCCTCTCGCTGCTAAAGACCCCTAAGCACAAGTGAATTATTGAAATAAAATTGAACCATATGTTTGTCCCAAAATGACCTAGTTTGTGTTGAGTGGACATTAAACCCCATCTGTGTGTGTCTCTCTCTCCCCGTGAAATTTAGCCCAGTAGTGATCTGTCGACAAATTAAAAACACAAAAAAAATAAAAACCTCCCCCCCCCCCCACATCAGATTATTGGAACAGATTGTCTGAGAACGAGAATATCATTTTGTTTGGCCTTATTGTTAAGATACATGTATTGTTATGTTCATACCAGAAATATTAACAATAATTTTGCAGAGATTTTAAACACTGTTAACGCTGAACCACTATCGACCCATGGTGTTAGCATTGTCGTTTATAGGTAACGGTATACGGAATAGCGGTAGCTGAAATGGTCACCATCTTTATGGTTAGTGCGTGCACGTTGTATCGTAAGGTTTGTCATGAAGTCAACTGGCGTGGTTTCGATTCCCCAGTTGTACGTGACAAGGAGTTGGGTCGCCTGTCCAACCTTATGAGTTTTCTCTGGGTCCTCCGGTTTCCTCTCGCTGCTAAAGACCCCTAAGCACAAGTGAATTATTGAAATAAAATTGAACCATATGTTTGTCCCAAAATGACCTAGTTTGTGTTGAGTGGACATTAAACCCCATCTGTGTGTGTGTCTCTCTCCCCGTGAAATTTAGCCCAGTAGTGATCTGTCGACAAATTAAAAACACAAAAATAAATAAAAACCTCCCTCCCACATCAGATTATTGGAACAGATTGTCTGAGAACGAGAATATCATTTTGTTTGGCCTTATTGTTAAGATACATGTATTGTTATGTTCATACCAGAAATATTAACAATAATTTTGCAGAGATTTTAAACACTGTTAACGCTGAACCACTATCGTTTATAGGTAACAGTATATGGAATAGCGGTAGCTGAAATGGTCGCCATCTTTATTGCACGAAAAATGTCAACATCATCAACTACAGACTTCAATGTTGACGGGGGGGGGGGGGGGGGGGGGGGGAGCCTAGATTTGTTTAATACTATTTATTAGGCAAACCCCTTCTATGAATAAAAAATATCTGTTGTGTTTGCATCATGTATAGAGTTTATACATAATGTTAGTTTCCTTTGGAAGATAGTTTTTGAAAAAAAATATTTAAAATTTTATAAAACTATTTTTCAGATATTCCAGGAATGTGTTTTTGTGCATTTGATAAGATTTTTATCTGCTGTTGTTGTTTCATGTATACATGTTCTACAATATATTTGTAAAAAAAAAAACTTGATTAGAATTTATATTCTATTTGCTTAAAGGTGCATTATGTAAGATTTAGATAAAGAGCTGGCCGTTCTTGCTATAATAGTTCAAATTTAAAAAATGAAAATTTAATTCAAATTACTTTATTCTGAGTGAAGTTGTGGGTGTTGGAAGATGTATCATAGATTGTTTATTATCGTTAAAATGGATTATTCATTTTTATACACCCACATTTTCATGTGGACGTATATTGTCGTCGCCCCTGTCCGTCCACAATTTGTTTGTGGACACTCTACAGGTCACAATTCTTATCCGATTTTGACGAAACTTGAAATGTAGGTTTATCTCCAAAAGATCTCGGCTGCTTTCGATATTGGCATGTATCGGATCGAAACTTCATGGATTATGGCCCCTGTTTGTACGAAAAATCACGTTTTTAGCTTGTGGACCCTATAGAGGTCACAACTTTTATCCGATTTTGTTGAAACTGGAAATGTAAGTTTATAACCCAAAAAATCTCGGCTCCTTTCGATATTCGCGCATATCGGATCATAACTTCCTGAATTATGGCCCCTGATTGTACGAAAAATCACGTTTTTAGCTTGTGGACCCTATAGAGGTCATAATTTTTATCCGATTTAAAAAAACGTATTATTATATTACCATTAACACCCTAAGGACAGCTGAGTTCAAATTTCGTGAAATTATGGCCCCTGATTGTACGAAAAATTGTTTTCTTTTTAGCTTGTTCTCTATCCATCTCTCGAAAATGTGGGCGTATCCTGCCTGGCAGCCGCTGGTATCATTAAATTTGCAAAACAAATTCGTTGAGGGTTCACATGGTGCTACAAACTGAAACAACGGCTTTAACTCTGGAAGTAATTTACAAAAATGGTTGAAATTCGACAGTGTATTTTGTTTTAATAATGTAAATAATGCATCTAAATAGGATAACTCTATCATTAGAGTGTTCATAGGTGCAAAATGAAACAAGGGTATATAAAAGGAGAGAAGTTTAACAACCCAGAGCTTCATCACGGGCATAGACGTAATAAGCGGCTCAATCCAGTTCACCACGAAATTTCAGTTACCCAAAAATTTAATTCAAATTGGTGATTATAAAATAAACCTAATCTTATACGAAATTGTTGTTGTTGTCAATTTGTCTAACTTAGAACAAAGTCCACAAGATAAGGACTAACTTTAAGTCAGACTCCTACTAGACCTCAACATAAAAACGTGGATCGTTAACCAAACTACTTATCTGAGTTTGATACCTCAAAAAAAAATCCCAAGTTGAGTGGCTCCTAGGTTGGGTAGAGAGTTGTAATCTTCAAAAAATCAGAAAGACAATTATCGAGCACATGCTTTTAGACAAATTTTAGCAGAATGATTAACTTAACCATCGAAAATATATCAAATTGGGCAGATGTGGGAAAATCTTCTAGAAGTAGACAAACCCAAACCTGGTTGTTTCTATCTCATGTCCAAATGTAGTGAACATGATGGAAGTCCTGGGCAGACTCGTAACTGGCACCAGAATTCTGCAGGTTTATAGACAAACATGTCAAAGACTTGGTTCACCTACATCCGAGTTATATTAAAATCTATGGATTTAACTCCAGCAAACGATGTGATTCTTGTTACTATGGATGAATCGAAAGTTAAAACAGAAATGAAAAGGGGTTTAGCGTCCTACGGTTCTGCTCCGACTGGGCTAATGAAGACGGGCATACGCCATACAGTGGGTCTATGCGGGACTTTTGCCCGGGCAGCGGCACTATGGCCTACTTTTATATCAAATTCCAACTGCCAAGGAATCTTTTATGTGCATGACAATGTATAAACGGGACCTCGTTTTTTTCGTGCCACCCAAACGACTAGTCAGCTGTCCTTGTCAGGAACTCCGCCATTGACCAGGGGAAATCACGTTGGAAAATCCTGATGAACTTTCTCGGACAATGCAGGGATCGAACACCCGACCTCCAGGCTAGCGAGCCAGCGACTTACCCATCGGACTTTAAACAACAACAACAATATTCTAGATTCATGCAACATACACGAATAGTTTATTTAAACTATGTAGCATGCTTGAAATAGTTATATATCAAAAAGTACATAATAACAGATAAATTAGCACAGGTACCTATATATACTGTAGAATAGTTAATCAATGCTGCTCTTTGGTAATATCTAATTGATATTAAAGATGGCATATTAAAACTACATTTTTATGCTAATGTTTTCATTGCAAAAACAATAATTCAATTAACAATAGTTAAATTATACAGGCAAGGGAAATTACTCTGTAGCCTACAGACAACAAATATTCAATCCCATCACGGTTTTTATTTTACTTTATTTAATTACTCTCTTATTTAGAATTGAGTTTCAGGTCGTATTTTTCAATAAAATAACTTTCTTTTGCCTTCAAGAGGTTGTTGTTTTTGCTATTTATTAAGTCTATATAAAGGAAAAACACTAAATTTATAATTTAACTATGATGTTGTGATGTCATAGACTATTGTTATTTGAATAATTGTTTAATATATGGCTGAAGAGCCGCGATCACGGTGAAAACATTAGCATAAAAATGTAGTTTTATTTTGCCAGGTTCAATGTCAACCATCCATATATATACATGTACATACATTATACTAAGAGGACTAGACAGAATGTAATATATAAGCATTTAAATAATACACAACAATAATATAAATTGAAACAGCTGACCCCTTTCCTACTCAAACATATTGATACAGCTGACCCCTTTCCTACTCAAACAAACTGGTGTTCTCATCAACTTCTTACAACTTCTTTTTATACAAGTTATAGTGGTTTGAATAGCTTGTTTATTCTGTAGTTTAATTTGCTAATGTTCAAATACAACCTCATATGTTAAAACACCAGTACTGTATTGGAAAAAGCGAAATAGAATTTAACGTCCATGACACAAACTAGGTCATTTCGGGACTAACATATGGTTCAATTTTATTTCAATAAATCGCTTGTGCGTAGGGGGTCTTTGGCAGTGGGAGCAAACTGGAGGACCCGGAGAAAAGCCACAAGGTTGGACAGGTGACTGTACGTCTTGTCATGTCCAACTGGGGTATCGAAACCACGCCAGTTGACTCAATGTCATACCTTACAATACAGCAAACATGCGCTAACAATTCGGTCATACAACCCCCATCAAAATAATACAAAGTACCAGAGTGGTTATTGCGATAAATTTGGTTAATGAGCGACATTAAAAATGTAATTTTGGATAACCTTTTAACTTGATCAGACTTTAGAGTAATCCTTTCCAAGATTGTTATAATGGAAATAGTACGGATATAATAATAAGAAACATCAAATTAGACCGTTGGGTATGAATGTAATAAGTAAATTAATACAATGGTTTTCATTATGGGAAACCCATAATGACACAAGATTAAAACAATACAAATGGTGATTGTTTATGTAATAAAAAACACCACCAAATTATATGGTATTCGGTATGGATGAAATAACACAAGAGTCAAATAATGGTAATGGTTTATGGAAATAAAAAAACACCTACCCAATTATATGATATTCGATATGGATGAAATATTACATAATTAATACAACAGAAATTATATGGTTTATTTTTGGTATGGATGTAATAATACTAAATTCAGTATTAACCTGGAAATAACTTTTTGCTTATAAAACAAACTTTCAAGTTAGGAAGTAATATCACACTAGCGGTTTATTTTATTTAATATTAAATTTATAAACACCTACTGTATTTTCAGATCGCATTTTAGCTGAGACGTAAGACTGCATATTGTCGGTGAAGTGTTAAAAGGGTGTATCTCAGGAAATTAGTCCAATACATGTACACTTTTTTGCATTTTTAAAATCTCACAATTAATATGCACATTTCTGTCTTAAGCTGTGTATCTCTACGCCAATTAGAACTGTTCTGGGTATCATGTGTCCAAATGTTGTATCTTGATTTGTGAAAATTTTGAAATGCAAAAGGTTCTATTTCTTAATCTTCAGAAATTCTTAGATACACCCTTTTGACACTTCACCCACGATATATCTGATGGTAATATTCTTGTTATCATAAACAATGTTATTTTTGGTAAGCTATTTATATAAAGGGTAGGTCCAAGAACACACTAAATAACAGTAGATTTAATATCATTTGAAGGCCTGTTAATCCCTTTCAAATCTGAAGGCTTGTTAATCCCTTTCAGACTACAATATTGTTAAAATTGGATCTCTATAAAAGGAATAAAATTGGTTCAGTATTAACAAAGATATGATGAATTACAATGAGGTTTAACGTCTGACTGGGCTAATGAAGACGGGCATATATGCCATACAGTGTGCTATGACTACAATGCGGGGAATTTTGCCCAGACAGCGGTGCTACAGCCTACTCTTATATCAAATTCCAATTGCACGCCAGTGTGTACACAGGACCTCGGTTTTTCATCCTATCCAACTGACAAGGAGAAAACATGCCGGAAAATCCTGATAAACTTTCTCAAACGACACTGGGGGAATCAAACCAGCATCTTACTCACTTAGCCACTGTGGCTCCGCAGACATATGAAACCTGGATATGGTCAAATTAGTTGTAAACCAAAATTTATCTTAAACAAAACAACTAAATATATGGTCAAAATTTATCTAATAATATCACTGGATTCTTTTTAAATAAAACTACTTATTTGATCATTTTGATTTTTATAGCTGTCAAGACCAATCTTTGGTCATTTTGACTGAATGTCATGCTTGTTTTTATGTCATTTTTGAGATGTTTTGTTTCAGCTATAACCACCTCTCAGTTTCTCTGAACTCTATTGATAGGCCTCAGGGAGAACATCTACCACTGATATTCTGTTTTCATCATGAATTATTAACTAATTTTAGTATAGATTAAACCATGACAGATTTGATATTATCTGGAATATGCAAATCTCACAGAGATTTTAAGTATGTAAATTAAAGTTAGAGATTTTGATAATTTATATAACATTACAAGCCAAAATAAAATCTTGTAATAGGAAGATTTCGCTCTTACATAAAGCATCTGGAATCTCATTATTTATATGTGTGACTTGATAATCACAACATTACAAGCCAAAATAAAAACTTTTGTGTAATATGTAGATTTAGTTCTTACATCTGGAATATCAATATTTATATATGACTTGATAATCACAACAATCCTGATGATATTTCATCAAATAGTTGTACATGGTCAGTTTTATTTCCTAAAATAATTGGGGAAGGTTCCTTTAATTTCTATCATTTAATGTGACCGATTTATTTCAATAAGGGGAGAGAGAAATGGGGTTTAACGTCCACTCGACACAAACTAGGTCATTTCGGGACTAACATATGGTTTAATTTTATTTCAATAATTCGCTTGCGCATAGGGGTCTTTAGCAGTGGGAGGAAACCGGAGGACCCGGAGAAAACCCACGAGGTTGGACAGGCGACCCTACTCCTTGTCACGTACAACCGGGGATTCGAAACCACGTCAGTTGACTCAATGACAGACTTTATGATACAGCGCGCGCACGCTAACCATTCAGCCATCGAAAACCCCTATTTCAATAAGGACTAGATTTGAAATACAATATACTTAAAGGAAGAATAAAATAATACTCTTCATATATAAACATTATCAGATTTGGTATATAACATACATTATAATATATCAAACCAACTATGTAATCTTAGTAATATACTAGATTGGAATGATATTCTAGTTTATATTCCATCACAGTATCTTAAAGGAGATGGTCAACCTATTTCTATATTTTAACAACTTAAAGGAGATGGTCAACCTATTTCTATATTTTAACAACTTAAAGGAGATGGTCAACCTATTTCTATATTTTAACAAAGATAGATAATGTTGACAGCTATAAAAGACCTTTGTGAAGCCTCTGTTCAAATGTCATACTAATTTAACCATTTCACAACTGTCAATTAGAAAGGTTAGTAAAACAACTGAAAGTTAATTTAGACTTTCAAAAAAATCAAATTTGTCTGACTAAATTACTGGTGTACCATCATTTCTAAGCTTGGTGATGCCACAATGAAAGATCTGGCCGTGTTGGCGACATCGCTAACACATTCTCTAATACTGAGTAGTACCTGAACAGGGTCATCCAGAATTTATTCTGTGGATTAACTGACGTATCGGTCTAAGTTTTATAAAAATATAGAAAGAGATGAACCATGTCCTTTAATATAACATCATAATACAAAAAGACATTAACTAAATGCCTCTTGTAAATCTGTTTTTAACTTTCATAATCAAAGAAAGATATCAAAAAAAGGTGTTATTCAAAATAATTGCTTTTTTTTTTAATTGCAATGTTTATTTACCTATTATTATATAATTATATAAAATATTTTCAATCCCTGAGTGATAAATGTAAATATAATACGACACACACAACATATCTCAATGCCAACATAACTTAATTACCATATTATAAATCACAGTAATAAAATAATTGTTAAAATAAAGTATATAACGTAAGGGGGAGGGGGACTAACGCTAAGATTTTCTATAAAACAAATTTAATTAATACAATATATTTTTCCAAAACATAGAAATTTAACAATCCATGGGAATTTGAACAAATCCAACAAAAACTCTGATCTGTAGAAATTGTGGATAGACGATGTAGGAAGGCAACTACAATACATGTATGTATACCTCAACATTAAACGTGGGCGTAAAACAATGTTATATAGAAGTCTATTTAACAGTATTTTAAATTTAATTGTATCTTATACTGACATTAATATTCACAGAATTTGTTCATAGGAAACAGTTTGCCCAACCATATTGGTGCATATCATAACAAAAAATAAAAAGCCTACACCAATTAATTATGTTGTTTATGGTCAACTTATTTTATTTAGTAGCTGCCAGATTTATAAGGCCACAAGTGTAACAAGTTCAACCAGAAACATAATTCAGTAATTTTAATGGACGTTTTGTTTAGAACTTTGAGAATTCTCTAATTCTCGTACATTATAAAGATTAGCACTTAAAGCGTTAAAAATAAATGTATCAAATACAAAACAAACTAAAGTCTAAAGTTTAATATTTCAAAAGTCAAATTTCTACAATCCAAAAATGATGTTTTAGGGGGGTAATTTTTGCTGATTAATAATAAAATTCATCCCTTTCGGGGAATATTTAAATTTAACCTCCCTGTCTGGGAATATTCGAGAATTTAACCCAACAAGACTCGTCTCATCCGTTCTTTTGTATTGTCTTCTTCTTCCGGCTCACTATCACTGGAATAACTTGGTGATGGACTAATAACTGTACTACAACTTGGAGAACATAGATACTGTAATAATGGTAGTCGATACTTTCCACAAAAATCAACAAATTTCACTTGTTCTACTCTTGAGGAAAAGTACACACCTGAAATGGATATGGCACAATGTTGTTAATTTAGAGAGAGAGAGAGAGAGAGAGAGAGAGATGGGGTTTAATGTCTTCATTCATACAAACCAGGTCATTTTGGGACTAATATATGGTTCAATTTTATTTCAATAATTCATTCGCCGGTGCGTAGGGATCTTTAGCAGTTGGAGGAAACCGGACGACCTGGAGAAAACCCACAGGGTTGAACAAGCAACCCTACTACTTGTCACGTACAACCGGGGATTCGAAACCACGTCAGTTGACTCAATGACAGACCTTATGATACAGCGCGCACATGCTAACCATTCGGCCATCCAACATCCCCTCGTGAAATGTGGAGATGTATCGCTAATCTGAAAGTTTCTATTTCTGCTAAAAAGTAAATGTACTACAGAAATTGAGGTTATTTTATGATAAAAGATTTTTAAGAGTCCTCCTCACAGAATGAACTTGTCTGATTCACTTAAATCTATCTCGGTATCTACGCCGACTAAGTTAATATATAAAATCATTGTAACAGAAGGCCAACCTACCTTTACATTTGATGTTAACACAATGATGGGCAGAATCGAGATATTGCACCAAGTGACGAGGTAATTCTTCACTACTGTACGGTAAACCATCAATCTTTATACATCGACCAGCAAGTTCTAACAACGTAGGTGGATTGTAGACTAAATCCTGTACAAACTTATCTACCAGGGGATTATTTCTTAAACTCAGCTCAACGATATTAAGAGAAACTATAGCAGTAGGTAGCGTTGATATCTGGTTGTTATGGAGACTAAGAGAACGTAATTGTTGTAGATGAATGAGTGTTGGTGGTAAACTTTGTATTTGATTATCACATAATACCAGAGCTGTTAATTTATGTAAACAGCCGACCTCAGCTGGAATCTCTGTAAGACAATTACCTCCAAGATATAAAACTTCCAAGCTGAAACGATAAAGTTATATAAACACATGGAATAGGTGTCTACTAAGGTTATGTCCTACTCGAATACTTACACAGTCTATAAATAGAATGAAATGAAATGGGGTTTAACAGCCTACTGTTCTGCTCTGATCTAGGCTAATGAAGACGGCATACGCCATGCATTGTGCTTTAAAGAAAATTTTTGCACGCGCAGCGGCACTATAGCCTACTCTTATATTGAATTCCAACTGCCAAGGGATCTTTTACGTGTATGCCAATATATACATGGCACCTCAGTTTTCGTTCCATCCAACAACTAGACAGTTGTCCTTGTCAGGCCCTCCGTCCTGCCCCACTGACGAGGGAAACCACGTCGGAAAATCCAATGCAGGGATCGAACACGCGACCTCCAGGCTAGCGAACCAGCGTCTGACCCACTATTCACCGTGGCTCCTCACAGCCTATAAATCATATCACAATTTGGCAGTGTACAGTAGAGAACATAAACATGCAGCGAACGTGCAGAATCTGTGACCATACATACTTGTAAACGATAAGACAGAGAGAGTTTAACATCCACTCAACACAAATTAGGTCATTTCGGGACTAGCATATGGTTCAATCTTAATTTAATAATTTGCTTGCGCGTAGGGGTCTTTAGCAGTGAGAGGAAACAGGAGGTCACAGAGACAACCCACAAGAATGAAAAGGCGACACTAGTACTACTTGTCAAGTTCAAGTAGACCACGCCACTTGACTTAATGACAGACCTTGTGATTTCACTAGACCCCCTCCGGCTACACTCCAGCCCTCTTTCATACCATACAAAAATATATTATGATTCTAAGACAATTCTTGCCTAAAATCTGATGCGAGACACGATTTTATTTTTGTATTTTATTTTGTCAATATGACTACTGGTCTAAATTTACAGAGCCCAGTAAGGGACGCAAAAAAAAACAATATAATAATAATAACCGGCGCGCGCCGGATAATAACTGGCGTGCGCCGGATAATTTCCAATAAGAAATAGAATGAAATGGGGTTTAAAGTCCTGACTAATCAAGACGGGCATACGCCATATATAGTGCGTACTATGAGGAAAAGTTTGCCCGGGCAGCGGTACTACGACTTACTCTTATATTGAATTCCAAATGCCAGGGGATCATTTACGTGCATGCCAATGTGGACACCAGACCTCGGTATTTCGTCCCATCCCAACTACTGTACGTTGACCGTAGGCTCGCTATCCAGGAGACCCCTTGTTCCTTCACTGCTTTGGCCGAGTAAGTTCATCGGCATTTTCCAGCGTGGTTCCTCCTTCACCATTGATTGAACCTCATTTCATTTCATTTTAATATTTAAAAAGTTTATTTTTAAAATTTCTGTACAAACACTTAGTGTCCAGATTCTAATAATTCGAAGTGTACCTGTAACCCTAATAATAGTAACACCAGGATCAAAATTCCCAGAGTGTTCTATAAAGTCACTGAGTACTAACTTAGCCTAATATTATCTCAACGTAGAATACAGAACTGGAACAATAACCTTTGGACCTACCAAAACAGTATTATGTAACTAAACCCAAATACGGTTAAACAATACAACAATATGGTAACATGGTCATACTCATACATACTTTGTTAGACTTTTAATACTGCTATTGATCACTTCAATTTTATTTCCACCCATATATAGACAACGCAGATGTTCTAGTTCTGTAACTTGTGGAGGCAATTCTTTAAAGTTGTTTCCTCCCAGATTTAGTACTTCCAGTGAACTCATGAGTCCAAAGTCTTTGGGAATACTGTCGGTGTCAAAACAGTTATTCCTGGCTATAAAAGTCTTCAGGTTATGTAATTTTACAAGTTCTGGACTGAGGATAGTCATATTATTGGCACTAATGTCCATGGTAACCAGGTTTCTAAAACTAGATATCGTGTCTGGTAGACATAATATTTCATTGTGATCAAGCTGTAAAGCACGTAGTTCATTTGACCTCAGCAGCAAAAAATCTGGTAAAGTTTCTAAATCAGAGTACGACAAGTCCTCGGCATTTTCACCGTTGAATTCACTTTCTGAAGACGAAGTGTCACTTTCCGATTGTCTTCGGAGATATTCCATATTAAGCGTACTGAAACCTGCTGCCGCCATAGTTTCGTTCGTTAATTTAGCAATTTTACACAATTAAATTTTAACAAAAGACAAGAGTGTCTATCCCTATTGTTTCTCCATCACCCATACCATGAACAGCCGCGTTCACTGCCTTTGACTTGGCAATTTTTTGGCCTACCGAAATGTTGGTCAAGGCCGAATGGATAGCAGTCAGTGAGCACGTGCTAGTCTTGAATATCAAGTACGATCTGCATACCCTATTTGCATAACACTACAAATGCCCTATATATATATTTCACGGCCACTGGATGAAATGGATTAAGACACGTGAAAGTAATTTTTTTCTCCAAATATAAAACTATGTCTAAAAAGTGTCGAATAACAGATAGTAGTGTTGTTCTACGTGAGAAAAGCGTGTCTAATAGTCTTGTTCATTGCTACAGGGATCAATGAACTTTGATAAATGGAGTTGGCTCCCTTTATCTGTTGAGACGATGAAAACAATAAGTTTCATATTTATTAACGTTCTAAACAATCAAAAAACATATTTTTTTATTACATAGTAGGACTATATATCGATATTTTAAGAAATTTGAAACCAATATATCAAGAAAATATTGATTATTTTTGGGTAAACAAACATCAGTTTAAGGGTGTAGGACTTGATTCTTTGAAACATTAAGATGAAGAAAATGGTTCTAGAAGCACATTACTGTAATATGAATGTATATAAAGTGATTTATATTAAATTTAAAAAAAAAATTATTATGATTTCTAAGTCTGCTTAGTCCACTCCATTCTACACATTTTTGAATCATTATATTAATATTTTTTAATTTTGAATCACTACAGGGCTGGGACTTACAGCGCAGTGGATGTTTACGATTAGCCCCCGGATCCATTCACTTAATTTGAATTGTTCGTTTGTTTGTGATTTCTGCGTATTGTGTCTTGTCCGTATATTTGGTTTTTTTTATCCATTCACTTAATTTGAATTGTTCGTTTGTTTGTGATTTCTGCGTATTGTGTCTTGTCCGTATATTTGGTTTTTTTTATGTAAATTATGTGTGGTGCAGTCCCCTCTGCAATTACTATTAAATAATAATATATCAATTTTCTTTTTTTGCTGTTGAAATTTCAGAATAGGGTATCTTATTATTCCACAATGATATTGAACCAACAGTTTTATCAAGACTGATAACCAAAAACCTTAAATATTTTTATTTTACAAAATGAAATGGATGATGAAAGTCGTGTTTATGATATGGACAAATATAATTACAATATGTCTGTAAATTAAAGATACATTATGTAAGATTTAGATAAAGAGCTGACCATTCTTGCTATAATAGCTCAAAAATAGATAATGTAAAATGAAAATATTGAAAATTTCATCCAAATTACTTCACGTCTGCATAGTTGTAACCACGGCACTGGTATATTCAAGACTTAGCAGCCTCACTTTTCCATTTTTAAATTAAGTTTTTAAATGGCGAACTGTTCTCATTTAGTTAAACTCTCGAGTATCCGATGCCTTCGAAAGTTGATTACGATCTTGTTTTGTTAATAAATGTCTAATTAATAGTTTATATAACATTTCAGGCCCAAAGAAAGACCTGTAATAGGCAGATTTAGCTCTTGAATAATGTATGTTTAATAGATACAACATATCATATAGTATTTATCTTCTGTAGTCTCTATCTCGACTTCTCCGTCGTTCTCTATCTCTCTTGTCATTTCTATAATTGTCTCTACGATCATTTTCACCATATTTAGAGGAATAATTTCTTTGAGGAGATCCAGATCGATCTCTCTTATTTTTCCTATAGCGATCTCCATCAGCCGAATGAGACCGAGATCGAGATCGTGAACGAGATCGCTTTCGTTGTTTAGCTTTCTCTTTATGCTTATTTTTCTTCTTGTGGCGTTTTTTCTCACGATCTGAATCAGAATCAGAATGAGTATCTTTCTTTTTATTCTTTTTCCCTTTTTTGTGCTGCTTTGAACTGCTTTTATCATCATCATCATTCTCAAATACTAAATCGTAACCGTGAGATTTCCGAGACTGATCTTTGAGAACGTATTTTGATGGAATGTCACCCTTTTTATCATCAAATTTATCCAGTTTGCCTGATTTTCGTAATTTTGAAACAGACTGACTGAAATCCACATGAATTCTTCGATCATCAATTAACACGTTGTCCATTTTGAAATAAGCATTTTCACAAGATGCTGTGCTTTCAAACTCAATAAAAGCATACTGAAGTGATTCTCCAGTCTTTTGGTCCTTGATCACATCACAGCTATTTATTTTACCAAATCGAGAAAATATCATTTCCAAATCTTCACCTGAAATACATGTAGAAAAATGAAAAACAAAAATAGAATTTAGGTGAAATCTTGTTGAAACGTTGCAGTGAAATAAACCATAGTAATTGTTATCCATAAATAGTGTGTTATTCGATTATGTTCCAATTACTAAATGCCATTCAAAGAATTAAGTTTCAAATATTAGTAAAAAATCTTCATGCATACCTATAACAATTTTATATATTTAAAAGTTGCCCCTGTGTTGGCGTATGTAGAGAGAAATGGGGGTTTAGTGTCAACTCGACACAAACTAGGTCATTTCGGGACTATATATGCGTAAATTTTTATATCAATAATTCGCTTGCGCGTAGGGGTCTTTAGCAGTGGGAGGAAACCGGAGGACCCTGGAGAAAACCCACGAGGTTGGACAGTCGACACTACCCCCCCCCACTCCTTGTCACGTACAACCGGAGAATTGAAACCACGCCAGTTGACTCATTGACAGACTTATTATGATACAGCGCGCACCTGCAAACCATTCAGCCATTTCCCCACCCCCCTCTTCCCCTCCAATGGCCCAGAGAGTTGATTATTGGTTTGTCATATTAACAAAAGTTTAGATAATACAACATGTAAAGCCAAATAAAAAAGACATACAATAGGCAGATTTAGCTCTTGTATAATACATCTTTAAGGGTTACAATGTTTAAATGACCTTTTATTTCTTCCAAGCTTTGATGCCTTTTAAAAGTAATCAGTCAATAAATTGAATTTTTACCTGTTGTGACTGGGTTTAATTTACAAACAAATAGAACATTATCATCTGGTGCTACATCAGCAGCAGGAAGGTCACCAACCATTTCTAATATTTGAGCATTGGCCTTTTCTTCTTTCTCTTCTAACATTTCTTTTATTTCTTCTTCTGTTCTACCCTTGGTATCATCAATTTCTTCATCTGCTCCTGTTCAAAAAGATAAGACATTAAGGTTAAATATATTGTGTTCAGATTATGGGCTGTGGGTAAAATATAACATTAAAACTACCCCTAGCATAGGAGTTGGAGTTCTAATCAATAAATTTTCTTGAACAATGCCATAAAGATTTTATTCCACCTCATCTGTTTATCATTGAGCAAATTAGTGCTAAGTTACATGTTCCATGGAATCGCTTTTTTGCAACTTAGATAACATTTTGCATATATACCTGTAATTTCTGTACACGTATGTTTTTGTTTTTTGCATTTTTTTTTATCACATGTCCAATTTATGTCATAAATTATGAAGTTTACTTGCATTAATAGACCCTTATGCCAATAGAATGTGTTTACACTGAGGATGTACTGACACTGCTTCTCAATGTGAACACATTAACTAAGACATTGCATTGCCTATGTATACAGATGTATAGGGCCTACCACTACCATATGTTATACTGCCTGATGCTTTTCAGATTATGGCATTTATGTTGTTACAAAATTTACACTTCAATTAATGTAATTCATTTTAAATAAATGAAATGAAATAGGGTTTAACGTTCTACTGTTCTGCTCCAAACTGGGCTAATGAAGACGGCTTATGCCATACAGTATGCTATGAGGGACATTTTGCCCGGACAGCGTCACTGCGCCCTACACTCATTTTAAATAATATTAATATCATATCAAAAATAACCCTACACTACAGGTAATAAAAGAACTAAAAATTTGTATGATTTGTCAATAACGGAATTTGAGAGTTAAAACTTTAAAACATTTATATCTCATTAACAGCTCTGCAGATTTGTCTTTAATTTTGGATAGGCTACAATATAACTTGAATATTATCAAATCACATCAAATCTAAAATCCTATAAATGTATTTTATAACCAATCGATAACCATAACACACTAATTTCTTTGAAATCGTGACAAAGGAAATAAAAAAAACAACATATAGAACATGTACCTATCCTATCGCTACTCAACATTTCTTTCGTTGGTTCTGGGGATCTGTCAGGTATCTGAAGGCCTGGTGGATCATCAAATGGGTCATCCAAAATAATAGTATGATAGATTCTGATGTCTCGGTATGGTCGATGATCTTCATCACAATACACTTCATTTATTTTTTTCAAAACATCTAATCCTTCCACAACCTCACCGAAGACAGAGTGGACATTATCTAAGTAATCAAGATTTTCTCCAAGAGTTATAAAAAACTGTGAGCCATGCTTGCCGTCACCGTTGTTAACCATTGAAACTAATCCTGATTGCTTATGTTTGATTCTTGGGGCAGCTTCCATATCAAAGTATCTAGCTTGTTCTCCATATAAAACAGCAAAGACAGACTCTCCTCCTTTGCCGGTGCCAGTTGGGTCTCCAGTTTGAGCAACCAAATTACTCTGGACGGAATGGAAGAGCGAGAAGTTATAATATTTAATTTTGCAAAGTTTCAGGAAATTTTTACTACAGTTAGGCCTTTCATCAGTAAAAAGATCGACAGTTATTGACCCCACTGATGTTTCGATTATAACTGACATGTTTGTTTGTAGATTTTTGCAATTATTATAGAAATAATGTAATTTTTATAAACACATTTTTCTCAAAATGCAGTTTTGACGTCCATTACCGGAAATCTCATACAGCCGTTTAGGCCATTTACAAGCTACTTCCGGATAGTGTATTTTGAAACATATTTAGACAATAAATACCATTTTGTTGGAATAAAGTATGATTTTGATTTATACAAATCTCGCTTCCGATTCTATCTAAGCTGTGTGAGTGATACAAGATTGCCGTCATAATCCAGACTTGATTTGTTGATGCTTTAAGCGGCAAAGAATAACAGCAATGGCAGACGATGGAGATCATGTGGCTTCAAAAGAAGATACCAGTTCAAAGAAAGACAATTTGAATACCAATAACGCATCTGTTAAAGATGTAGGAGATCCAGAATTAGACCAACTACTTGATAGTATGTATATATGAATCTTTGATTAAATGTTTGTCACTATAACTTGGGATCAACGTGACATTCAGGGTGGACAAATCATGAAATGACGAAATGTTTAAAATAAATAAATCTAATCATCACAGATCTGTACTTTGTACTACAACTAAAGCCAATTTTTAAAAAAAAAAAAACTTGACCTCTATTGGTACAGATTGAGATAACATCATGACGTTAAATTTACATAAAAATGGTCGGTCCGTTTTAAGGATGTAAATGGCTACCTGGGGTTAATTAATGTGTCACGGTTCGATTGCACTGCTTAAAATGAACTGATTCAAAAAATTACTGCCTAACCGATATTCGTTTTCATATCATGCCTGACCTTCAAACCCTGGAATGGTAGCCACAACATAGTTTTCTTTCACTAAAGACCACATAAATACTTCATATAGCACTTGTCATTTGTAATGTAGCACAGGAAGCTATAAGGTCTTTAGATTCCCTCTCGAAGTTTTGTAGGTCTATACGTTATTAGCACTTGCTCCCAAGCATAAGATTGATGTATGTGTATGTTTTGTATACTGTTCTTAATGGACGTAATATGCAAATAAAAAAATTGAAGTTGAAGGAAACAAAACAGTTTGATGTGATGAAATAATATTAAAATATAGTAACATTGTTTATTATATTATCACCCGAGCGTGCCATGCTGTGGGTCAAATGAAATAGGGTTTTTAAACCACCCTACTTTTCTGCTTCGACAGGGCTAATGAAGACGGACATATGCCATACAATGTGCTATGAGGGGAAATTTTGCCCGGACAGTGGCACTATGGCCTACTCTTATATCGAATTCCAACTGCCAAGGGATCTTTTACGTGCATGGCAATGTGTACACAGGACCTTGGTTTTCCATCCCATCCAAACGACTAGACAGCTGTCCTTGTCAGACCCTCTATCCTGCACCACTGACAAGGGGAAACCATGAACTTTCTTTTCTAACATCGGGGGCAAAAACATCAAGATTGAATGAATGAATAAATAGAATTTGTACTGACAGTTAACTTAAAAACTGTATAATAATAATATTATAAATTTAAACATGTATCACCAAGTCTTCCTGTGGTGCAACAAATATTTTAATAGAAATGTTTTATTAAATGTGTGAATAAATCGGTTAACTGGTTGCAGTTGGATTTTAATGACCAATTAACGGTTCTAATAATATTTGAACTGTTACATCCATAGTCAGTTTACCATCATTTACATTCAATCGTTTCTGTTTTTACTGTAATTTCTAATTAGTTATGTTAGGCAAATGGCATCTTTGGCATCTGGTTATTCCAGTCTTACATGTAAATATTGGATATCAAAAGCCCACCTTTTTTCATGGTAAGATAACAACCAATAAATCTTGTTTGCAATTTCGAAGACTCTGGATGATATTGAGTTGGCGACTTGCCTCCATAAAAGAGGCATTATGTAAGATTTAGGTAAAGAGCTGGCCGTTTTCTCACTATAAAAGTTCAAAAATAGATCATGCAAAATGAATATAGACCTACATTGATTGTTTATTATCATAGCCATGGGACTTGTATATTCCTTGCTCAGCCTCGCTTCTCCATTTCTAAATAAAATCATTAAATGGCTGAACCATTGTAATCTACATCGAGAGTTTATTATGGTCTAGATAGGTTAATTAATGTCTAATTAATAATTTATATAATATTTCAGGCCTAAAGAAAGACCTGAAATAGGCAGATTTAGCTCTTGCATAATGCCTGTTTAAACGAACATCATTTTCAGACGTAAATCTAATGTCAAATTATGATTAGCAAAGTGATGTAAATATAACCAACCATTTAAACTTTTAAAACAATTTAGTATTTGGGGTTGATTTAATCATCCCCTTATCTTTTATTTTTAGGTGCACTAGAAGATTTTGACAAACAGGCAACACCAGAAGTAAAAAAAGATGAGTCCAATCAATCAACACGGTCAGCATCGGTATGTACACATTACATTTGTTTTATGTTAAGTTGAGGTGTGGAGAAATTAAAAACATTTACTCTACTCAAAATATTACTAGACATATATTGATTGGCTTATTGATGAAATGATTTACATGGGCCTCTCACAGATGTTTTAAATACAGTGAAAACAAAACTTAATATCTAACTAAATGGAATTTCAAATAAAGAATTTAAAGGGCAATTATGGGAGATCAGATAAAGACTAGGCAGTTCTTACGATAATAGTTAGAAAATAGATAACGTACATAGAATATATGCTGGAAATTTCAGTCAAATTTCTCCACTCTGAACCGAGATATTAGCTTTTGAATTTTAGGCTAGCCTTGATCATCATTATTAAAATCGATATGATAATAAAACAAAGTCTTGATTATTCATTTTTACGTTTAATTATCCTTCACAAAATGTATTCCAATCTGCTAAATATCGCAGGCTAGCGATGGCATCAAGAGTTAATTATGGCCTGGATAAGTTAATTAATGTCTAATTAATAATTTATATAACATTTCAGGTCTAGGCAGATTTAGCTCTTGCATAATATAATGTATGTTTAATTCAGCTTTTTAGTGAAATTTGAATATTTCTTTCTGATATTTGGACACCTAGAACAAATTGAAGACACCTCCAACAAGATAAAAGAATTTTAGGCAACTGTTTACAATATCTAATTCTGTGCCTTTTATTTATTTCTGCTAGGATGGAGCAGGTCCTGCAGCTTCAGAAGAGGCAATGGCTGACGAATTTTCAGAGCAAATGGCTGCTCAGTTTGAAGAAGCGATGAAAGCTTTTATGTCCCAAGATCCTAGTATGGTACAACAGTTAGAAAAACTATCAGAAGTGGCTGGTAAAGCCGGTTGGTATTTAATTGTTGTTTTTTCATAGTGTGTAACATGGATACCACACTTCTTGTTTGGTGAAAGATCTTTTAGCTTTGTTGCTTTGAAATTATGGAATAAGTTACCTTCTGAGGTTAAAGATTCCCCTTCCTTGCCTGTTTTTAAGAAAAATTTAAAGACCCATCTTTTTAAAAGCCATTTTAATTGTTAAATGCTTAAACATTTCAGAGTCTGAATACTGTATTTTATTCTAATTGTGCAATGTTGATAGATGTTTCCTTGGTTTCTTTTAAATCTTATTCTTGAAATGTTTTATATACCTTAGAGTTGTTATGGTTTTTGATTCATGGTATTTTTTATATACCGGTATATACTTTTATTTTGTACTTTAACTTATGCTCATTATTTACAGAATAAAAGGTATAATGTGTAAAACATGCGAAATAAATATTTACATTTTTAAAAAAAAAAAACTACCGAAATTCTGTATTATAATTGCCTATAGTGAATGATGAACAAATGTTAAAAACTGATCAGAGTACTTTTGACACAGGGAGTTGGATGGCCAAATGGTTAACATGTGCGCGCTGTATCATAGGTCTGTCATTGAGTCAACTAGCGTGGTTTTGATTTCACGGTTGTACGTGACAAGGAGTAGGGTCACCTGTTCAACCTCGTGGGTTTTCTCCGGGTCCGCCGGTTTCCTCCCACTGCTAAAGACCCCTACGCGCAAGCAAGTTATTGAAATAAAATTGAACCATATGTTAGTCCCGAAATGAACTACTTTGTGTCTCTCTCTCAAAATAATATCTATTTTGTTTTAGGGGAGTCTGCTGAGGCTCAGCAAGAGTTTGCCACCACATTATCACAGACATTGTCTGGTCTAGCACAAAATGCAGAAGGTTTACAGGTGGGTTTTAACTTTTTGAGAATGCATACGATCAATTTGATTTATTGTTTGTAGGAAATATAACTTTCAAGATATATTCCCACAAATGTTTGGGGGTGGGGGGTGGAATGGCTGAATGGTTAGTGCGTGCGCCTTGGATCATAAGGTGTGACAAGGAGTAGGGTCGCTGTCCAACCTCATGGGTTTTCTCCGGGTCCTCCGGTTTCCTCAAACTGATAAGAGACCCCTACTCACAAGCAAATTATTGAAATAAAATTGAACCATGTGTTAGTCCCGAAATGACCTAGTTTGTGTCGAGTGGACGTTAAACCCCACCTGTCTCTTTACTACATTGGATGCATGATTTGAGATTCTCGTACATAGAGTTTATAACTTTAAATACTTAACAGTTTATTGTAGCACCATGGGTCTTTTGTCTGACGTGGAGAGCGTACATTGTCAAACCGGTCGCCACATCCTACGTAGAACCCATGCATCTTTTCTTACTACATATTTCTGTAGCCTTGTGATCGTCTAGAATTTGTCTCTAGCTGTCTTTACTTCTGCTTCACGTTGTGTATTTACTTCTCACAGTTTCTTAAGACGTCTGTCTTACCAGGAATAACAATGCGACAGTTTGCTTCTACATATTTTATATATATATATATAGCTGAATACAGGTATACAAGCATAGCAAAAATTACAATACTATATAGCTAAAACCACTTCTCCACCCTATCCAGCCTCTCGGCTGTCTAGGAACTCAGATGTACCCTCGATCTCTGGAATCTAATGCAAGTCTGTCTTACAAAGTTCCCCGGTTTCTCTTATAACCATATGAATATCACACACAATCAAGTGTGATCATGGCCCTGAACTTGTGTAATTAACGATATGATTGGTTACTTTAAGCTAAATCCTGGTGGTAAATGAGTGACATAAATAACTCTTTTTTATGTGTCAACTGTCAATTACAGACTAAGTTGATTTAGTGCACACTATATATGTGAATATGTTTGAAATAACTAACTTGCCAAAGATATTAATTAATGAAATATAAAGACATCTTATTTCAAGAGCAAAAATTCTAGCAATATTATTACATTATGTCGTTTTTTTAGAAGCACATATTTTAAAATACATGTATGATACAAGCCATGGCTAAAGTCTACATATAAAGCAGTAAAATCTACCATTTTTTCTTAGATAAGTATTTTTGGATTAAAAATGTGGTATACTATGCTAAAACCTTTTCTGAAACCAGCTTGCGCTTCTTGTTCACACCAAGTTGCTATTGATGTCAGGAGTTTGTTTAATTTATTTTAGGAAGAAATGTCGGAGGAGGATTTAAATCAAGCGTTTGCTAATATGGGTGTTGGTGCAATGGGTGCTAGTGATGGACAAGAAGGTCCAGATTATTTTCCCATGATGCAGGGAATGATGCAGATGTTATTATCTAAAGAAGTTTTATATCCGTCATTAAAAGAAATTTCTTCAAAGGTAAAATTGAGAAAACCTAATTTATTATCTTGATTTATTTTAAAAGGTAGGACCGAGAAAACCTGTTTTATTATCTGGATTTATTTTAAGAGTATTATTCTTAATTTTGTTTTATTTTTAGTACCGAGTCGAGTGGTTCTGTGTAAAGTGGTGGACACACTATCGGAATGATTCAGCCGAATCAATCGGCGTCGAAATTCGCCTAGTTTGTCCACTGTCATTCGGCCGAATGATTCACCCAAATCAAACATGTTTGATACATTCAGCCAAATTATATTCGCCGAAGCATTCACCCAAGTCACATGATTGTTTGAAGACATGGTCGTCGCCATGTTTAATCATGTGACGTGATGCAATTGACTGGTGCATCACAGCGTGGGATTCACCTAGCATGTCCACCCATTAGGCCAAATAAAATTTGGCGCCAATTGATTCAGCTAATGTGTCCACCACTTTACTGCACGTTAGGTCTTTGAAATATATTATGTATTTATAACCTTATGGATTCCAGGACACTTGGATTTAAATGAAGTACTAGAAAATGACACAGTGTCCAAAAAGATAACACACATAAACAAATTTTGAAATTTCTTAGTCTTTCTCTGACAAGAACAATATGGCCATGCCATTCTTTCCAAAAGTTCAAAGTTTTAGAATTGAGCATGTGGTTTTATTTTAGTATCCGAAATGGTTAGATGAAAATAAAGATAAAATAGAGGAAGAAGATCGGAACAGATTTAATAAACAGCATACATTAATGGTAGAAATTTGTAGCCATTATGAAACCGAACAAGAAACAGATTCTGATGATGTCAAGCGGGAACGATTTGAAAACTTGATGACCATCATGCAACAGGTGTGTATTTGTTGATTTCTTAAGATGACAGGGTTACAGGGTTAGGGTTAGGGCAGTTTGGTATAACCATGGTCTGTAAACATGGCTATCTATGATATTTATCGAGACATGTAATTAAAGATTTTAGTCAATGAAATAAATAAACTTATGTCACACTTCATTCTTGTATTAAAACACTGCATTCTTCACCCGTGAATTGGCAAAGACTATTATACTTGTTCACGGCATGTCGTAAAATTAATATTGACTGATGTGACTACAGTTTCTATCCTTTAAAATTTGTTCCAATCATCAGGAAAAGTATATTTGTTACAAAACAAGTATGACCAGGAACCGAAAATGATGTTTTTGTTGCCCTCCTGGAATTGCGACATATCAAAAATAAAAGCTGGTCAATCGAAATGCATTTGTCCAAGGAACATGTATGCCAAGTTTCATTTCGATCGTACTTGAATTGGTGAGCCTTAGGCTTTTTTTGAAGAGGGTTCCCCTCCCCCCTCCCACAAAAATAAAGAAGAACATGGAGAGTTATTCTTAGAGTCCAGTTTCTGGTCCATAAAGGATATGTTATTAGACACCTTGCCTTGTGAGTTATGCTTAGGGCCCAGATTCTGGTCCAAAACGTAAATCTTGTGAGACACTGCTAGTGAAACTAATTCTTCTACTACCTACAAATTTATACAAGCTGACATTTTATGTTGATGTTCACCGTTCATCGCTCAGAGTATTTGAGATTTCTGAGAAGTCCTAAAAGCAACCCTATCGAAACTTAACCATGTGTATTAAGATCAAAACATTTAAGACATCCTTCATAGTTTTTTCAACCTTTTGGGATTGAACAGTTAGGCCATGGATCGTATAATACATGGACTAGTTACGAGAAGCAATACCGTTCAATGTATGCCACATGAGACTTCACGCGAAAAAAACGTGAGAAATGTCAGTAGCAAGATCACTTAAGGTCCATGGTTTGGCTATAAGTGAAATGAAATGGGGTTTAACATCCTACTGTTCTGCTCCAACTGGGCTAATGAAGACGAAAATACTCCACATGCTATGAGGAAAATTTTGCCCGGGCAGCAGCAATATAGCCTACTCTGATATCGAATTCCAACTGCCAGCAGATCTTTCACGTGCACGCCAATGTATAGCCTACATGGGTCCTCAGTTTTTCGTCCCATCCAAACAACTAGACAGCCGTTCTTGTCAGGCCCTCCGTCCTGCACCATTGACAAGAGGTTAGGCTACATTGCTATAAGGAGAAATTCAGATTTATGTGTAAAATTATTATGGAGTTATTACACCTATTAAGAGGAATAAGAGTTATTCCTAAAAGTTTTGCAGGGTTATTGCCCCAGTCATCAAAACCTTGTAAAGTTTTACAGGGTTATTGCCCCTGTCATCAGAACCTTGTAAAGTTTTACAGGGTTATTGCCCCTGTCATCAGAACCATGTAAAGTTTTACAGGGTTATTGCCCCTGTCATCAAAACCTTGTAAAGTTTTACAGGGTTATTGCCCCTGTCATCAAAACCTTGTAAAGTTTTACAGGGTTATTGCCCCTGTCATCAGAACCTTGTAAAGTTTTACAGGGTTATTGCCCCTGTCATCAAAACCTTGTAAATTTTTACAGGGTTATTGCCCCTGTCATCAAAACCTTGTAAATTTTTACAGGGTTATTGCCCCTGTCATCAGAACCTTGTAAAGTTTTACTGGGTGATTGCCCCTGTCATCAAAACATTGTAAAGTTTTACAGGGTTATTGCCCCTGTCATCAAAACCTTGTAAAGTTTTACAGGGTTATTGCCCCTGTCATCAAAACCTTGTAAAGTTTTACAGGGTTATTGCTCCTGTCATCAGAACCTTGTAAATTTTTACAGGGTTATTGCCCCTGTCATCAGAACCTTGTAAAGTTTTACAGGGTTATTGTCCTAGTCATCAAAACCTTGTAAAGTTTTACAGGGTTATTGCCCCTGTCATCAAAACCTTGTAAAGTTTTACAGGGTTCATCAAAACCTTGTAAAGTTTTACAGGGTTATTGCCCCTGTCATCAGAACCTTGTAAAGTTTTACAGGGTTATTGCCCCTGTCATCAGAACCATGTAAAGTTTTACAGGGTTATTGCCCCTGTCATCAAAACCTTGTAAAGTTTTACAGGGTTATTGCCCCTGTTATCAGAACCTTGTAAAGTTTTACAGGGTTATTGCCTCTGTCATCAAAACCTTGTAAAGTTGTACAGTCATAGTTTTATCTACTACTATAAATATAAACAAAAATATTGAAAAAATCTTAAAAATCAATTTTACCTTTCACTTTCAAAATTTTCTTTTAAATAAAAGCTTTTTGAAAAGAAAAACCCCAAAAGAAATGTGTGTTTGTTGTTTGAGACAGATTATTGTGTTTTACAATATAAAACTAATAACTTAGGAGAGACAAGATTGTTTTATATTCATTCCTTTGTTTCATTCAATACTTTGTTCTTGTTATCTTTATAAGATATTTATAAAACATGTCTGGCTCTTGTAGACATTGGTTGAACTGAACAAAGAAACATCTTAAATCTGAAAATTAATTTATATACAATACTTTTACAGATGCAGGAATTAGGCCAGCCTCCTAAAGATATAGTTGGGGATATGGTAAGTTTTCCTTTATAAATATGATCTTGTATAAAACATATTATTATTATTCCTGCGGGGTTGGATGGTCGAATGGTTAGCACGTGCGTGCTGTATCATAAGGCCTGTCATTGAGTCAACTGGCGTAGTTTCAATTCCCCAGTTGTACGTTGCAAGGAGTAGGGTTGCCTGTCCAACCTCGTGGGGTTTCTCCGGGTCCTCCGGTTTCCATCCACTGCTAAAGACCCCTACGCGCAAGCGAATTATTGAAAAGTTAACCACAGACACTTTGATTCTAATAGAATTGGTAAATAGTTTCATTACATCACGGGGGGGGGGGGGGGGTTGGATGGCTGAATGGTTAGCGTGCGCGCGCTGTATCATAAAGTCTGTCATTGAGTCGACTGGCGTGGTTTCGAATCCCCGGTTGTACGTGACAAGGAGTAGGGTCGCCTGTCCAACCTCGTGGGTTTTCTCCGGGTCCTCCGGTTTCCTCCGACTGCTAAAGACCCCTACGCGCAAGCGAATTATTGAAATAAAATTAAACCATATGTTAGTCACGAAATGACCTAGTTTGTGTCGAGTGGATGTTAAACCCCATTTCTCTCTTTCTCTCTATTATTATTCCATAATTTTTATGGTGCAGGCTAATTCCAGGATAAAGTTTTCCTATGTGTGTTACAGTGGGGGGGGGGGGGTAACATTCATTCGACACAAACTAGGTCATTTTGGGATCAACATATGGATCAATTTTATTTCAATAATTCGCTTGCGCATAGGGGTCTTTAGCATGTGATTATGGAAGAAATGATAACGATATGGATACACATTTTTTGACACAATAACCCCTGCTTCTGAATGTTAAAAATTGGTGTAGATGTTCATTAGGTGAATATCTTGACTGACTTTGGTTATGAGCATTTTCTGCTTCGACTTAATGGAGAGGGAGAAAAGGGGTTTACCGTCCACTCGACACAAACTAGGTCATTTTGGGACTAATATATGGTTTAATTTTATTTTATTACGTGTAGGGGTCTTTAGCAGTGGGAGGACCTGGAGAAAACCAACTCCTTGTCGAAGAATCTAAATCATACCACAGACACTTTGATTCTAATAGAATTGGTAAATAGTTTCATTACATCACGGTCTTAACTAAGTTTCATAATGAACATTTCTGTTCTGGTTAAGCTGTGATTAACAATTTGATCATTTGTAAAGAGTATTTTATATTTTATTTCAGGCACCAGGTTTAGAATTTGATGAGAATGGATTACCGAAACTCCCTGGAATGGCTTCTTCATGTTCAATCATGTGAAAATACATGTTATGATGTACGTTCCAATACTTGTCTGAATTCCTGGTTTCATCAGATCTTAGACTTTGTAATGGTAATAACCATTATCAACAAATCTATGATCTGTGATAGTTCACTTTCGGTTGCTATTAGTTACATGTTTTCTAAATAGCTTGAAATCTTTTAAAATAAAATTAAAATGTTTTTGACTTTATTTGTGTATGCATTTATAACTTATTAAAGATGGCAGATCATATAACAGGCTATTGATACTATGGTAATAGTACACATCTTTAACTATTCCATGCATTAACTAAAATATATCAAACAAAATTCCAGAATTATTGATAAACCATTAATATACATGTACCTTTTTTTCGCTTGAGGAGTTGGATGGCCGAATGTTTAGCATGGGCGAGTTGTATCATAAGATCTGCTATCGAGTCTACTGGCGTGGTTTCAATTCCCTGGCTGTACGTGACCAACCTCGTGGGTTTTTTCTGGGTCCTAATTGAAATGAAAACTGAACAATATGTTAGTCCCGAAATGACCTAGTGGATGTTATACCCATTTCTCTCTCCAAAATAATGAAACCAATAATAATTTCAAGTTCTGTGAAGCATTATAATATTGAGTTTTTTTTATAATTGATTTTAGAGATGTGTGAGTGTTAGTGTTGACTGAATGTGTGCATATGGTTAATATAGCTAGCATGTTTTAATGTTTGCAAGATTCTTGTTAAATTATGTATTAATTTGATTGTAAATTATGGCATTTAAACAATTAGTTATACATATAAAGGAATAATTTTGTATTTATAATTTTCAGAATTTATTTTATAATTATTATTACTAATTGTGATTGCTTAAAACATTGATTAAAACTTTCAATAGTAGAACCATTTTATTTATCTTTTATATCATCTTTTCATTTGCCAAATGCCCAAATGGTTTGGATGGCCAAATAGTTAGCACGTGCGTGCTGTATCATAAGGTCTGTCATTGAGTCAACTGGCATGGTTTTGATTCACCACCTCAAAATATCTGGTTTTGATGACAAGGTACTAAACTTGAAATATAATTGATGAGCAAAACAATAGCAAGAAGTAAACATTGGAAAATCTGTGACCCCAAAACAACTTATATATAGGCCTTAATATCTTTATATAATCCATGTTGTTAAAGTGATAACAAGTATTTGATGACATGGGCAACTGAGGTATGACTTACGGCGTGCCAAAATATAGATATCATTTACAGTATGGCTAGGGTCATGATCAGCACCCAGTCATCGGAATGGAACGGAAAACTAAGGTCTGTGCAACTTTTGGGTTTCTGGTAAATTGTATAGTGATTAGACAAAAACGCCTGTCAACTAATGAACACTTATTCACAAATTATTTGAGGAGGGGGGTGGTGGAATATGCCAGAAAGTTTGAAAAAGAACCCACTATAATTGTGCCATTAGCCCCCCGCCGACGTTTAGCACCCGGTTTTTACAGTCCTGTGATAAATCATTTTCATTGATCCTTTAATAATAAAAAAAACAAAAACCTTTTTAACATCAGATTTAAATTTCAAAGACAGGATAATTAAATTGACAACATGGAACATGCAGGCGGACTGGGGCGACGACAATATTCGGATTAAATTGTAAAACAGACGTACAAAACTCTATCCTGGAACTAAGTTCAATTTCACGTTATATCAAATTGAAATTTCATGTTACAAAGTTAAATGGTTGAGCTTTGTTCAACTAAATAAAACAAAAGATGCTCCGTCAGGTCTCATAATGAGGTTGGCCTTAAATTGCATTCCGATGTCTAGCGATTGTGCACTTTGTAGTCACGTGATATCCTCTTCCGTTTTCTTTATTGGGTAAGAAAAGAGAGGAGGCGGTAGATGTTTTGAAGTTCACATTCATTGAATTAGACTTTTATTCTTCGTATTTCTTCAGAAGTTCTTGTCATCTATGTGGATGAAATGTCTCATTTTAATTTTGAGAAAACAGTTAACGAATTAACAAGACTGGATGGGCCATTGCAGAAAGCTCCATTGATGAGATGGCAGAGGAAAGCAAAAGAAGCCGATTTACGACTGACGATGCCATCGGCTTCCGGCGATATTTCTTGCGTTTTATCCCCATCAAAGCCAAGATCTGCTAAAACCCCAGCAACTCCATTGAGTGCTAAATTGTCATGTCACACATTTACGCCATGTAAAACACCAAAATCAGCTGCATTAACAAAAACTCCGCGTAAAACTCCAATGAAAAGTTATGGGGATAGGTTCATCCCGAATCGATCAACAACAAATTTTGAAATGGGTCATTATGCATTGACACGCAAGAAGGAAAGCACAGTTGTAAACGAGGAGGACGACGAAAGTGATGTTTATCAACAACTTTTGAACAGTGCTCTAACAAATGGGGTAGATCCAAACAAAGCTAAAATCCTTTCATATAAAGGCAAAGCCCCACCCCAAGCCGAAGGTATTTCTAACAATCTGAAAGTTTTGTACAGCTCTGTTAAATGTTCTGGTCCAAAAGTTAATCCTACACGACAAGTGCCTAAAGTGCCAGAACGTATCTTGGATGCGCCAGATCTAAGAGATGATTATTATTTAAATTTGCTCGATTGGTCCCACAGAAATCTACTGTTGGTTGCGCTGGGTAATGCGGTGTATCTATGGAACGCCACTGAAGGCAGTATTTCTCAGCTATGCGAGTTACCGTATGCGGATGACTATTTTTCGAGCATTCGTTGTATTGAAAAGGGGGATTATGTAGCCCTGGGCACTAGCTCTGGAAGTGTGATGCTTTTTGACATTGGCACCGAAAAACACATCAGAACAATGTCTGGTCATGCAGCGAGAGTAGGCGCGTTAGATTGGAACACCTTCATTCTGTCGAGCGGTTCGCGTTGTGGCGCAATACACCACCACGATGTTCGTGTTGCAGAACATCACGTGGGAACCCTGTCTAGTCATACCCAGGAAGTTTGCGGTTTGAAGTGGTCACCCGATAAAAGATACCTTGCCAGTGGGGCGAATGACAATATGCTATATATTTGGAATGCGACACTCGGACATGACATCAAACCCTTGTATTCACTTAGTGAACATCAGTCTTCTGTCAAAGCCATATCCTGGTGTTCTTGGCAACCATCTTTGTTAGCAAGTGGTGGTGGATTAGCTGATCGTTACATCAGATTCTGGAATATGAGCACAGGTACGTGTCTTAATGCAGTCAACACCCATTCACAGGTGTGTTCCATTCTATGGTCTAAGGAACACCGAGAACTCATTTCTGGACATGGCTATTCACAAAATCAACTGAGCTTATGGAAATACCCTTCCATGTCAAAGGTCGCAGATTTAATGGGTCATTCAGCAAGAATTCTCTATATGGCATTGTCTCCAGATGGTACAACAGTGGCCAGTGCAGGTGCAGATGAGACAATTAGATTATGGAAATGTTTTGAAAACATAAAGCAAGCGAAAGCTCCTGCAAAAACCTCTGGTGAAACGTCCACTCTGAGCATATTAAAGAAAATCCGATGAGAAAATGAAGGACTTATACTTGAGGAGACTAGCTTCAGTATTAACCTGTGTATAAATGTGTTTCGGTCATTAAAGCTTATCTAATAAAAGAGAAAACTACTTTAGTGGAATCTTTAATGGTAGATTCGTGAGAGATATTGATATTTTCTTAATAGTCTTCAAGTTTTGTTATATATATATATATATATATCTCTCCCTCTCTTTGTTAATCTTTCTTTCATATACCATGTGCTATTTCCAATTGTAAATATCTTTTTATAAATGAGTCCAAAATATTCTATGTCCTTTTCTGTTTTTCACTATTATTCTTGTGTGATCATATCCTCAATAAAGTTAACTCGATTACTGATTATGTTTATATATATTTTACCAGTTTTGATTGATAAATTTTGGAATTAATAAATCAATTAGGTGTACTTTCATTAGTTTATAAAGGCTTTGTTGTTTAACTCTTGCCTCTCTATGAATTCATGATATTCATGTGAATGTTTTAATGAATATAAGCTAGCTCTCTATAAGCTAACTCTTCATTAATTTGTTATTCATGTAAATGCTTGAATTATTATAAGCTAGCTCTCTATTAATTCATGATATTCATGTAAATGCTTGAATGAACATAAGTTAGCTCTCCATTGATGATATTCTTGTAAAAGCTTGAATGAATATAGCTAGCTCTCTATTAATCGATGATATTCATGCAGATGCTTGAATGAATATAAGTTAGCTCTCTATTAATTGATGTTATTTATGTAAATGCTTGAATGAATGAAAGTTTAAAGATTAATAAATTTAGATTGATGTATGTTCTGTACATAATGTATAATAATATTGTAAAGAATGTGTGAATGTCTGTTTTTAGGGTTGTGTACATGTTTGTGTTGACTAAGACATCTAAACCAGAACACAGGAAATCCCCACCATAATGAAATCCGAAATAATGAAATGTTAGTTTGTATTTGAACAATGACATAAATATGTCCTCATTTATATCATTTTATTTAAATTGTGATAAAAATAGAATACTATAATTTTCATGTAGAGTGATATCTTTGTTTAATGAGGCTAAGATACCACTGATGTAATAAGCAATCTAAATTGTATTTGGGTAATTTTCATGTGCACTAAAGCCTTTGTTCTGTACTGTTTTAAATATGTGGTGTTTTCATATGTGTATCATTTTTCATGGAATAAAATATTTATAAAACACAGTCTAGACAGTGATATAGTTTTTCCATAATTATAATATTACTTGAGGGAATTTTATTTTTATTCAAGAATAGGAAATAGAAAGCTAAAAATCGTAATTTGATAAACTTAATAAATATGAATTGTAATTGATGAAAACATTGAATTATGTGTAAAACATAAAATAATGTTGATAAAGATTTGTTTAATCTGAAGACATTCACTTTCTGAATTTTATATCAATTAAGTCTTCTATTGATGGTCAAGTACAGGTGCATGCGTGTTATCCGTCTTCTATTGATGGTCAAGTACAGAGGCATGTGTGTTATCCGTCTTCTCAGTGTTCCCAATGTCTAAAGCCCTTTTGCAATAGAATAGTCATATATACACGCATGAATTGTCTCCCTTGACACATCAGTTCCTCAAGGTCATCTGGGCCAGGGGGAATAGATGGCCGAATGGTCAGCGCGCGGCGTGGTTTCAATTGCACCCCTACGCGCAAGCTAATGATTGAAATAAAATTGAAGCATATTATGTTAGTCCCGAAATGACCTGGTTTGTGTCGAGTAGACATCTTATTATTTTAACGTATTCCTTCATGATCAGTGGCCTGGTTAATTACCCCGCGCCTCATTCACTGAGCCCCCGTGTCCCCGATTTGTGTAAGACGCATAAAGGTTGTGGGTGTAAAATCAACTGAGACCATTTCTGTGAATAAAATATTGTTTATAAAAAAAAAATAAAAAAAATAGCTGATGTAAGAATTGTTTGACTTGGCCCAATATTTGTTAATAAAGTTTTTTTTTTTTTTTTTAACTTTCGTGTGGCATGTTTGGGCTTTAAACGTGGATAATATACTATTTGTTACGGAACTGGTGCACTTAATATTAGCTTTGTAAAGTTTTGAATAAATAGCCCATAACTCACAGAAATCGATTCTTTACGCTTGAAGTTATAAATGATCGATTTTTAAGTTAGTACCATTAACGGTTTAAGTAGTGAGTGGAAGTGAAGAGGAATAGATATACTATTGGAATGACCTTGAATAGCTATGTTATTAACCCAAATTAAAACACACAATTAAAGGCTGGATCTGTTAAGGCCAACTTAATTACACCACCCAACGTCACATTTGAATTAAATTATCATGACATTTTTCAGCGACTCTGTCTCAGACGAGTTATTTGCCGCTGAATTTGATTGGAACATGAACATAATAAGACTTGAAAGATAATAGCTTTACTTTAAAGAGATTTGCCACGTAATTACAGACGCATGTGCTTATAAACCCATGCATTGTAAAATTTGTTCGCGTCGGCAGGGGACTTTAATTGGGCAGCTAATTGTAAAAATACTCCAAATCTGGATGGAGGGTTGGATGGCCGAATGGTTAGCACGTGCGCGCTGTATCCTACGGTTTGTCATTGAGTCAACTGGCGGGGGACTTTAATTGGGCAGCTAATTGTAAAAATACTCCAAATCTGGATGGAGGGTTGGATGGCCGAATGGTTAGCACGTGCGCGCTGTATCCTACGGTTTGTCATTGAGTCGGGGATCACGTGGCTAAGTGGGTAAGACGTTAAACTCCATTTCATTTCATTTCATTTCATTTGTCATTTAGTCAACTGGCCTGGTTTCGACTCTCTGGTTGTACGTGACAAGAAGTAGGGTCGCCTGTCCAACCTCGTGGGTTCTCTCCGGGTCCTCCGGTTTCCTCCCACTGATAAAGACCCCTACGCGGAAGCGAATTATTGAAATAAAATTGAACCATGTGTTAGTCCCGAAATGACCTAGTTTGTGTCGAGTGGACGTTAAACCCCATTTCTCTCCCTCCCTCTCCAAATCTCGACACACAGACTAAAATTTGCATGGGTGTTCTTCGTTTAGGGTCATTTATTAGCAAAATCCCGTTAGCCACTTGAATTTCCAAGATGGTTATCTTTTACGCAAAATGTGAATTATATAAAGTTTGTGGACATTTCTAGAGCCACCCATTTTTTTTCGATTAAGATAAAAACTTAAAATATGTTTTAAAGGTCAATAAAATAGAGAATTTGGTGTGACTCTATCGCAAAAAAATGATATTTCGGTGTCACTCGGCAAACCTCAGCAGATTTATTACCTTACATCTAGCCTCGGCTGTGTGACGAGGTCCGCCATTGAAACTACTTTCAAGTTCCCTGCATGATTACCAACGGCGTTGCCCATGACGACGCCTTTGAAGAATGTTTTATCATACAAAGATTTCAAAGTCTGAAGCTGTTTTTGTCTAAAGTTTATCCAATTTTCTTTAGACAAGGACAAGTTTGCACTGAAAATTCTACACACTCTTCGAACAAGGCAATTGTAAGAAGTTCTTTCTAAAAGCGGCAAGTTTTCCGAATAAGTAAACCGGCGCCGCATCGCAATTGTATAGGCGTATGTACATATCACTTACCATCATACAGCCGAGGCTAGATGTATGATACCGGAATCTGCCGAGGTTTGCCGAGTGATTTCGGTGTCTGAAAGGCGGCCATCTTGAAAATGGTCGCCATCTTGGATTTTCCAATGGCTAATGAGCTTTTTCAAAAGAATAGTTCCCAGGGAGTATTTGTTCCAATTTGAACGATTTCCACGATTTTCTGCAGTTAGCTGTTCGACTCTGGCATGTTGGTGCTTTAAACATGAACAATATATTGTTTGTTACGGAACTGGTGCACTTAATATCAATTTTGTAAAGTTCTGAAAAAGTAGCACACAACGTACAAAAACATCGATTTTCTGCTTTTGAGACCGTATATAAAATAAATATTTGTCATAAATAAATAAATATTAAGTTAAAAAATAATTAAAATCGATCAGGACCATTGGAAGTTTATAATATTTTCTAATGATTTTTAACGCCGCTATCTTTATACGCCCCAGGTAGTCTGTTCTAAACGAAAAACAACTGTATCTTAAGGAGTGGCAGTTCTTACTATAATAGTTAAAAACTACATAATGTAAAGGGAATTTGCTGAAAATTTCTGCCAAATTGATCCACTCAATTAGCGATTGAATTTTCGGCTTAGCCTCGATCATCATTAAGTCGGTACGATAAAAAAACTTAGTTTCGATCATCCATTTCATGATTAAATCATGAATGGAAGTCGAACAGCAAATCGAAACCTAATCCAATAAACATCACAGACTAGCAATGGCATCGAGAGTTGATTCTGGTCTGGATAAGTTAATTAATGTTTAATTAATTATGTAGATAACATTTCAGGCCTCAAGAAAGACGTGCGATAGGCAGATTTAGCTCTTGTCTAATGTATGTTAACTTGGATGTTGCATGGCTCTTGTGTTTATTATAGGGGGGTGGATGGCCGAATGGTTAGCGCGCGCGTTGTGTCATAACGTCTGTCATTGAGTCAGCTGGCGTGGTCTCGATTCCCTGGTTGTACGTGTCAAGGAGTTGGGTCGCCTGTCCAACTTCGTGGGTTTTCTCCGGGTCCTCCGGTTTCCTCCCACTGCTAAAGAACCCTACGCGCAAGCGAATTACTGAAACAAAAATGAACCATTATTAGTCCCGAAATTACCTAGTTTGTGTCGAGTTGACGTTAACTCTCTCTCTCCCTCTCTCTCTCTCTCTCTCTCTCTCGTGTTTGTTATATAGCTGGTACAAATAGGCATTGTTCCAGTGTACCCCGTCGACAATTAGATTCAACATGTATTATTTCTAAAATAAAATACATCCACCAAAATAACAATCACGGTATAAAGAAGCTAAATATTTTATTTAATTAATCTTGAATACAAGTTGATGAAGCTAAATCGCATTCCCGAATTGACTCATCCCAAACTTTGCCATCCATGCACGGCTGGTCTGCGTATAAAATTCCATTTACGCATGTAACATATACGTTACATGATTTGCACGATTGGTAATTACCGTCTCGTTTGTTGCTGCAGTTGTATGTACACGGTCCATTCGTCCTGTAATATGAAACAGAGAATAGTATTTTAGCACACTTGTCTTTATTTATGCTTGGCGTAGCAGAGGATGTGAATGACGCAGGGGGGGGGGGGGGCGGGGCTAGGCCCTTGGAGGAATAACGTAGTCTCGATTATCAAGGCTGTCGTTGCTATGATAATAAACAAAGTCTCGATTATCCATTGTTTAATTAAATGATCGTGTATAAATCCGTTGAACATCTCAACCGTCCTATGGTCTAGAGAGTGTGTGATTGGTATGTGATTAAATGTCTAATTATTGGTTTATATAATATTTGAGGCCAAACAGAAGATCTGCAATACGCAGCTTTAGCTCTCAGATAATGCACTTTTCTTTAAGAGTAAATCTTTAACAATCAATCTTTCATATACATAAAAATCTTCAGTTTCATTAAATAGAAGCGGAATAAATACTACCCAAAGTATACTTAGTGTTTTCGGCTAAAATCTTGATGCAGGAATTAAAATGTCGGTCAACTAACTTCGCGTCTGTTGTCAAACGGAGCTCATTGTAGCCAGGCAGCGTAAGTTTCGTACGGGTTTGGGAAGCAAGACTGTTAGTAATACAGCACGCCCTTATAGAAAAGGGAGGTTGGGTGGATGGTCGAATGGTTAGTGCGTGTGCGTTGTATCATAAGGTCTTTCATTGAGCCTGGTTGTACTTAACAACTATTAAAGACCCCTACTCGAAAGCGATTTATTGAAATAAAATTGAACCATGTGTCAGTCCCGAAATGACCTGGCTCGTGTCGAGCGGACGTTAAACCCCATTTCTCTCTCTCTTCCCTTATAGAAAAAGAGATTACGTTTATTAGGCCAAATACAGCGTACAGTTCGAAATGGGGCTGTTAAAAGATTTACTCTGGTCAAATTCAAACGTTGTTGTTAGTGTTTAACGTCCGCTTCTACCGAAGGTGATATCACAAGTCATATTTTTCATTTTTATTATCTTAGAGCACGCGCAGGGGTCGTTGCTGTGGGAAGAAACCGGAGTACCCGGAGTAAACCCACAAGGTTGATAAGGTGCTCCTATCTCCAAGCCACATACGCTCACACCAGGGATCGGAACCACAACCACAAGCCAGAGATGACCACTAGGCCATCCCAACCCCCATCAAATTAAAACGTACGGACTCACCAGCAGGTTCCAGATGGTGGATAGACACACCCCTTTACATTATCATCCCACACTAAATGTTCTCCACAAGTTTCATTTTCATAAAACCTACCACTTATACATCTAATAAATGTCTGACAAGAATCACATGATTGATATACACCATCCGGTCTGCCAGAACAACCGACAATACACGCTGAAAGTAGAAAAACGAAAGTAGAAAAAATAATCTATCAAGGGCACTGTTTCGTGGAGAATAGTCCTGTCTATAGATCGAGGGATGATTTTATACTTTTTCCATGATGCAAAAGTTTGCCACCGTCCCTCATCCTGCGTCCCATGGATTAATGATAAAAATATAAAAATGAAGATCCTTGATCATACAAATTGATTGACAATGATTACGGTTTCAAATTGGCAAAATTCACAAAAGCTTTAATTGATGTACCCATAATGTAAATTCGCTTCTAAATAAGAAATGAAAGTAGAGTTTGGTCTAAGCGAGAAGTCCGAGGAGTTAAAGAGAAGGTATGAATTCGACTTTGATATAGTTGCAATCTGATTGAAATACAGATCTATATTTCGTTTCGTTTTGTTATACGTTCGATGGCCTACACTACATGAAGAGCTGATCAGTTGTACTGGAAGGTCGCGTCAGGAGTCGTACGAGCGGCTTTGACCTATGACGTCAGACATTGATTAATCAATCAGCGTTGACGTTTCTAGTGGTTTACCCACAGTTTCATTGGCCATCCAGAACGCCTGTTATATAACAACTCTTCCAGGCCCTAGTGTAGTACAGACAAATAAAACGAAATATTGAACTATAAAATACGAAACGAAATAGGATCTCTGTTTTAACAGACTTGTAGACCTATTGTCAGACAGAAAAATCTGTAAATAAATAAGAAATACTAAAGACAAATAGTCTAGTTGTGAGAGCAACAGAGAGAGAGAGAGAGAGATGGGGTTTAAAGTCCACTCGACACAAACTAGGCCTTTTCAAGACTAACATATGGTTCAATTTTATTTCAATAATTCGCTTGCTCGTCTGGGCTTTTAGCAGTGGGAGGAAACCGGAGGACCCGGAGAAAACCCACGAGATTGGACAAACGATCCTATTCCTTGTCACGTACAACCGCGGATTCGGAATCACGCCAGACCTTAGCAAGCACTAACCAGTCGGTCATCTAGCCCCTCCACCCCCAACCTGAAGATAATAGATATAAAGATTATGTACCAATAGGATAAATCAATTCTTGGTTGCCGTAAAATAGCTTTCATATGAAAACTGGAAACAACAAAAAAAAAAATACGTAACTGATGTGGTTACATTCGAGAAACCGAACGAAACAAAACTGGATCCCTTATAAAACTAGATAGTGACCCAAACTTTGACACGGGATTACATAGCCAGTAGACAATACATAGAATTGTTTAAAAATGTGTTTGCTGAAAATATGAAACGAAATGGGGTCAGTTAATCAAGGCAGATTAAGTAGTTATGTAACCGGTAGCCGTAGCTATCTTAATTATTTGTATTTCGTTTTCCGGAAAAGCGCTCCGTAGTTCTATATTTAGACTATGGGTGTAAGTTTTGGTACCTATCGCTACTCTAGTAAAATCTATGGTTTTCTCGGCACAGTCATCGCCTGTTTAATATTTTGATATTTTTATATTGTGTAAGAGTATATATTTCTAATTGAGCATGCTGCCTATGTTTTTATTATTGTTAATTGTGTCTGCCGACTGTATTTTCAAGCAAGAACTTTACTATGTATTTATATGTATTTTCACTTAGTTTGTTATAATATTTAGTGGGCAGATTTTGTAAGTAAACATTTTTGATGGGGACTTATATGTATCTGGTAGATAAATTATCTAGCTATCCGTGCCTATCCTTAGTTTTGTGGTGCCTACTTTGTGTCAAAAGTTCTGCATATTTTTTGGATAGTACCCGTGTCTGGATTTTAGATTCCATGCCGACTTGTCCAAGGGAGATAATATTAGCTTCTTGTATATCAAGAATTTATTAATTAGTAGGCATGTTTAATTTAAGTCTTATTTAGTATATTTTATCCTTTCAAATTATTATTTATGCATGTTGTAAGCCATGTGTCATGTTGGTTTAGTTGAGGCATGGGTTCTTTTATTTATTTTGTGTCTGTTAGTTTAGGATTTCACCCCACCTTTTATTACTAGGTGGATGAATAAGTAGAGTCTCATTGCCTCCACGCATTAGCCTGTTGTCTTCTAGACTGGATATTAACATCCTGGCTCAAGAAGGTTTTAAGAAAGTGTAATTAACGAAGTGTTTAATTTAGCCTTTGCGTCTTTGACTGGATAGTAATATCCTGGCTCAAGAAGTGTTTCAAGAAAGTGTTTTTTTAACAGTGTTTGATCGAACTGTTTTTATGTATATTTAGCCTTTTCGTCTTGAAAACTTGATATTATTATCCTGGCTCAAGGAAGTGTTTTGACAGCGTTTGAACACAGTGTTTTATTTATATTTAGTCTTTATGTCTGGTAGTAGAAAGTGTTTTTAGAAGTGTTTTTGTCTATTAATTTATTAGACTAACAGTGTGCGGGTAACACTAAAGTTTAATTGGTGGCTGGAGTGGGATAGTTTTGTGAAGAATTCGGAAGAAGTTGATGTTTGGAGTTATACTATGTTTTATTGCTGTGGGGATGTCATCAATTGCCAACATGAATAGACTTGATAACTTGAGTCTTGGAGAGTTGGAGGCTGCTATTGCAGAACTTACGGATTCGTATAACAGCGACATTGCAACGCTTGGGAGGATGTTATCCCAAACAAGGGTTGATGCTGTTCCTCCATCATTCATGAGTCAGAGATCGACAGTTCCTGTTAATTCGCCATCTTTATTTTCTGACATGAGCAGATCTCCTGTTCGATGTCAGAATCAAAGGCAATCCAGTGTTCGTTTCAGTTCATCTACGTCAGGTTTGGAGAGAACTGCAGATTATTACAGAGATTCGAATCCTGTTAGAACGAGGACGTCTACGCCAGTAGATACTCAACGACAGAGAGATAATATGTATGGACCTGTGTCTAATATCTCAACCTTAGCCAGTCGCTGTTCTCCAGAATCTAGCAGAAGGGCAAGACAAGCAGACAGTCATATGTCTGGATTTGACAGAGCTCAGACAGCCGATGCTAGACCATTACAAAGGTTGGCTAAGCCTATTGCGATGCCCCCCAAGTATAATGGTGAAACACGATTGAATGATTATTTGGTTCAATTTGAAGTCACTGCAGAGATCAACTCATGGAGTGAAGGTGATAAAGCGAGATTTTTGGCGATTAGTCTTACAGGTAAGGCAAGTGATATATTTGGTACGTTGAAACCAACTGATGTTCTTAACTACCCCTGTTTGGTAGAAGCTTTAAAGCAGAAATTTGATCCCCCGGAGTTAGCGGAGATGCACAAGGTACAGTTACGAGAACGACGAAGAAAGAACAACGAAAGTTTATCGGAGTTTGCTCAAGCTGTCCATCGCCTGGTGTATTCTGCTTATCCCAGAAGTAGTGAAATAACGAAAGAAGAGATGGCTAAAGATCATTTTATCCAGTATTTTGGAGATAGCCAGATGAGAATGCTTGTAAGCCAAGCACGTCCCCGTGATTTGAATGCCGCACTACACCATGCTATGGAGTTAGAAGCCATCAAACATTCAGATCCCGATGTACGCTCCACTCATGTAGCTAATGCAAAACCCAAGTCTGGAAAGAAGGCAGAATCTGAGAGTTCTGAACTGCATAAAATGATAGCAAGTTTGAAAGAAGAATTAAAAGAAGTGAAAGAGAAGTTACGAGAGTCAGAAAATAAGATTTCAGATAGGAAAAGAAGAGACCTGTCTGAAGTAACATGCTTTAATTGTCTAGAGTTAGGGCATTATTCTACGACATGTCCCTCACCTCGCAAGAGTCCCCCTGTTGGCTCTTGGCGAGATGGGAGGGTACCATTTCAGCAGACTAATCAGAGAGATACACCTGCTGTACCAGTTCCCATGCCAGCACCTTCAAGGTCACATCATTCTAGCTTAGACAGAACTGTTGGTGTTGTGAACCCTTCCAGTTCCGGTATTTTTGTTGAAGGCAAAGTAGAGGGGCTGGACACAGAATTTTTAGTTGATACAGGTGCTAGCCTGTCGATGATTTCAGAAGATTTTTATGATTCGTTTGAAGAGAAAACCGAGTTGCGTCCGGTTAATTGTAAGCTGTTACAGGCTGATGGCTCGCCTTTAAACGTTAAGGGTCGTGCATCTCTTAAGATCGAAGTTACCGATAAGAGTTTTGTTTTCCCATTTGCAGTTGTGACCATGCCAACAAAGGCTATTCTTGGTCTAGATTTTGCAAAAGAGGAAAATGTTATTATTAATGTTCCTTTGTCAGAGATTTATGTTGGTGGTCAGGTGATCCCATGTCAGACTAAGGGTGGAATTGGTGTATGTCGTGTTATCCCCGAATCGGGTACCGAAAAGGATGATTTGGTTCGTGGTTCTTTGATTGATACTTTGCTTAAATCTTGTAAGGAAAGCCTAACAAGTCAGCAGTATAATATTACAGTGACTACTTTGTCCAGGCATATAAAGGCTTTTGCGGTTGATAGTGATGACGTTGGTAGAACGGAACTTATGTCTCCTTGTATAGAAACTGGGAGTCATCCACCGATTTGCCAACCATCTAAATTACCGCCAGGTGTTTTGTCTTACAATTATCATTGTCATTTTGTTGATTGTAAAGGGAGGTTTCGCTCAAAATATTTCTGGAGAAGACATCTAGCTACACATTTGCCGAAGAACGACAATACAGATGATATATATGCTAAGCTTGTCATGGATGAAGTTGCAAAGGCTAAAGGTAATACTTCAAAATCTACACTGAAGACTGTTCCGGTGGCAACAGTAACAAGTAATTCTGTTGGTTCTAGTCCAGCTAGTGTTGTGGATTCGGAGGCTACCAAACGTTTTGTTTGTCAAATTTCTCAGCAGCCCGAATCGACTTTGTCGAACGAAGAGAAGACTGTTGATCTTGAAGTACCTGTTGATATGTCTTTTAGCCCTAAAGAATCTGTTGCAGTTTCGTTAAGTCCAAAGAAACTGCCTACAATATCTTTGAGTCCCAGGAAGGATAATTCACCTATGAAATCTGATGCAAGGCCTAAAACTTCCGATGTATCAACATCTCCCCCACCCTTATGGCCCATTGCTATGTCTAACTCAGATGAGCCATTGGGATTTACAATTAAAGAATCCATACACAAAACATCAGGGGCTGGTGGAAAAGAACGCCTTTACCGACTTATACCTAGATGGGGACAGGAAGTTGCAGACTTTGATGGTAACGGGAAACTGAAGGGTTTCAGGACAACGCTACAATCTTTGTATTGGCCCGTCGATGAAGCTCCTCCACCACCCTTGGAAAAATTAGAAGAAAAGAGATTACGCGATAACGCTAAGTGAACTTTGAGTAATGTTTGCGAGTTTAATCGACGATTATCGTGTTGAACTGATCGTGGTTCATTGTGATATAAAAGTGTGTTGGTGGTATACGTTATTTGTGTTGTGATGAATATATATATCGCGGGAACAAATCAGTGATTTTCAACTCTAATGACTGTGTTAATTCTTTAAACTGTGATTTTATAGATCATCAGTGTGAACTGATTTCGCGAAAACATCGCGTTTGCGAGCTGTAATTTGGACAATATGTCGCGTGTTGGAGTAAAAGTGACTTGAACTGTGATTTAATGATTTGACATTTTGAACTTTATAAGTTTATTCCAGTTATCAGTGTTTTGAAATGTTTAATTTGTTCATTATGTTTACTATTTCGATCGAGGACGATCGATTTTCGGAGTCGTGGGTAGTGTAACCGGTAGCCGTAGCTATCTTAATTATTTGTATTTCGTTTTCCGGAAAAGCGCTCCGTAGTTCTATATTTAGACTATGGGTGTAAGTTTTGGTACCTATCGCTACTCTAGTAAAATCTATGGTTTTCTCGGCACAGTCATCGCCTGTTTAATATTTTGATATTTTTATATTGTGTAAGAGTATATATTTCTAATTGAGCATGCTGCCTATGTTTTTATTATTGTTAATTGTGTCTGCCGACTGTATTTTCAAGCAAGAACTTTACTATGTATTTATATGTATTTTCACTTAGTTTGTTATAATATTTAGTGGGCAGATTTTGTAAGTAAACATTTTTGATGGGGACTTATATGTATCTGGTAGATAAATTATCTAGCTATCCGTGCCTATCCTTAGTTTTGTGGTGCCTACTTTGTGTCAAAAGTTCTGCATATTTTTTGGATAGTACCCGTGTCTGGATTTTAGATTCCATGCCGACTTGTCCAAGGGAGATAATATTAGCTTCTTGTATATCAAGAATTTATTAATTAGTAGGCATGTTTAATTTAAGTCTTATTTAGTATATTTTATCCTTTCAAATTATTATTTATGCATGTTGTAAGCCATGTGTCATGTTGGTTTAGTTGAGGCATGGGTTCTTTTATTTATTTTGTGTCTGTTAGTTTAGGATTTCACCCCACCTTTTATTACTAGGTGGATGAATAAGTAGAGTCTCATTGCCTCCATGCATTAGCCTGTTGTCTTCTAGACTGGATATTAACATCCTGGCTCAAGAAGGTTTTAAGAAAGTGTAATTAACGAAGTGTTTAATTTAGCCTTTGCGTCTTTGACTGGATAGTAATATCCTGGCTCAAGAAGTGTTTCAAGAAAGTGTTTTTTTAACAGTGTTTGATCGAACTGTTTTTATGTATATTTAGCCTTTTCGTCTTGAAAACTTGATATTATTATCCTGGCTCAAGGAAGTGTTTTGACAGCGTTTGAACACAGTGTTTTATTTATATTTAGTCTTTATGTCTGGTAGTAGAAAGTGTTTTTAGAAGTGTTTTTGTCTATTAATTTATTAGACTAACAGTGTGCGGGTAACAGTTAATCAAGGTAGGTATATAGACGGTATAATCAATCTAGCTTATTATCAACGATAATCGGGTTGAGTGGTAGTTATACACTCAGTACACTATATTAATTTTAGAATTTTGAATATTATTCACCGATTGGGCATATTCTTGGTCGGACAATTTAGGACGTTTGGAAAATAGCGTCGGACATGTCCGGAACATACGGGCGAAATCCCATTACTGGTTTAATGTCCGACTGGACTGACGGAGACGGGGCTGGAGAAATAAATATGTATACTCATACCCGGTCCTGTTCCCCATTTGGTGGGTGTAGTTAACACATCTTTATTTTTAAAAATTGATGTGGCACACACAAAGGCCAAAACGGGAAATAATCCATATATCGATCTCATTGATCTCGCTGAAAGAAAAATATTGTTTTTATTAGACAAAGTTGAAACGATTCAAAATTTAATTACCTTCTATTTATTAAAATAACATGAAATGAGGTGGGTTTAACGTCCTACTTGTCTGCACTGACTGGACAAATGAAGATGGGCGTAGGCCATACAGTGTCCTATGAGCACAATTTTGCCCGGACAGCGGCACTACGACCTACTCTTATATTGAATTCCAACTATCAAGGGATCTTTTACGTGCACGCCAATGTGTGCCAATATGTACACGGGACCTCAGTTTTTCGTCCCAACCGAACGACTAGACACTGTTCATACCAGGCCCACTGTCCGGCGCCCACTGACCAGCGGAAACCAAGCTGGAAAATTCCGGGAAACTTTCTCGATCAACACCCGAGATCGATCCCCGGACCTCCTGGTTAGTGGGTCAACGCCTTAATCACTGAGCCATCGCGGTTCACAATAATCTATAATATAAATTATTTAACTTCCATTAACATTATCTCCAGGTAAAGTTGCCAAATGTCTAGGTAATTAAAATAACCGAGTCTACATGAAAGTAGCTAAAGTCTCTAACTCCATATCCTCCAAAGACTTACACGTTGAAAATACGAATTATTTGTCAATTTAAATCAACATTGATGTTGTGATCCTACCGGGAAAAGATGGACTTCTGGTATCTAATATTTAAGACAAAATAAACATTTTACCATTGGTACACGACTCGTGTACCATAATGCGTTTCAGCGCCATTTGTAACAAGGGACTCGAAGAACGATGCTAGACGTATTCCACAAGTCATGTCAAACGGTAACGTCATATTCTTATCAGGAGAGCATTCGCAATAAATACTCTCGATGTAGACTAGAATAACCAGACGTTAGATATTGCCATTCGATTGAGACTTCTGATGTACCGATATATCGCCGAACATAACTGATTTGAAATTAGAGTAAAAACGGAAACGGTTGAATGTAAATCAGTTTATATGCATTCATATTATAGAATTATAAGCGTTTCGACCCATTTGTGTCAATTTCTAGGTCCCAAATATTAGCGATTTAGCTGCTTTAAATATGAATATTAATCCTGTTTGTCACAGATTCCGAGTTGTGACCAGATTTTAAGATATTGAATTGGTGAGTAGAATATAATACACATACAGTTAACATAACTCAAACTTCTTAAATAAACTGGATGTGGTATCAGCTGTTATATATAACGACATCTGCGGCTTCCCATAACCCACAAGATTGATAGTTTGAACTTAGATAATTCTAGGGAATCGATACAGAAGTACATTATTACAAAAGATAAAATGTAAAATTTTATAGGATTTTAAAGGCTCAATACCACTCTTGTTGTAACTGAATAATATGTCCCAATCTTTATTCTGGTCAACAAATTGTACTATTTTACAATATTCCAATTAATTGATGATACAAATTTCATCTTAACACACCTAATTTAAAAAATTGGAAAAATTCAACTAAATGATTTGAAAAGCCTGACGTAAAGCTTTTCAAATGTGGCTTGGATTCAAAAATATTTTTGAACCCTCTGGACAAGTAAAATAGGATTTAATGGATAATTTACACAACAGGTAGGACACTAACACATCTAGTACTTAGAATAAGGCTATTTTTTTATTTTCTGTAGCTGTAAAGCCAGCAAGAGTGTTATTGTCCCTTTAAATATTGATCAGGCTTCATTGAATATTTTACATCTACAGATAAAGCCAGTGTTAAAATGATCAATTTAGTTTCACACTGTTCGAGCAGTAAGACAAAAATTAAACCAAAAGTAGCAAACAAGCCGACTTCCGCCGTTTAATCTTACTCAAAAAGCATTTAATTGTATAGAGTTTGCCCCATCAATGAAGTTATGGTTGAATAATTTCCTGTAGATGAACATTGAGTAATTTCTACTTTTATTTAGAACAAATCATTAATTACTGTTAAATAAACCTACAAGATACATCATTTTAAGACAATGACCCCGACTTGCTTATCTAAGCAATTATTACCATTTTTTTTTATTTCGAGGACTACTCCTCGGAATTGGTCGGCTTTCTGTAAAGAGTAGGCCTTGGCGCCGCTGTCTGGGCAAAATTTTCCTCATAGCACACTGTATGGCGTATGCCAGTCTTCATTAGCCCTGTCGGTGCAAAACAGCATTTCATTTCATGTTATGTATTTCAGTTTATTTTCTTAGTTCTGTAACAGTTTGAATATATTCAAATATTGAAACTGTAACAGAACGAAGAAAATGAAATGAAATGCTGCTTTGCACCGACAGGGCTAATGAAGACAAGACTCCATGTAGAGTCACGGTGGCAAAGTGGGTAAGACGCTGGCTGGCTAGCCTGGAGGTCATGTTTTCGAACCCTGCATTGGCCGAGAAAGTTCATCGGAATTTTCCGACTTGGTTTCCCCTTGTCTTTGGTGCAGGATGGGGGGGGGGGCTGACAAGGACAGCTGTCTAGTCATTCGGGTGAGACGAAAACCCTAGGTCCCGTGTATAGATTGGCGTGCACGTAAAAGATCCCTTGGCAATTGGAATTTGATAGAATTCGTTACACAGCACATTGGTATATATAATGTACAGAATAAGTTTATTGTTGTAAATTTAATTAAATAATCCCCACGTTATTAGAGAACAAAAAAAACCCGAGTTATTTTAGTGGGATAACATCAGTTTGGTTTAATTGTTGATAACAACAATAATGGCGATGATCAGAATTCAAAAGTAAATTCATTAAGCAAAGAAAGTATTTTTATTATAATATTGTTATTATTTCCATGCCAAGTTATTTCCATGAAAGAGCACACTGCTTGATTGATTTTATCGTTAAGTCTTGTTTGGATGTTATGGCTGCCACAATCAGTTTTATAAAAAATAAATAAATTATTGAATTGGATACTTTCTCTCTCTATATGTGAAATTAAATAAAATGAAATGGGGTTTAACGACCTACTGTTCTGCTCCTAACCTGGGCTAATGAAGACGGGCACACGCCATACAGTGTGCTATGAGGGAAATTTTGCCCGGGCAGCGGCACTACGGCCTACTCTTATATCGAATTCCAACTGCCAAGGGATCTTTTACGTGCACGCCAATGTGTACACGGGACCTCGGTTTTTCGTCCCATCCGAACGACTAGACAGCTTTCCTTGTCTGCCCCTCCGTCCTGCATCACTGACAAGGGAGAACCACGCCGGAAAATCTGGATGAACTTTCTCGGCCAATGCAGGGATCGAACACCCGACCTCCAGGCTAGCGAGCTAGCGTCTTACCCACTTAGCCACGTGATCCCCTCTCTTTATGTGAAGGCTGGCATCTGGATATAATGTAAACAAAGAGATTAACAGATAACAAACGAAAAGCATTTATTTTTGTTAAATTTAAAAGAAACGCAAAGTTACTTTATAGCTAATTATTTCAGAATATCAATAAAAGTTGAACTTTTACTATGAAGATTGTGTGGTTATAAGAAACAATATTAAGATCAGAGGCTGCCGCAGTTCAAAGGACGGAATAACAATTTACGGAAAATGAACTTAGGGAGAGCGAGTGAGAAATGGGGTTTAACGTCCACTCGACACAAACTAGGTCATTTCGGGACTAACATATGGTTTAATTTTATTTACATAATTCGCTTGCGCGTAGGGGTCTTTAGCAGTGGGAGGAAACCGGAGGACCCGGAGAAAACCCACGAAGTTGGACAGGCGACCCTACTCCTTGCCACGTACAACCGGGAATTCGAAACCACGCCAGTCGACTCAATGACAGACTTTATGATACAGCGCGCGCACGCTAACCACTCAGCCATCCAACCCCCCATGAACTTAGGGATACAATTATACAAGGAATTTGGAATCCGATTTCTGGGTGACAAAGGCGCACATGGCAAGACGCAATCTGTTTCACAGAGAATTACGAGTCTCGTATAATATCTCTGTCATAGATGACTGCCTTAACACGTGCTGTCACAGCACGCGGTGTGAATCATTGGCTGAATGGCGCGTGCATTGTTTACATAAGACATAACTGCTTCGGAGAGAATGCTGCATTTTAGTCATTTTAATACCTATTTACACTAAATCGGAAATAATTTTTAACTACAAATACGTCAAACGCCTTTATTTATTTTTCCAATATATACAAAAAATGTTTTAGAATTTAATTTGTCGCAGGAAAAAAGTTAATATTTCTAGCTCATTAAGCCGCATCAATGTCATCCTTATCAGTGATTGTCGCGGCCAAGCAAATATTCACTGCGGATCAGTGTGGGCAAGACGAGGGGGTGCGAGAGGGTGCGGGGGGATGGGGGCATTTGCTTTTGTCAACTTCTCACATGCTGTGAAATGTTAATGATATAGATACAATACGTCTGAAAGTAGCTAAATCGCTAATATTTAGGATCTAGAAATTGACACAAATGGGTCGTAACGCATATAATAATGTAATACGAATGTATATAAACTGATTTACATTCAATCATTTCTGTTTTTACTGTAATTTCTAATCAGTTATGTTCGGCGAAATAAGCCAGAAGTCTTAATCGAATTTCAATCTCTAGCGTCTACACCGATACTATTTATTGCGCATGCTCTCCAGATAAGAATGTGGCGTCACTGTTTGACATGACTTGTGGAATGTGTCTACGAGTCCCTTGCTTGTTACATATGGCGCTGAAACACATTATGATACACGATTCGTGTACCAATGGTAAAATGTTTATTTTCCCGGTAAGATCACAACATCAATGTTGATTTAAATTGACAAATAAATCGTGTTTTCAATGTCGAAGACTTTGGAAGATATTGAGTTTTATAGACTTAGCTACTTTAAATAGCGTAATCGCTTTTTCTTGACCGCCCGATTCTTTCGTTAAGTATCTCCAACGTTTGATATAAGTATAGTGCACTCGGTAAATATTGTGTGTGTGAGGGGATCACGTGGCTAAATGGGTAAGACGCTAGCTCGCTAGTCTGGAGGTCGTGTGTTCGATCCCTGCATTGGCCGAGAAAGTTCATCCAGATTTTCCGGCGTGGTTCTCCCTTGTCAGTGATGCAGAACGGAGGGGCTGAAAAACCGAGGTCCCGTGTACACATTGGCGTGCACGTAAAGATCCCTTGGCAGTTGGAATTCGATATAAGAGTAGGCCGTAGTGCCGCTGTCCGGGCAAAATTTTCTCATAGCACACTGTATGGCGTATGCCCGTCTTCATTAGCCCAGGTTAGGAGCAGAACAGTAGGACGTTAAACTCCATTTCATTTCTGGTAAATATTGTGGTACAATTTACCACCGCACAACGATACACAATATAATCAACATTATGGGAAACATTCATCACACAAAATTCCAAAATACAATCTGGTTAAAACACAGATCCTATTTCGTTTCGTTTTTATAGTTCAATATTTCGTTTTATTTGTCTGTACTACACTAGAATCTGGAAAAGTTGTTATTTAACCCGTGTTCTGCATGGTGTCAGGGATAAGCCAATGAAACGGTCTGTTACGGCGAACTTTAGGCGTGTTTTGCACGGAACCGTGGGTAATCCACTAGTAACATCAATGCTGATTGGTTAATCAAATGTCTGACGTTATAGGGTCAAAAGTCGGTCTTTCTTTTGATCCCTGACGTGACCTGTCGCTACAACCGGTCAGATCTTCATGTAGTGTAGGCCATTGAAAGTATAAAAAAACGAAATGAAATATAGATCTGTATTCTAATCAGATTGATAATACTGTATAAGTAGAAATTTCAAAATGATATAAGTGGAAATTTCCAATCAATTAAAGATACATTATGTAAAATTTAGATTCAGAGCTGGCCATTCTTACTATAATAGTTCGAAAAAAGATAACGCAAAATGAATTTATTGAAAATTTCATTCAAATTGCTCCACTGTGAGCGAAGATATTAGCCTTTTGAAAGTTTGACAAGACCTGTCTAATAATTTCAATCACCGTACTGGTTGTTCGAAGATTAGCCTCGCTTCACCATTTTTAGATAAAATCAAAATATTGCTAAACCGTTCTAATCTACTAAATATCGGAGATATCCGATGCCATCGAGAGTTGATTATGTTCCTGTCATGTTAATAAAAGTCTAGAGAAAGACCTGCACTTTTAGCTCTTGCATAATGGGGGATCACGTGGCTGGCTCGCTAGCCTGGAGGTTGGGTGTTCGATCCCTGCATTGGCCGAGAAAGTTCATTCAGATTTTCCGGCGTGATTTCCTCTTGTCAGTGATGCAGGATGGAGGGCCTGACAAGGACAGCTGTCTAGTCGTTCGGATGGGACGAGAAACCGAGGTCCCGTGTACACATTGGCGTGCACCTAAAAGATCCCTTGGCAGTTGGAATTCGATATAAGAGTAGTCGAAATTTCCAATTGCAAAGTTGAAATTTCCAGTTACTAATTATAGGCTATTTTAAAAAAAAAATAACGTGATCCTATTTAATTTCCGTAATTTTAGCGAAATCCTTGGCATCCATATTTTAATCTCCTTCGAACTAAAAACAAATCTACACATAAAATACATGTGTTGTTTTTTTTTTCTTTTTTTTCTTTTTTGAAAATCTCCGAATAATTACATAGTATATTGAACAAAAGCAAAAATAATCGTTCATGCTTTGTCCAGAAAGCAATTTATCATGTATAAAAGCTGAGGTATAAATTAATAACTCGGTTGTGGTGAACATTATTTGTACATGTATTGGTTTCGTGTAATTGGAGATCTGACAGAATTATTACATTGATGTGATTTCATGTGTTCGTCATTTCATTACTCTCATCAATTTCCTGTCTTTTTGAAAACTAATCTATATTTTTGATTTGGATCATTAAAGAGTTATTAAACAGCAATGATTAAGCATATTTCATATGACGTCAACGTTTGAAATAGGAAATGATTGTAAAAAATGGAGAAATGAAATTCTACTATTTCTGCCTGAAAGACCAACAGAGCATACCCAGTCTGTACTCTTAACTCAGCGCACCATCTTTGAAAGAAATGAAATGGAATGGGGTTTAACGTACTACTCCGAACTGAGCTAATGAAGACGGGCATATGCCATACAGTTTGATACGAGGGAAATTTTGCCTGGACAGCGGCACTACGGTCTACTCTTATATCGAATTCTAACTATCAAGGGATCTTTTACGTACACGCCATTGTGTAACCGGGACCTCGGTTTGTTGTCCCATCCGAACGACTAGACAACTGTCTTTGTCAGGCCCTCCGTCCTGCACCACTGACAAGGGGAAACTACGCCGGAAAATCTGGATGAACTTTCTCGGCCAATGCAGAGATCGAACACCCGATCTCCAGACGAGCGAGCCAGCCTCTTAGCCACTTAGCCACCGTGACCCCCCTGTTTAAAAGAAGTTATAAATGATGCAGGGTAAAACTACAAGAAAAGTGGGATGGGATGGGAGGGGAGGGGAGGTTATGGGTGTGGGGGGGGGGGTCAAATTGAAGTATTCCAACTTGATAGGCTATTTTTTTCTTGACACAGAAATAAAACAAGAACTTACCTGCGTAATATATACGACTTTCTGATTCACACAGAAACTTGTATTCCTTCAAAGATTGAACATGACGGGACTTGTTCAGTTTATTTCGGCAGTTTCACCAAAATTTTGAGGTTTCCCCGATAAATGTCGCTATAATATACATTTAGTAAGGAAGACGCCATGGTTGGCGGTCTTAAACAAATATGGCGATATACCGAGGCCGAGATGACTTTTTGATATTTATACATTACTTATGACTGTGAATTACCAACCAAGTGTACATAACACTCCTTTTTGTATAAATTTAGGAAAACGGCGACCTCTGTGCTTTTCGGATTAAGGCCCGCGTTTATCAAAATTCTTGGGTGTATTGGTGAATGGTTTGACGTATCCCGCTACTTTCTACAAACGTTTGATGGTAATATTTTTTTGTCAGATCATTCCTGTTCCAACAACGACCACATAAAAAATAACTTAATCAACATGTATATAAATGTTTTTATGTCGTTTACTTACTGCTATGAGATTGGATTCTTTGGCATAGAAACAAACCGGGTCTATTAACCGCGGACCAATGATCTAACGACAATCATTCCAGTAATAATGTGATATCCATTGGTTCCACCGTATCATTCCACACATTCATTAGTTCAACCCCAAGCATTCTACATCCCTGAATTCCATCCAACCCCATTTGTCATGCATTGTGTATAATTTTAGTACCATTTTGCTTTATTTTTTTTTTTTTTTATTTTTTTTTTTTTTTTGGGATCACGGTGGCTAAGTGGGTAAGGCGCTGGCTCGCTAGCCTGGAGGTCGGGTGTTCGATCCCTGCATTGGCCGAGAAAGTTCATCCCGATTTTCCGGCGTGATTCCCCCTTGTGAGTGATGCAGGACGGAGGGCCTGACAAGGACAGCTGTCTAGTCATTCGGATGAGACGAAAAACCGAGGTCCCGTGTACACATTGGCGTGCACGTAATAGATCCCTTGGCAGTTGGAATTCGATATAAGAGTAGGCCGTAGTGCCGCTGTCCGGGCAAAATTTCCCTCATAGCACACTGTATGGCGTATGCCCGTCTTCATTAGCCCAGTTCGGAGCAAAACAGTAGGACGTTAAACCCCATTTCATTTCATTTCATTTCATTTTGCTTTATTTTTTAAAGTGTGTGTGTGTGGGGGGGTGGGGGGGTGTCTGTCATTGAGTCAACTGATGTGGTTTCGATTTCCGTGTTGGGTCGCCTGTCAAACCTCGTGGGTTTTCTCCGGGACCTGCCACTGCTAAACACCCCTACGCGCAAGCAAATTATTGAAATAAAATTAACCATGTTAGTTCCGATATGACCTAGTTTGTGTCGAGTGGACGTAAAACCTAATTTTCTCTCTCTTTCATTTTTTGAGGATGCTTGGACCGCTTGGTATAAGGATTGGGCTTAACGAATTTAGTTGTTTTGTGACATCGCACAGTTAATTGCCATTGTTACTAAATCCTTGTTCCAATTTGCTGATCGTATTAGTCGCTCAGTTCTTTCCGTGCCACATAGCCGAAACATTTACTAATTACTCTTAAGGTATCTTTAGAATCGATTGAATCCGAGTCTGGAAATTATCTACCATTTCACCTGAAAATGGCTAATTGGTAGCTAATGCTGGTTTGATGTTATTTAGTTCATATTGTCGCTGGTTTCGTCTATAATGACCGATAAGTGGATTGCTTATATCGGTAGATGTATAGTGCAGGGTGAGGGGGTCTGTCATTGAGCCAACAGGCGTGGTTTCGATTCCCCGGTTGTACGTCCAACCTCGTGGGTTTTCTCTGGTTTCCTTTCACTGCTAAAGATCCCTACGCGCAAGCGAATTATTGAAATAAAATTGAACCATATGTTGACCTGGTTTGTGTCGAGTGGACGTTAACCCCCCCCCCCCCTCTCTCTCTCTCGTATAGTTCAGTGTTAAGGGCGTGGCCGACTTCATCAGCCTAGTCCGTGTGGGTGGGGGTGGGGAGGGGACGATTTACGTATTAAGCAAACATTACCCTTGATAATTGTTTGTGATGTCTCCGTTCAAGAATAACTTTTAATATCATATTATTATGCTAAACTTTAAGGTTTACCGATTTTCATGCATAGCCTGCCATAAACAATTTTAAAAAACTTGCACACGGCGAATCTTAAAATTGTGGACCCCCACCCCCGACTCTCTAGTATCTTATAAGATGTACGTCAATCTCTACTATGTATACACAGTTTATACAACTTGTGGGAATAGACCGGAAATAACGCAAAAACAACCGATACATTTTCTATAGATTTTGTAATCTTCATTATGTGATGTTTGTTTTTTTTAGAGAAATAAATTGATCGATTATTGAATAAGAGAATAATAATGTTCAATAGGCCCTTATATCCTGGTTTCAATAATTTCTTTAAAAATACCATCCTGTATTTCATTATATCTATCTAGTCATAGTTGTTAGCTTGTCAATTCAGTGTCGGAAGCTACGTTATTAAAACAACTGAACAGCATTACTATAATTTACTTTCTAAAGAACGTACTTCAGTCATTATTGTCCATTAGCGTTCTGGCTTATTGAAGATTTAACCATTTGTTCATGTGTTTTCGTCCTTGATATATTCTACTACAGGGTTTATAGATTATATATTCCATATTTCTTGTTCAATTAAACATACTTTGTGCAAGAGCTAAATCTGTCTATTGCAGGTCTTTCTTTAGGCCTGAAATGTTATCTAAATTATTAATTAGACATTAATTAACTTATCCAGACCATAATCAACTCTAGATGGCATCGCTAGCCTGCGATCTTAAGTGAATTGTGAGCCGATTTACTGCACAACTTTCCTTCTCGATTAAACGATTAAATAAATAATCGAGACTATGCTGTTTATCGTACTGACTTTAGTAATGATGACCGAGGCTAGGCAGAAATTTCATTCGCTTAGTTTTCGGTTCATAGTGGATCAATTTGAATGAAATTTTCAGCAAATTGCCTTTAAGTTATATCTAGTTTTTAACTATTATAGTCAGAACTGCCAACTCGTTATCGAATCTCCCATAATGTATCTTTAACTAAATGCACGGATCCTATTTCGTTTCGTTTTTTATAGTCCAAAATTTCGTTTTACTTATCTGTACTACACTAGGATCTGGGTGTATTTTAATCAGATTGTAAATACAGTATAACAGATTATAAAACCAGTGTTATTAATCCATATTTAATCTTCTTTACTAAATTTTATAATCTAAGAAAACCGTCAAAATTCCCGGTTGTACGTGGCAAGGAGTAGGGTCGCCTGTCCAACCTCGTGGGTTTTCTCCGGGTCCTCCGGTTTCCTCCCACTGCTAAAGACCCCTAAGCGCAAGCGAATTATGTAAATAAAATTAAACCATATGGTAGTCCCGAAATGACCCAGTTTGTGTCGAGTGGACGTTAAACCCCATTTCTCTCTCTCTCTCCCGTCAAAATTCTATATAATTTATACAGATATGTACAATACTATACTATTCAAAAAAAGTAGGGGATATTTGATTTTGGGGGCATAATACTAAAATATGCAAATGACTACGAAAAAAGTCACTATAGAACCTAACAGAAGAAACATTTCCAGTTACATGTAACGCCCAAACTCACCAATAGCTACCGCATGGAATGCAGGTGATGCTTGGGATCATCATGGGGGTCCAACCCAAGATTTGCACGACTCTGACTTTGAATGTTACAGTCATTGTGGCATTGAATTCCAGGGTGGAAACATCAGTTTAATTGTTTTAGTGACCAGAAAACAAATTTTGATATGCGTCGGCTTACCCAAAATGAAAGGTTACGTGCCCTTGGCATGCTACAGATCGGCACAACACAGGCGGTTGTGGCGCGGACGATGAATGTTTCTCAGTCTGTCATAAGCAGGCTATGGTCCAGATACCGTGATACACAATCTGTACAGGACAGACCACGCTCAGGTCGACCAAGGGCGACAACTCAAGCACAGGATCGATTTATCCGTACCATGGCCTTGAGAAATCGTGACATCACAGCAAATCAGATCAGCGCTCGTCTTCAAACAGACACTGGTGTGAGAGTGAGTGGCCAGACGATTCGGAATCGACTGCATAGGGGTCACCTTCGCGCCCGACGTCCTCGCGTGATCCCTTGTTTGAGAGATCATCACATTCAGGCAAGACGTCGTTGGTGTAGGGATCGTCAACACTGGGATAATCGACGCTGGAGCAATGTGATGTTTTCAGATGAGTCAAGGTTCACTGTTGATTTTTTGGACAGACGTAAGAGGGTGTGGCGTCGTCGAAACGAGCGCTTCCAAGACGTTAACGTCATCAGACATGATCGATTTGGGGGTGGTTCTGTTATGGTGTGGGGAGGCATCACTGTTGCTGGAAGAACGGCTTTACATGTTGTTGCAGGGCGTGTTACAGGCCAGTACTACCGGGACAACATCTTGGCAGTCCATGTTGTGCCGTTCGCACGACGTCATGGCCGCCGTTTCATCTTCCAGGATGACAACGCAAGATGTCACAGGGCCAGGATCGTTACAGGTTACCTCCAACAACAGAACATCACCACATTACCTTGGCCAGCACTGAGTCCCGACCTCTCCCCCATCGAGCATGTCTGGGACATGCTTGGACAGAGGTTACGTCAACGTCAACAACGTCCTGCCAATGTCCAAGAACTTGCTGCTGCGTTGCAACAGGAATGGGACAATCTGGACCAAAATGACCTTAGACGTCTCATTAGGAGTATGCCACGTCGGATCAATGCTTGTTTGGCAAATAGAGGAGGATTTACCCGTTACTGACTTGGTTGTGATGCTGTGGTAACTTTGCTATTTGACCCCGGGTATCATTTTACTCTTATAATGGTCAGTCTGTGCCTTACTTAGTCTAACGATCATTTGGAATAAATCGATGAATGTGAACTTCATTTCATTTTGTCATTTATTTCTTCGTCAGTTTCATTAGGTGACTTTAATAACACTTAAAAATCAAATATCCCCTACTTTTTTTGAATAGTATATTAGCAGGGTGTCCCGACATATATAGTAAATATATCAAAATATTTCGACAATTATACCACATTATTTATTTAAATAAAAATCCTTGACCTAGTTTCTCCCATTTATAGTCACTAAATGTTGTTTGTAACAAGTTATATCCATTTAAAGATCAATAAAAAAAATCGGCTGATTAAAGGTAAACGACAAGTAGGCATTACATCCGGCCATTTATAGAGGCAGACCACCATTAAATTTAACCATTGTAGGTCGTCTATTTATAGCAATTCTCTCTCTGTCTTTCCCCCCCCCCCCCCCTTTGCATGCCCATTTTTGTTGATGTTTTGATCTAGAATGGACGAGGAGGGTTTGAATTAACATTTTCTGCCAGGTTTTGGTAAATATTCATGATTTGGAGGCGGAAGGATAACGGGGTTATCAGGTTGGCCACGGCGATATGTACGGCAACTAGTTACATGTTTTTAGTATGCTTCTTCAAGTTTGTGTATCTCAAAATTTTGGTGCTCAACCTCATACAAATTTTAGTGCAAAGACATGACCATTTGTTCCTCTGACTGTAGTGAAAATTCTGGAAAAAAGTTGGAGGTTGGCAAAGAGGCCAGAATTAACCTTGAAGTCAAAGGGGAAACTAATGGTGGTCTGCCTGCTTATGAGTGCAAAATAGGTTACACACCCTTGGTTTGAAATTAGTCTTGCTGAAACCAGTCTACCGACCAGTCTACCGACCGTTCACCGGCTGATTAAAATACAGTAGTTAAGAGTTAAATCTACCCTTCGATGGCCTCTACCTAGTCAGTGGCGGATTAAGCTCCACCAAGGCCTGAGGCGGCAGTTGCTGGAGGGCCTATTTAAAATGGCGTGGGCCTAATTAATTTCGGGTCAGGGCCTATGTTGATTCCCGTTGGGCCTAAACCCACCCCCCCCCTAACATTCATTTTCTATACGTTTTTAATCGTATTAGACAAGTCTAAAAAAAATTTTTTTAAAAAATCTTTAGGCCTGAGGCTGCAGCCTCATCAGCCTCACTGATAATCCGCTACTGTACCTAGTGCAGTAACGACAAGTAAAACGAAATTTTTAACTATAAAAAACGAAACGAAATATGATCTGTGTTTTAATCAGATTGCGTTTGCTTCGTCCGTGTTACCATGACGCCGCTTCGTCCGTGTTACCATGGCGCCGCTTCGTCCGTGTTACCATGACGCCGCTAATTCCTTTGATTTAAACATATTTTATTACTTTAAAATAAACCGATCGGACAAGAGTTGCACAAACTTACAAAGGAGTCCTCTCCAATACAATATAATTGTTGTAGGTGATCAGTAAAACAATAAATATACAAACATCTCATATATTAAGAAATATTAGATTAACAAAACAAACATATCTATACAAGATCAGTGTATTTAAAATATACGAATATGTCTTAAGTTTATTTGAGGTTCAAATATATAATCAATTTCTTTTAAAGATGAAATCTCTTTGACGGACGGTAACGTTGGTTTCCATTCTAGAAACTATATCATGATTTAATTCGCTTTGTGTACTTGCTTAAAGTAACTAAATCTCTAAATCAATATGCGACTTATTTGTCAATTCAAATCAACATTGATGTTGTGATCTTACCGGGAAGAAGGTAGGCTTCTGATATCCAATATTTAAGACAAAATAAACATTTTACCATTGGTACACGAATCGTATACCATAATGCGTTTCAGCGTTATTTGTAACAAGTGACCAGAAAGAACGAGGCTAGACATATTCCACCAATCTGTTTCACAGAGAATTACGAGTCTAGTAATATCTCTGTCAAAGATGACTACGGTTAGGGGTTGGGTTAGGGTTAGGGTTAATGCCATTAGGCTGAATGGCGCGTGCATTGTTTACATAAGACGTTACTGCTTCGGGCGGAATGCTGCCTTTTAGTCATTTTAATACCCATTTACACTAAATAGGAAATACTTTTTACCTACAAATACGTCAAATGGCTTTATTTATTTTTCCAATACATAAAAAAATGTTTTAGAATTTAATTTGTCGCAGGAAAAAAGTTAATATTTCTTGCTCATTAAGTCGCATCGATTTCATGCTTATCAGTTATTGTCGCGGCCTAGCGAATATTCACTGCTGATCAGTGTGATATTCCACAACTCATGTCAAACGGTCACGCCATATCTTATCTAGAGAACATGCACAATAGACTAGAACAACTAGACGCTATAAATTGCTATTCGGTTGAGACTCATGCCGTATTCCGCTGGAGGTAACTGATTTTAAATTAGAGTCAAAACGGAAACAATTGAATGTAAATCAGTTTATATACGTAACGAACATATTGTAATAGTATTATTTAAATTATTAATATGGACATATATATAAAAATAATCACACAATACCAGGGCCAACGACAGGACCCCCGGACCCTATGACAAGCAACTCGGCGAGCGGGATCGGGGTCTTTCCATATTCAGGAATGTTTCTACTTTACGATCAAGCAACGGTGTTCTATTTTAAAACATTACTTGGCATACCTCCGGGCTCCTCAAGGCCCAGGCTGCCCAACTCCCCCACTCACGGGCCCTGCACAATACTGTATTAGACATAGATACTAGAGACACTGTGAGTGCTCTATTGTCAGTCCAGAACGTCCCGAATTGACAAAATCGCAATCAAGTGATACGGAATGCAACCCTGTCACAGTTCTGCCAGTCCCGACAGCTGAGGTGGTGTGAGTAGAAACGTGACGTATTTTAAGTAACAAATATGTTTCAGCTGTCTTGATTGGTTGAGATATTTCTTATGCAGTCGGCACATGCGTTTGACCTCGAAATTCTCTTTTTCACTCGATTGACACGAATTGAGAGACTTTAATTCCGGAAAGTTCAATCGAGTATACCCAAAGTATAGCATACACCAGAAGGTCGATATCTTTGCCTTCCAATTTTTCTTTATTATACTGTTTAATATTAATAAAAAATTTCTCGTTGTCAATAGTAATACACCCACTCTCATTATTAACAGTCAATGGCCCCACTCGAACGACGGTGAAAAAATATTATTTATCGACAAATTACAAAACAGTACAAGACTAAATAAGCACTTGAATAACACATTCATACATAATATATGTACATGTAAATAGATTTCAATATTGAACTTTTCCTAGACATAATGGAACCCTCGTCATCCTCAGAGACCACGAAACCCGTTTAATATCGACAATATTTAAAACAATGCATAAACATCTATCACATCTAAAAACACACACACGGGTAGTAATTATAATAGCGGTGTCACCGTTACAGACGATTTTCCCCTTCCAGATACATGTATATTTATACAGACACTAGTATAGTATATCACTTGTACATCATCACCACCACCACACCACTCGGCCCGACCGATACACCAATATTTACACACACAGTGTTCAACTGACCGACCAGCCACGTTGTTGCTGATGAGTAAACTGAAAATGTACCACGAACATTAACGCTCATGAACATCTGTCCGCATTGATGGGCGCATTTACGTGGTAAATAAAATAATATTTCATAAAGTACGCACTTATATCTGTAATCCCAGCAAACTTGCCTCTGAAGTTGGGAGTGTTTGTAACGGTGAAAAGCGTCAATATACTGCGTAAAATTTCCATGAGCATCTGGTTAACTCTACCCAACAAGGCTTGAGTAGCCATGGTCGATTATTCAGATCATTCAAAATAATCAGTCATAATTGGTATCAATAAATATCATGCTGATAACGATAAGAGGATACTTATAAAAACGTTGTGCTTTTAGAATAAAACTAGTGATTGTATCCCATAAATACTCTGTTCTGTTAATGTGTTTACCGATCGCTATATACCACTTAAAGATTATATCATGCTGATATTGTTCGTTACAATGTCTTTATAATATCACAGGTATTGCTAATATAAACATGTAGAAGAAGAGGCGACACATTCTCGTATATTCTGATCCCACCTGACAGTACTAGGACAAGGTCGTTCAGTCAATATATGATTTGAACAAGTTGCATATTTTGTACACCCACCACAGAATTGGTAGTCGCCATTAGCTATACCGATACAGCTCTCTAGACATGCGCCGTGTGTTATTATTAAATTTTCAATCTCTGCTGACGTTAAAGTTGACGTCACTTCCAGTTTTTTAACACTAACACCGTTCACGGTTACAGGTACAAGCTTGAACCCCCCTTCTGTTGTTGTGTCTGCTTGACTCGTCGTTGTGTCTGTTTGACTCGTTGTATCTGCTTGACCTTTTGTTGTCACTATTTGATCCGTGGTCATATTCCATACTTCTACAAAGGGTTAAAGATTAGTTAAGAGTTTAATAAAGAGTTGGTTATTCTTGCTATAATAATTCAAAAATGGATGATAAAAAAAGAAAATATTTAATATTTCAGTCCAATTACTTTATTCTGAATGGAGTTGTCACTGTTGTAAGTTAGGACTAGAAACAGGCATCAACTGTGTCCGCACCGTCTACGAGAATTATCGATCGTTTGATTGACAGACGATAACTCCACCTATATATTCTCGATTATCAAGTAACATTCTCAATGGCTATGGTACCCTCGCTTGGTAGACCTTTCAAAACCAGTTTCCAGTGGTGACGTCAGGGACTAACAGTAAACGTTAGCTTGGTCGGCCATTTCTTGATTTAATTTTAAATGGACGACTGTTTAAATCCAAGCTGTATTCAAGCCATCCGAGGGTCTATAGAGTTGATTTTGAGCTTGTCGTGTAAATAAAGATCTAATTAATATTTTGTATAACATCTGAAGCCTAAATAAAGACTTGCAATAGGCAGATTTAGCTCTTGCATAATGTATGTTTAATTTTTGACCATGGAAAAAGAAAATGGACGTTGGACACAGGTAGACTATTAGTCCCCGTCGCTTCCCACCACATACCCATTGCCTCTGAAGTAATTACAACCACTTCTATAGCAAAAACCCCCGTGCCGACATTGTATTTCACTGAATTACTGGTGGGTGTCGCTTAGTCCTTTGGATTGGAATTCCCTCATTAATTCCAATATCAGTATACTGAAGAATTTTAAAATATCTATTCATATCTCAATCTGATCAAAACACAGATCCTATTTCGTTTTGTTTTATATAGTTCAAAATTTCCTATTTCGTTTCTTTTTTTATACTTCAAAATTTGGTTTTACTTGTCTTTACTACACTAGGACCTGGGGGAGTTATCATTGGCGTGTTCTTGATGATGTGAGGGATTAGCCAATCAAACGGTTGGTTACGGCGAGCTTTTGGCGTGGGGCGCACGTACGGAACTGTGGGTAATCCACCAGAAACATCAAACATTAATCAAATATCTGACGTCATAGGGTCAACAGCCGCTCGTAGGACTTCTGACGCGACCTCCCAAAACAACTGGCGAGATCTTCGTGTAGTGTAGACCATGGAAAGTATAAAAAAACAAAAACGAAACGAAATATAGATGTTTATTTTAATCCGATTGTTTATATCTATAAAGCTTGGGATTTTTTGGGTAGAATATTTATGGTAGTTTATCTAATTTAACACTAGATATTTAATAGCGTGAATCGGAGCTTGAAATTTTTGCCATACGACGATTTAGATGGATTGAGATTTTGAACTACAGGTACTTTAACTTTATTCTCGTCAACAACGTTTACAGTGTTATTAAGATATTTATCAGGTATTATTTAAATAAATACATACCTTGAATACAGGTAATACCAATATGTAAATCACTTTCACAAAACGTATTCATAGGACATCCATGGTTAATACAGCCTTCAGCCAGATTCTACAAAAAATACCAAATAAAATATTGATAATGTCTAAAGAAAGAGAGAGAGAAATGGGGTTTAACGTCCACTCTACACAAACTAGGTCATTTCGGGACTAACACATGGTTCAATTTTATTTCAAAAATTCGCCTGCGCGTAGGGGTCTTTAGCAGTAGGAGGAAACCGGAGGTTGGACAAACGGCCCTACTCCTTGTCACGTACAACTGGGGAATCGAAACCACGCCAATTGACTCAATGACAGACTTTATGATACAGCGCGCACACGCTAACCATTCAGCCATCCAACCCCCCATTTCTAAAGAAAGAATAAACACGACGCTGAGTAGTGCGCTGTATATAATAGGATCATTTATCTTGGTCTTGGATACGATGCTGAAACTATACTGTTCTGCGTAGTGTTAGGAACAAGATCCCGCCCGGGCTCCCCCAAAAGCAATATATATATATATATATATATATATATGTGTGTGTGTGTGTGTGTGGGTGTGTGTGTGGGTGTGTGTGCGGGGGGGGGGGGCAGTCCCTCCCAGCCAGTGGAACTGGGTAATATTGGACTGTGTGGAATATAGAGTCGATTTGTAGCATTATCTGACCCACGACAAGCATTATGCTTATGATTGTAATGTTAAAAAACGCACTGAAACCCTGTGATTTTTGTCCTTTGCGAGAGGGCGCAAAAACTGAAGGGGGCGTCCCTCTCTTAGCCCCTGCTTAGTGTACGGGAGTTATAACCTATAACATGGTCGACAATTAGATAGAATATTGTAGTATTACGGTAATATACAAGCATTTAGAACACACTGCGGGTTTCAAGAGTTTCATTATATTAAAGTACACAAGGTGGAGTCCAGGGAAGCCCATACCGAATTCCATAACATAATTAACCTGGGCCCTGTTTCTCGAAATCTTAACTAAAGATAAAATCCAAATTTTAGTAGATACTTCAATTTTGATTGGCTAAGGACTAAAATCAATCTAATATTATCCAATCAAATTACTAAACCTTGGATTTTATCTTAGTTAAAATTTCGTGAAACAGGTCCCAAGATCGTAAGATAGTCTTGTACTAATCTATTTAAAGATGGCTGCTACCTGGAGTAGTGTCTCGGTTTAATCTCACTGTGCCCCCCAATCAACTGGTGTTATAGGGTAGTGGTTTGAAAATTTAAGTAAACAAAGGATTATAGACTGTATCCTTATTAGTACTGTTCACCTAGTTAAAATTTAATTATTTTAATGATTAAAATATATAAGTTAAGTTCACGTGTCATCGGTTAACGAGTGTCTTAAATATTATTGACCTACCTTTCATTCAGACAGTACTCATAAATCAATCAAATATATGATTAGAAACTCACTATCATTATATAAGGATAGTTGTCACCCCCAATTACATTATATCTTTTAAAATGGCTCAAGTTCGCACAGGGTTTATTCCAAATTCTCAAGGAGGTCAAAATTTAGTTAATTTGGGGTATAAGTACAGAGTAAAATATACGAAACCCAATAGCACCAGCAGACTTTTACTGAAAATACAATAGTTCAATTGGATAACGGGGGACGATTGCCCCCTAAAAGACGAAAATATAAAAGAGTAGAAGAATCTATTAATGATCTAAAAATCAAACTGTTAAATGGAATATACTGACGCCATATCACATTTAGTAGGGTTATGATTTAAGTTTGATACATGTATTTGTTGTTACTTTTATGAAATTTATTGTGAATAAAGTTGTTAATTAGTTTAAACCTAGTAGTTTAAAAAAACAGACTATACTTTTAACACCATTGTATTCGATAATCCCCTTGCTTGATTAATTCCCCCAAGAGAACAATAGCAGGGGGCACAGTGAGATGTCCCCAGTGTCTCATCTGGTTTTTGGTTACCGTGACGAGGGATGTTTAATTGCCGTGAAATCATCGCGTCAGTGAAATTAAAAGCCAACCGCAAATTGTTTATAAATAATTAAATAATTGACCAGAAAAAAATCTACTTAGAAATACGCATCAATAAAAAGTTCCATTGTGCCCATGGGGTCCTGGATCATGGCTTCCTTTGCGAAGTTGATATATTTTCTTTAAAGGAGCTAAATCGCTAATATTTGGGACCTAGAAATTGACACAAGTGGGTCGCAACTCATATAATACCGTATTATGAATGTATATAAACTGATTTACATTCAATCGTTTCCGTTTTTACTCTAATTTCAAATCAGTTATGTTCCGTGAAATAAGCCAGCAGTCTCAATCGAGTGCAAATTCCTAGCGTCTGGTTATTCCAGTCTACATAAGCCGTTTGGTTTGGTGCAATGTCTAGCCTCGTTCCTCTAGTCTCTTGCTAGAACTGGGGCTGAAACGCATTATGGTACACGATTCGTGTACCAATGGTAAAATATTTATTTTGTCTTAAATATTGGATATCAGAAGCCCACCCTTTTCCGGTAAGATCACAGCATCAATGTTGTTTTAAATTGACAAATAATTCGTGTTTAAATGTTGAAGATTTTGGATGATATTGAGTTAGAGACTTAGCTACTTTAACTAATGAATAAGTAGTGAATTAAGCCGTGGACAACGCTAATAACGCACAGAGGCATTAGGCTTATATTAAGCCCCAAGTTCAATTTACATAGAAGCAAACGTTACATTTAAGACGTGTCTGTAGTTCATTGTAGTTACCAAGAAGCTTTAAAGATACGTTCCCAGAAAAGTATTTATCAGGTGGTTATTTCCAATAAAAGTATGGCAATTTTTGTACATGTATATATGGAAAGTAGAGATATCCAATCTTACTAGAAAAATACTCGATTCCCTGAAAAACACCCATGGAGCGTATACAGGACAAAAATGTCAGGCTTCCCCTAATTGACAGCCCGACGATTCGGAATATCTGCACGCGTCACGTCAAAGGTTGTACGCGGAAATTGAGCGTTTGATGTTCATGTTGATAAACTTTATGAAGAGTTAGACGTACAACACTTTCTGAGATAAAAATTACGGAAAATGACACGGGCAGTGGATAATTTATAATTAGGCTTCGATATTTATAATAAATAGTTTGCGATTAAAGACAACTTCGTCTTGTGTATGCAATGAATTCTCCTCCGATTTCGTACCCGTAAGTCACGTGACACAAACATGACCTCTTTTGATCGATTTTTTATAGCAAGGGTATTCCGTGACAATTACACTGTTTTGAGAAGGATTTGAAGCAAATTACTTTTTTAACGATTAGAATCAACAATACCTCCATCAGAACATTATTCCTGAACTGAAATGCTTCCCACCAAGTTGCAGTCACGGTAGCTAAGTGGGTAAGACGCTGGTTCGCTAGCCTGGAGGTCGGGTAAGACGCTGGCTCGCTAGCCTGGAAGTCACGTGTTCGATCCCTGCATTGGCCGAGAAAGTTCATTGGGATTTTCCGACGTGGTTTCCACTTGTCAGTGGCGCATTACGGAGGGCCTGACAAGGACAGCTGTCTAGTCGTTCGGATTGGACAAAAAATCAAGGACCTGTCTGAAACATTGGCATGCACGTAAAAGACCCCTTGGCAGTTGGATTTCGATATAAGAGTAGGTCATAGTGCCACTGCCCGGGCAAAATTCCCCTCGTTGCACACTGTATGGCGTATGCCCGTCTAATAGCCCAGTCGGGACAGAACAGTAGGGCGTTAAACCCCCATTTCATTCCATCCCACCAAGTTTGAAAACAGCTGCCAAAGACTACAGCCTCTATCGCGTTCGGGGATCACGTGGCTAAGTGGGTAAGACGCTGGCTCTCTAGCCTGGTCATCGAGATTTTCCGGCGTGGTTCCCCCTTGTCAGTGATGCAGGACGGAGGGCCCGACAAGGACAGCTGTCTAGTCCTTCGGATGAGACGAAAAATCGAGGTCCCGTGTATACATTAGAATGCAAGTAAAAGATCCCTTGGCAGTTGGAATTCGATATAATAGTAGGCCGTAGCGCCGCTGCCCGGGCAAAATTTCCCTCATTACACACTGTATGGCGTATGCCCGTCTTCATTAGCCAAGCATTGGAGCAGAACAGTAGGACGTTAAACTCCATTTCATTTCATTTCATTTCTATCGTGTTCACATGCTAATTGTTAACGGACAGACTGACGGACATGTTGACGAAATGATACGCCTATACTGATATGTGGACATATAAACATCGGTTTAAACGTTTCTACTCGCGTAGAGACCTTGTAGCTTGATGATATATTTATACTGAAAACATTTTCAAATTAATTTATCTGTGGAAAGTTTTCTTCAAATAATCCCCTCTCAAAATATTTTAATCGGTTGAAAACTACCCCTGCCGTGAGGATCTAATTTTATTAGTAGCCATGTTTGTCACGTGACATTATCGGTTTGTATTTGTTTGTTACTTGGAGATTATCAAAACATTAATAGAATATGTACCTGACAAGTGCTAATGTGTACGGAGGGTCTGGGAACGTCATCAATATTTGACGAAAAGTTCCATTGCCCATGCGTAACCACGAGTTTTTTTATGTGGTTGATTATCCAGTATCTTTGCCAAGTCAAGTAAGAGTTGCGCTCCTTCCCGCAATAAATCCCATAATTATTGCATTAATATAAACAAACATGAATCGTGATATGGCCCATGAAGAGAGAAATTTTACAATAAAAAAAATTAAGAGTTGAGGATATTGAACTGGCAATGCAACCAGATGGAATTTCTGAAATGGCATTCTTAAATTAATTTCATGGGCATCGACATCTTGTTTTCAGGGTAGGGTGACCACCTTTGCTTGATCATATTGCCGGACATCATCTTTTTTTTTAAAAAAAAAAACCGAGGCAGTATGCATAACAATGTTGATATAGTCACTTCACGTTTCGTCATAGCAACAATAGAAAATCAAACTATGAAATATTCACACAAGCCTGTTTTGTATTCGTGTGTCATATGATATTTACCACGAATCTTGTAGGATAATAATAGATAGCAACAATATAAATTCAAGTCATATAATATTCATATCTTTCATTTCAAACAAAATATATAAATTATTAATTTGTGCGACACAACCGTTTGAAAGGGTGCGTTGTCGTTGAATTGAATTTTTAAGTTACAATCAAATGATTTTATCGGTAAAGTTCAATCATGCTTAATGTTGTGAAACTGATTTAGATTTTATAATAACTTAGTATAAAGGGTGTTATGCTGGTTAAAGATGCATTATTTAAGATCTGGGGGCTGGATGGCCGAATGGTTAGCACGTGCGAGCTGTATCATAAGGTCTGTCATTGAGTCAACTGGCGTGGTTTCGATTCCCCGGTTGTACGTGACAAGGAGTGTCGCGGTCGCCTGTCCAACCTCGTGGGTTTTCTCTGGGTCTTCTGGTTTCCTCCCACTGCTAAAGACCCGTACGCGCATGCGAATGATTGAAATAAAATTAAATCATGTGTTAGTCCCAAAATGACCTAGTTTGTGTCGAGTGGACTTAAAACCCATCCCTCCTTCTCTCTGGTATATTCGAGACTAAGCCTTGCTTTCCCATTTTTAAATTAAATTTTTAAATGGCGAACCGTTCTAATCTAGTTAAATCTCGAGTATCCAATACCACCGAGAGTTAATGATTATGGTCTTGTTTTGTTAATAAATTTCTAATGGTTTATATAACATTTCAAGCCTAAAGAAAGGCCTGCAAAAGGCAGATTTAGCTCTTGTATAATGTATGTTTAAACTATATATTACTGCAAGAACTGTCAGCTCTTTATCTAAATCTTACGTAATTCATCTTTTACTGTCCCTGGTTGATCACCACGTACAAGATACCTTTACACAATCAAAATAAAAGAACAAGCAATTCGACACACCCGTTGTCTTCCAGTAGTTTTATATATATATATATATATACAACTACATAGCCTTCGGTCACGGCAAATGCCCCAGTCAGCTAATGTTTTTTTGTTTGTGATTCACCATGTAAGAAATACTAGTATTTATTTAATTTTATTATTCTTTGGGTAAGAGGGGGGGGGGGTGGCCCATTGGTTAACGCATGCATTTTAGATCATAAGTTCTGTCATTGAGTCAAATGGCGTAGCTTCGATTCCCTGCTTGTACGTTACAAGGAATGGGGTCGCCATCTAACCTCGTCCACTGGTTTCCTCCCAAAGCTAAAGACCTTATGTGCAAGCGAATTATAGTTTGTTTCGAGTGGGCGTAAAATTCCATTTGTCTTTTTCTCTCTCTTCTCTCTCTCCCTGGACTGTTTTGACAATAATTGACTTTGGTAGTTTATTGCATAGAAAAGGTCTAGCATAGGACAAAGCACGTTTTCCGAGTTGTAAATTAATATTTGGAGATCTTTGAAGATGTACTGTCTGAGAACTGAGATTTCTACTGGTAGTGCAAGTCTATACAATATTTTTTAAAATATAATATGTGAATTAATTATATTCATTTAATTTAATTTAATTTAATTTTCTTTGAGTATGGTGACGGTCGTGGTGTTGTCGTTTGCGCTGCTGATAGTGGTTGTAGTTTTAGTGTGAGGTGTCAATGTTATATAAATTATATTCGTTGATTTTTGTCAATATTTGCCATTTCTTATGTTTATTACATTAAAATATCGTAATTGAAATGGGATTTAACGCCCGACTGAGCTAATGAAGACGGACATACGCCATATTGTGTCCTATGATCGAAATTGTGCCCGGGACCGGTGCTACGGCCTATACTCTTATATCGAATTCCAACTGCCAAGGATGCTTTTGCGTCTCATCCGAATGAATATACGTTGACCAAGGCCCTCTGTCCTGCACCAGTGACGGGGGGGGGGCACACCGGTGGATTTCGGTAGATTTTCAGAATGATGTACAGGGAAAGGTGATCTACATGTTGTGTCCTATGATTGAAATTGTGCCCGGGACCGGTGCCACGGCCTATAGTCTTATATCGAATTCCAACTGCCAAGGATTCTTTTGCGTCTCATCCGAATGAATATGCGTTGACCAAGGCTCTCTGTCCTGCACCAGTGAGGGGGGGGGGGCACGCCGGTGGATTTCGGTGGATTTTCAGAATGATGTACAGGGAAAGGTGATCTACATGTTGGTACAAAAGACCTTCTAAAGGAATTTGTGGTGGGTCTTTCGTCTTTCAGTATTTTGACTAGGCTAATACTCAAATAGACTATAGCGAGACTAGATTCACGCATATTACTGTATAGAAATCTTCCATGTGAGCAATTGCGGGACAGTTTGGTTGGTTTTCGGGACGCGGGACTTGGAAACATTTGGCGAAATGCGGGACGGGTGGTCACCCTATTCAGGGGCGGATCCAGGGGGGGGGGGGTGATTGGGGGGTCGACACTCGACACCCCCCCTGCTCAGCTACATAAATTGTTTTGTAAATCCGTACTTTTTATGAGAAGAGTTTCTCGTCCGTGTGCTTTATCCTTTATCGTCAGATGTGCGACAGCATGGGCACTCAAAGCACGAGATAATGATATAGACATCATGTGATATCACAATTAATGCTTTGTATCCATGAAATTGAATCACAGTGTCATTGTATTAATTCATAATAAAAAATTGACATCAAACGAGGTGTTGAATTTCTCTGTTTAAAAAGCTCAATGTGTATGTATATACGCCAAAATGACCATAGAGACCATGCGGGAGGAGGGGGGGGGATACATTGTCTCAGAAACCTGGCAAACCCCCTCCTGCAAAAATTCCTGGATCCGCCCCTGAGTTTTAGGACTAGTTACCTCACCTAGACTTTGTTTATGATAATGTAAACGACAGGATAATCTAGGCAATGACCTATTATTCTCAAATGTTAACAACGCATACAAAATAATATTCGTAAAATATTTTTCTGGGTGATAGAGAATTATTATTACGATTTAATACAATCTGATTATAACACAGATCCTATTCCGTTTCGTTTTTTAAAGTTCAAAATTTCTTTTTACTTGTCTTCACAACACTAGAGTCTGGAAGAGTTGTTATATAACAGGCGTTCTAGTTGATGCGACGAATTAGCCAATGAAACGGTCTGTTACGGCGAGTTTTTGGCGTGAGTTGCATGTAACTGTGGGTAACCCACTAGAAACATCAACGGTGATTGGTTAATCAAAGTCTAACGTTTATAGGGTCAAAAGCCGCTCGTATTACCTCTGACGCGACCTTCCGCTACAATTGGTCAAATCTTCATGTAGTATAGGCCATCGAAAGTATTTAAAAAAAACGAAACGAAATATACATGTAGATCAGATTGTGTAAGTTTCGATCAGGTATTTAAATCCAAGAAGAGTTGTGTGTGGAACTCACAATATAAGATGAAGAAAGTATTATATATGTACTTACCTTTGGCCATGATTGTATATCACTATGAATAAATTCTCCGTTAGCTTCAAGGCCCGATGGTACATCCGCACTATCTTTAGTATTAAGAAAACATTGCCGAGTTTGTGTATTATAATTGAACGAAACACAAGCCGACCTTAATTGACATTCTCGTGCACATTGTAAAACTTGTAATGGACTTATCTCCAAGAAGCTTTCAACATTTAGCCTACTTTGTTCCTTGATTTGCGGGTACGTGTCCATCCTGGCGCATGTATTAGATAACAGATACACGATTTCCCATTGTATTACATACACCAGTATACCTGTAATTACTGCCTCACTGTTCATTATGCTGCTGAATTATTAATCCACGTTCTCGATAATAACACACCCTTTAAATATTCCTTATATTCATATACCCTTTCATGTTCTGGAAATCATACTTTCTTTTTCTAGAGAACCAGTCAACTACAGCATTATCAATCATTGGTTCCGTTCGAGGTTTATATACAATGGAAACAGCTATATATGGACCGATGTTTCTATGTATCTATCTTGACGAATATACCCGATCAGTACTGATACAGCAAATATATACACGCCCATATCACTAATCTCTTCTATATACTGGTCGATTCGACGGCAAAACAATCGAAGGCCATTTTAACACAAAAATCGATGGATTAACAACATTAATGCGGCCCCATTTCATAAAATATTTATGTATTTTATCCTTCAAAAGATTCGCTCAACTTTTTAATGTTGATGTTAATTTTTGTCAAAACCAAAAATTATGTAGAAAGGGATTCAAACGTAACTCTTCGTGCATACTTGAAAGCGAACGAATCAATAGCCTCATCAAAATTAAGTTTTGTTTTTAAATGATTGGATACCAATCAGTCTATATAGAGCGATCGATAACCGAGACCAAGTACATGATCATTGGCGCGCTCACCATCATTGTAGCGTACCTTGTACCTTGATGGTGACGAGAGCTTCATCAAACAGTTTTTAATTAACCAAAATCCGATTTTTATCCTACTCACACCACTAGGTACCTGCATTCAGAAAAGTCACCGATTCTATTCTACTTTACGACCACATAACAGCATTTTTATTTTTATTAATTTATACCAACAAATTTAAAAAGAAAAACTTTACGCAGCATACCTCTGGGACCCTCTAGGGTCAGGGCCCCTGGACATGTGTCATAGCTGCCCCCCCCCCGCCCCGCCCTCATGTGCCCTGTTTGAAGGGTATCTAAGAAATAAAGGGCAAATGTCGTGATCAAGTTTCTGAATGAACGATGTTTTCAAGCGCCGTGGTGATCGTCAAACAGTATGCCAATGAGAACGTTTCTGCAGGAAAAGTTTGATCGAATAGGTGAAAAGTGCTTACGAAGCTTGAGAAATTAACGGAGTCAAAACCCAATTATTACCCGTATGCCAAGGCACCGACATCTGGGGCTGTATTAAAATAATTTAGTTCCCCGAAATGTGAATCACCATTCCCATAAAGCTTCTTTTCAGATACTTAGCAATCAAAAATCATTTAAAAGTTCCATAGCATAATGCGTCTTCCTTAGACTCTGTGGCAATAACCAAGACAGTCACTGTCTAGCTGTTAAACACAACACGTATTTATTGCTCACATGAAAGAGAGAGAGAGAGAAAGAGAGAGAGAGGGGGGGGGGGGGGTAACGTCCACTCGACACAAACACGGTAACTTCGGGACTAACACATGGTTCATTTTTATTTCAATAATTCGCTTGCGCGTAGGGGTCTTTAGCAGTGGGAGGAAACCGGAGGACCCAGAGAAAACCCACGAGGTTGGACAGACGACTCAACTCCTTGTCTCGTACAAGCGCGGAATGGAAACCACGTTAGCTGACTCAATGACAAACCTTATTATACAGCGCACACATGCTAACCATTCGGCCATCCACCCCCGCCCCCTATTGCTAGCAGGACGATATACCTACAGCTAACGGTTAATAGTGGCACGGTATATTCAGTCTATGAAACACGCTGTATACAGAGTACAATATACTTATGAACGTGCTTTACTATTGGTAGGTTGACAGATTTATAATGAATGTCTTGACATCTGCTATGAAATGTAATTTGTCCCCTAGAAGGATGTATGCTGTACTGCTAATCAACAAGTCTAATTGAAGGGGGTGGGGGCAGGGGGATCACACAAGCCTCGATTTATTTTGTTTTGGTGCGAAGACTATGATATCAATGTGTTGTATGTAAGAAGATTTAACACTATTTAAAGGAGGTAAATCGCTAATATTTGGCTCCTAGAAACTGACACAACGTAATATAAATGTATATAAACTGATTTATATTCAGTCGTTTCTGTTTTTACTCTAATTTCAAATCAGTTAGGTTCGGTAGGTTCGGCGAAATAGCGTCTGGTTATTGCAGTCTACGCCGATAGTATTTATTGCACACGCTCTTCAGATAAGAATATGGCGTCACCGTTTGACATGACTCGTGGAATATCCCTGGCCTCGTTCTTCGAGTCCCTTGTAAATTAGTTAAAAATGACGCTGAAACGCATTATGGTACACGATTCGTGTACCAATGGTAAAATGTTTATTTTGTCTTAAATATTAGATATCAGAAGCCCACCTTTTCCTGGTAAGATTACAACATCAATGTCGATCTAAATTGATAAATAATTCGTGTTATTAATGTGGAGGAATTTGGATGATATTGAGTTAGAGACTTAGCTACTTTAATGTAGCTACTTTAAACGTTTATTTCAATCTACGTCACTTTATGCTATGGAGGAATCGATTACTCTTATCAGCACTTCCTGAACTTCTCCAAGGAACTCTGATATTTATTTCCAAATTATGAATTGTCTATCCAAGCAATTAATTGAGTTTGAAACAGACAGAATGCAAGAAGATAAATAATCATTGCATGAATGCAGTTTAAGTACAAAATCACGTGTTGATTGTAATGGGAATATCTTGTGAGAAAAAATAAACGCTTTGATTGCAGAGGAATCAATCTTCTGTTTCTTTTACATGGGGTTTTAGTTTTATTTTAGGTGTAAAGTCAAAGGAAGGGTTTTTTATTTTAATGAATATTTCAATCTGATTCAAATACAGTTCTATATTTCGCTTCGTTTCGTGTCTTTTTTTTATACTTTCGATGGCCTCTACTACATGAAGATCTTACCAGTTTTAGTGGGACGTCGCGTCAGGGGCCATACGAGCGGCTTTTGTTCCTATGACGTCAGACATCTGATTAACCAATCAGCGTTGGTGTTTTTGTAGGATTTCCACAGTGTCGTACATCGTACGCCAAGAACTCGCTGCAAAAGACTGTTTCATTGGCTAATCCCTCACATCAACTAGAACGCGTGTTATATAACAACTCTTTCAGATCCTAGCGTAGTAAAGACAAGGAAAACGAAACTTTGAAATATAAAAAACGAAATGAAATAGGATCGTTGTTTTAATCAGACTGTAAAATTATTTGAGGGTTTTTTCTACAATCAACATTTTATATAGTCTCTACGAATATTAGTCTGGATGCGTTGTCAACATTTGAGAATAATAGGTCGCAACTCTTACTTGACTTGGCGAAAAATACTGGATAATCAACCACATAAAAAAAAAACTCCAGGTTACGCATGGGCAATGGAACTTTTCGTCAAATATTGACAACGGTCCCAGACACCCCCGTACGTTGAAGACTAGGAGGTTCTGGCTGACCGAGACTACATTTTACACTAAATTGTTTCAACGGCATTAATTTAGTAATTGAACTGGAATATACAGGTCACAATACTATGGAATACAATTACTGCTTATTACTGAGCGACGTTTCAACTAGGCTTCTCAAGAAATGATAAAATATGAAATGTTGTTGTTCATTACAGATTTAACGTCCAATACATGAGGTATGATATTATGGACAGCTTGATTTAATTAAATTATTTACACTTAATTGGTTGAAAATTGGTAAAAACATACAATACAAACGTCCGTTTATATAAAACGTCTCCTTAAAATTGGTTAACACACAAAATACAGTTATTGCATATTAAAAAATTCACTTTAAAACACACTTATAAAATCGCTGTCATGAGAAGAGAGAGCGGGTCATTTTCTCCATTTGTCATAATAAAAACAAGTTAAAACAGGAGGCCCAGCTGATTGATGTTTGGCGTCAAAAGTGCGGATAGAAAAAAAGCCGTGGGGAAAAGGTATCCGCTTGCGTTATGTGGAAAAGTTGAGTGCTCGCAGTAGAAACCGCATATCTGAACCCGTGGATTATCGACATATTAAAAACTGTTCGTCCAATAAGTTTCATATGGTTAGCGTCAGCGATTAAAAATTAAAGACATCCCATTATTGTTGTTACGGCGTATGACTCCCCAGATAAAAGTTACTTGGAAAGAAAAAAAAACCCAGCAGCAACATAGAACAAGGTACTTAAAACAAATTAAAACACTTAATGCTGATCAACCAGAGATACACCTTAAACATGCATTATGCAAGAGCAAAATCTGCTTATTACAAGTCCTTCTTTAGGCCTGAAATGTTATCTAAATTATCAATTAGACATTAATTAACTTATCCAGACCATAATAAACTCTCGATGTCAAGGCTAGCCTTCGATGTTGGCTGGATTAGATTCCTATATGCCGCTTAACGGCCATTGATAATTAAATCAAAACAGTGGATAATCGAGACTATGTTGTTTATATTAATGATTTTAGTAATGATGACCGAGACTATGCGAAAATTTCACCCGCTTCGTTCTCGGCTCATAGTGGATCAATTTGACTGAAATTTTCAGCAAATTACCTTTACACTATCTAGTTTTTTACTATTATAGCGAGAACTGCCATCTCTTTATCTTATCTCCCATAATGTATCTTTAATTATAATTATCTTTTTTTTTCACAAATTATAGTAAGTATTACAAACTTTAGATTATGTGTACATGTATATGTATTCCAACCTAAACTTATTAAATACATTCAGCTCCGTTCTATAAGCTAGAGGTATTTTTAGCCAATGCAGAATCCATTAGTTTGTCAACTGCAGCTTGCATATCATTTGGAGAAAATCGTCCGGAATAAACTGTGGCAAACGACCCGCCTCTGGTACCAGTGTTTATGTTATAATAATCGTTGGATCTCCAGTCTTTTCTTCTGCTAGACTAATGCCCACCTCCCTACACAGCTCCTCAAAACAGATCTTAACAATTAGACAGTCTTGATTAGACACACAACCAGCAAAAACAAAATCATCCAAATAATGATTGACTCCTCTGATGTCGCATTTGTAAACCACTACCCACTCGAAGAAGGTTGAGAATTGTTTTAAAGTTACAATTTCATATTTTCTAAGAAAGTCAAAACATAATTATTTCTATGTCTTTTGCTCCATAGGTTGTCAACTCACTATTATACGATCATAGGTTATCTTGCTCTGTCTTGCTCACACTTAAAAATCTTCACAACGGAAATAATAACACAATTACCTCACAATTACCTCCCTTGTTTTCCTATTCCCGACTATGGAATAGCTATCTCCAAACGTTTGAATTTGAAGTTAAAATGATATTTTTGCCAATTTCTCAACTGGCAATAGTGAATTATAGGATTAATAACAAGGTAGGACTGTTTATAGATACCATCTATTTTAGGGCTTTATTTTAATACATTTTAAAAATATAACTTAAAATATGAAATTGCAACTTTAAAACACTCCATCGATAAACACGTTGACGTCATATCTATATATGACGTCAATGGATAAACATTTGTCTACATACTATTTGTTTCCAAAAAAAGGATACCCAGTAGGTTTGAAGTCTTGTGGATTTATGCCAGTAACCTAAAAGCATTCTTTTAAGATGTAAACCTTAGCTAACTTAGCACCCTTCCCTAAATTAACAATAAAGTTTAACACTGTGTCAAAGGGAGGTCATTCACTGGACATCGATTGCTGTCAATAAAGTTGAACACTTCTTGAAACTGGGTGAGATAAATTAATTTATAAGACGAAACCCGCCTGATGATTTTGGATCAACGCCAATCGGAGAAATACGAAGATCAGCTATTGGGGGATATTAAAGGGCCCAACAATCTTATCTTTATTTCTAATTCTATTGAAATTTTATCTTAAACCGCCTCCGGATACTGATAGGCCGATTTTGAATTATTACACTGAAGAGGGAACCCAAGCTAAAACCATGCTCAAGTTACCCCCCCCCTCCCCCACCCCATAGTCCGTTAACGAGTTGTCAGGGGAAAAAATTGTCCTTTGAACGAATTGTCTCATACCCGCGAAATAGACCTGGCAAGTATAATGACGGTAATGGTGCACCGCGTTCAATTATGACATGCTGGAACCTTTATGGATATGTTAAGACATATATTCGTTTTGAAAATTTCAGTTGGCTTTTGAAGGAATGGTGAGGTAAGAAGTTTGCTAAACCGACTTATAGATCAGATAACCTTGATGACAAAGGACTCAAAATATAGTTCGGTTTGATTTTATTCCAAAGTTAAATTGGGATTCAAACCAAAGTCTTCAATAACGGAAGAGTCAAACCAAATCTGAGTCATTCGGTTGACATCGATACTTCCGTGACGTCGACTGTTGACATCCATTCGGCAAACCTCGACAGATTCTACGCATCTAATCTCGGCTGTTTGACAATTTCCGCCATATTTGAACTATTTTAAAGGTTCCGAATGAAAAATGGCTGCCCCCATGGAGATTTCTGTGGAGAGTGTATTATATCAACAAACGTCACGTTTGGCATTGGGTTTGGGGAAATACCAGGGAATTTTATCAAACCAGCAGCCTTGAGACAATATCTCTGCTCATTTAGGTATATACACTCTACAAAAGACGCAATTTGGGACTTTTTTTGTAAAGTAAACCGGCAGCCGCATCGCAAATGTATGGGCGTAGGTACATATCACTTACTGTCATACAGCCGAGATTAGATGTAGGTTAACGGAATCTGTCGAGATTTGCCGAGTGTGTTGACATCCTGCCCCAATCTATATTGAAATCGTGGTTTTAATCGTGAAGTAATCGTGGTGATCCTATCAGGTCATATAATATATTGGGGTCAGTCGTAGAAATCCTGTTGATCGTATCGAAACGTATCCGAACGTATCTGTACGTACCAGATCGTGGACTCAATAGGGAGAGAGAGAGAGAAATGGAGTTTAACGTCCACTCGACACTAACTAGGTCATTTCGGAACTAACATATGGTTTAATTTTATTTCAATAATTCGCTTGCGCGCAGTGGGAGGAAACCGGAGGACCTGGAGAAAACCCACGAGGTTGGACAGACGACCCTACTCCTCGTCACGTTCAACCGGGGAATCGAAACCACGGCAGTTGATTCAATGACAGACCTTTGGATGCAACCGGAGGACATGGAGAAAAGCCACGAGGTTGGACAGGCAACCCTACTTTTTGTCACGTACAACCGGGGATTCGAAAGACTCAATAATCATATAGTAACGTATCGTACGACAGTGGAAATCTAGCATTATTCAGATTGAGCTATTGAAGCTTCCTTCTTTCCTGTATGAAAAACCCGGTTCAGGAACCCATTTTATAATATTATCAGTGACTTCAGCCTTTTTCGCCCGGACTATACATCCGTATTTGCTCTGATACAATCATTAGTGGGTTCCCACCAATAATAATTCACACCCGCAACACTTTGGACCCGAATACACGACTCCAGCTTCGTCAGTTGTGGGAACTGCTATTGACAATATACTATTTTGCTACGAGAATTATTTAAATTAATGGATTGGTTATCATTAAGATATAAAGGATGGGGGCGTGGCATCAACAGAGAGTAATCTTAACAATAGAACCAATACCTATTATGCACGGGCTCAAAACATTTAATGGCCCTTTATTCTGGAATATAAAGTATAATTATCTTTAATGTAATATTGCTATCAGCTTATTATTTCCTTATAATGTCTCTAATTAAAGAAGGCGGTGAGTCTAAAGCTCTTAGACCGGTAATGGATTATTTGTATTATTTAAAAGCCCAGGTAATGGAAAACAGTGAATAAGGTGTCTATACCTGTTGGATGACTTCTTCCTCAGGGGCCACAGCTGATTTGGAACGGATGATGAGGTCATCACTGCCCCGAGGAGGAGTTCTTAGGGTCATGTGACAAGTAGCGGCTTTCTGGTGCGTTAAAAAAGTTGGACAAACGGTGTATTGATGACATAGGAGGTGATGGGGGCTGACCGGGGGGGGGGGGGGCTGCACACCTAGTTTCTGTAACATTCTTACTGTTTGAATACAACGAAGTCAATGGAAACAAGAATACCACAGGATGCAATACATTTATTGTGAAGAAAAATAACATAATACTTCAATTATGTTAAAAAAATAATTTGAATTAATTCGCAGAATTTGCAAATATTTTACGATAAACTGGAGAGGTCTATTTATAGTATCAGTACCGGGTAAATCTAGCCAAATATGACCAGATATCACCCGATTCTAACCAAACCACATACTACATTATTATATTATTATCTAAAACTGACTTCGATTGAGAGAGAGAGAGAGAGAGAGAGAGAGAGAGGGGGTTTAGCGTCCAATCGACACAAACCAGGTCATTTATGCACTAACATATGGTCCAATATTATTTCAATAATTTGCTTGCGCGTAGGGGTCTTTAGCAGTGGGAGGAAACCGGATGGTCAGGCGAAAACCCACGAGGTTGGACAGGCGACCCTACTCCTTGTCAAGAGGTAACTGTAACATCATGCCATCACGTTTGCCTATCTGGCCAAACTTTCTCTGTATGACATATGCATGTTTTCATTATCCCTGGTTGGAGTAGAAAAGCGAGACATTAAACCCCATTTCATTTCATTCATTCAATAGGTTTAATAAAAGTATCGTTTGGATGCCTATGGCTCTACACTCTATATATAACCTTGCATGCTGGGATTTTAATTGTGGGCGTGTAAACAGGTACAGGCATAGGCCTATTGATAAAAAAAATCCAAAAAACAGAACCCATAAAATTTCAGTCTGTGTACGATCATTTTCCAAAGTTTCAGTTATTTCGGTCGCTTTGCATATAAATGATGTTCTTTCCAAAATATGCCCCAAAATGGCTCCCACGGTGTTGGAAGCAAACTTGCATACGTCACGCAAAAACTGTCAATTACTCGAACACATTCCTCTTTGGGGATTTCCCTGATCTTTACTGTGATTGCTGCCTTCAGTCCACCAATCGTTTGAGTGTTGTTCTGGTACATATTATCCATGAGATACCTCACAGATATAAATCCCCTGGGGGGGGGGAGTCCGATTAATGCGGTGCCCCCTGATGATCAGTCCCGCCTGAAATTTGGAGTATATTTTATAAAGAACATGACTTTAATATATAGTGACCGAAAAAACTGAAACTTTGGAAAATGATCGTACAAAGACTGAAGTTTTAATCCAGCACGTTTCCTGCTTTGTGGGATTTAATAAAACTTTTATGGGTTCTGTTTTTTTAGGGGGTGAACCTGTATATTTGAAAAAGAGATCTACCCCAAACATAAGCTCCCTTACTTCAAAGATAAATGTTAACACGTGGAATAATGTATTCAAACCATAAGCAACTTAGTTCATTAATATGAACATGTAGAAGAAACGAAGACACATCCCCGTATCTTCTGATCCCAAAATAAAGAAGCAGCACAAGGTAGCTCAGATAAACCTCCATTTGAACAGTTTATGTATTTCGTACATCCTCCACAGTACTGGTAGTTACCTCCAGGTATACCGGTACAGCTCTGTAGACATGCGCCGTGTGTAACTATTAAATTTTCAATCTCTGCTGACGTTAAAGTCGACGTCACTTCCAGTTTTGTCACACTAACACCATTCACATCCATAGTTACTAGTTTGAATCCCCCTTCTGTTGTTGTATCTGCTTGACTCGTTGTTGTATCTGATTGACTCGTTGTTGTATCTGCTTGGCTCGCCGTTGTGTCTCTTTGACTCGTTGTTGTATCTGCTTGGCTCGTTGTTGTATCTGCTTGACTCGTTGTTGTATCTGCTTGGCTCGTTGTTGTATCTGCTTGACTCGTTGTATCCGCTTGGCTCGTTGTTGTATCTGCTTGACTCGTTGTTGTATCTGCTTGACTCGTTGTTGTGTCTCTTTGACTCGTTGTTGTGTCTCTTTGATTCGTTGTTGTGTCATTAGCTTTATCTCTGGTCATGATCCAGCTTTCTGTAAAAGATGAGATTTTAGAAGAAATAAGCCAAGAATTATGGTACAACTGCAGTTAAGACAGAACGAATGCAAGGCCTGTTAAGGGCCCAAATGCAGTTTGCCCTAAATCCTTTATCATTTCGGAGGTTGGATGGCCGAATGGTTAGCACGTGCGCGCTATATCATAAGATCTGTCATTGAGTCAACTGGCATGGTTTCGATTCCCCGGTTGTACGTGACAAGGAGTAGGGTCGCCTGTCCAACCTCGTGGGTTTTCCCCGGGTCTACTTCTCTACTCATTATAAGTAACACGTCAGAATTTGTCTATCAATAAATGAGGTTCGAGTTAGAATTGCAACTAGAAACATTTTGTGACAGATTCTGAAGAATTACCTTCCTGGTTTATTTCTGGTTAATAGGCTATTACAAGAATTGAAGTTGTTGGTGCCATTACCATGGATGCAATGATTCGTCGATGATTTATTCAAGGAATTCGCACACCTAAATAATTGACACTATATAAAATAAACCCATCAATAGCTAAGTGGTTCGTGCCAGAACATTACCTTTCAGGTTTTTATTAAATAAGTAATGAATGAATTTCAATATGACAGGATTTGATATAAATTCTAGGGAACCTGCTGTTCGTAAATCAATTAGTGAAACACTAAACACTGTCAACATCTTCCGTGTTTATATTTCAACAGATACAGAAATAGTCATCGAAAGTATAAAAAAAAACGAAACGAAATATAAATCTGTATTTTAATCAGATTGTTCTCTGTTGAAAAGTGGAAATTTTTGTTGAGTCAGTGTAAAAATGGACCTTATAAAACATCATAAGGTCTATGGTGAAACCCAAACCCCTGCATTGTAAATATTGTAAACAGATTGCTATTGGTTTATATTTCTGTTTTATAAAATAAAACCAAGTACGAACAATCCAAACCATAATATCTGTATTTGTATAATTTGAAAAACAAATATTGTCAAATTTTATAATTGGTTTAATCTGTATTGTATTAGAAATTTCAGTTAATTAAATAATTAGTAATAATAATTCCTAGAATAATTGAAAGGGTTGTGGCCGCCATTAATTTTCTTTAAAGTTTATTATTGTTTTGCGCGGTATTCGTCGAAATAGGATGGTTGAATGGCCGAATGGTTAGCGTGTGAGTGTTGCATCCAAAGGTCTGTCATTCAATCAACTGCCGTGGTTTCGATTCCCCGGTTGAACGTGACGAGGAGTAGGGTCGTCTGTCCAACCTCGTGGGTTTTCTCCGGATCCTCCGGTTTCCACCCACTGCTAAAGACCCCTACGCACAAGCGAATTATTGAAATAAAATTAAACCATATGTTAGTCCCGAAATGCCCTAGTTTGTGTCGAGAAGATGTTAAACCCCATCCCCCTCCTCTCTCTCTCTCTCTCTCTCTCTCTCTGTTGATGATTAATTGTATTGATATATGATTACTTACCATCGACACAGGTAACACCAATATTTAAATCACTTTCACAAAATGTGTTAACGGGACAATCATGGTTCATGCAACCTTCAGCTAGATTCTTGGTGAATGAAAAATAAACATATACATAAACATTATGGTCAACTTTGGTATCGGCGGCAGCGGATTAAAAATGATTTCAAGTATAAGCTGAATACAGATACAGTATGTAAGATTTATAGTCCCAACCTAGAGTTGTCATAGAAACAAGTTGGATAGTTTGTATACAACCCAATCACACACTTTGGTTAATATTTAAACTGTCACCCATATTAAAGGTACTGTACCATACTCGCTCACATTATTCATTTCTTAAAGTTGCACATAATCTTTGTTTACATAAAACATTCACAATTATTGGTCAAAGTTTGTCTATGACGTCACATCCGGATATCATTTTTAGTTTTAGTTATTCTTTAGGCCTTTGAACTAAATACCTTTCAGATAGTATAGAGTTTAATTATGTAGAATATGATAGTATAGAGTATAATTCTGTAAAATTTGTACTTTTTCCTAAAAATTGTGGTAAAATAACATTAAACTTTACAAAAACTCAAAATTGATGTATTGAAAATTTCATTCAAAGTACTTTATTCTGAACGATGTTATCGCTGTTTTGACATTATCGTTACTTGTTAATCGAGACTCAGCATCGATTCTCCATTTTTAAATTAAATCATTAAATGGCGATTGTATTTTAATCCGTTTACATCTGCGCCATTCAATGGTCGAGAGAGTTGATTATAGACTTGACATCTGAATAAATATCTAAATAATAATTTATAAAACATTATTTTGAAGCCCCCCCCACCCCCCTCCCCCCAAAAAACCCCAACAAACTATAATAGGCAAATTTAGCTCTTACATAGCGCATCTTTAAATCTCTTGAAAAACATTAACTGTAACTTTTCTTTAAAAATACCGAGGAGGCTGTCCTGTTTATCAGTTTGCTACTAGCCATTAATTCGACATTCAACGACAGCGAATAACCGACATTATGGCGCAATTCACTAATCAATACATCATACTTATGTTTAAAAATAATCCAGTATTCTACATATTATAACAGATACTGTGAGTCGTACAAGGAAATCTTCTAGTTTTGAAGAATATCACAGTTTCATACCCTCATAAATAAAAACAAAACATAGAAAACTGGAAATGTTTTATAACGCTTGAATCCCATGAGATTTCCTATCAAGGTATGGGGGGTGGGGAATGGGGGGAGGGGGATGGGGGGGGGGAGGGGGGGAGGGGGGGGCTATGTTCTCTAACTCCCTCTCTTCTAAAAGCGTTCCCTAGAATTTCGACAGAGTTACCTCAAATATTCAATACTTTGCAGCTTGAAACCATCCCGCTTTTAGTCCCGTATTTAACTTGTCAGGGACGGACTGGGTAGCTCTGAGCCCCGGACGGACTGGGTAGCTCTGGGCCCAGGACTGGGTAGCTCTGGGCCCCGGACTGGGTAGCTCTGGGCCCCGGACGGACTGGGTAGCTCTGGGCCCCGGACGGACTGGGTAGCTCTGGGCCCCGGACTGGGTAGCTCTGGGCCCCGGACTGGGTAGCTCTGGGCCCCGGACGGACTGGGTAGCTCTGGGCCCCGGACTGGGTAGCTCTGGGCCCCGGACGGACTGGGTAGCTCTGGGCCCCGGACGGACTGGGTAGCTCTGGGCCCAGGACTGGGTAGCTCTGGGCCCAGGACTGGGTAGCTCTGGGCCCCGGACGGACTGGGTAGCTCTGGGCCCAGGACTGGGTAGCTCTGGGCCCCGGACTGGGTAGCCCTGGGCCCCGGACGGACTGGGTAGCTCTGGGCCCCGGACTGGGTAGCTCTGGGCCCCAGACTTATATATGCTTCAATATTATTTCAATAATACGCTTGCGCGTAGGTGTCTTTAGCAGTGGGACGAAAATGGAGGACCCGGAGAAAACCCACGATGTTAAACAGGCTATCCTACTCTTTGTCATGTACAACCGGGGAATCGAAACCACCCCAGCTGACTCAACGACAGACCTTATGATACAGCGCGCACGCGCTAACCAATCGCCCAACCCCGCTACATTTCAGTGAAAACGAAGATTTATATTGATGTCATTGAGGCCCTCGATCCAACTGAGTTTTTCACTTTTTTTTTGGGGGGGGGGGCTTATTAGGGTGAATAACTGACATGACGAGAAACGAAACTAGTTTGATTCATTATTTCTGTACCTCACCCACCCACGGATCATTTGTCTCCCCGGGCGGTTATTATAAATTTCAATTAAAACGAAGATGAGATGAATTTTGGTTATTTTGAGAAAAACATATTTATACCACGGCCGATGTCTCTAGAACGTAGTTTCGTTCATTAGCTAACAGAATCAATATAAAACTTGGTAGGTATCTTTGTAAGGAATACCAGTTCCTTTTGATGCTTGTTTTTCTTTACACATTTAGTTCTTGATCGTTTGATTGTCGCTAACAATGTTATGTTCAGGTCTTCAGGACGTAATCATAATTCATAATCCCCTACAAAACCTAAAATTTCCCGGCAATGCCCCCCCCCCCCACAATAAAACCCCACTCCCCCTTAGAGCCCTAACACCTCTGCCAATCGCGATGTCAAACTTAAGCCACGTGTGTTTATTTTTTGCACTTTAGCTTACGCAACCCTATCGATCTTAAATATAAAAAATGATTTGCACACCAGGGGCGGATCCAGAGAGGGGGGGGGGGAGGCCACCCTTTTTATGAGAAAAGTGTCATAATTTAACCTTTATCGTCAGATGGTGGGACAATTGTGTGATGTCACAATTAATGCTTTACATCAATGAAATTGAATCACAATGTGATCATGTTAATTCATAATAAAAATTGATGTCAAACAGGATGTTGGATTTCTCTGTTTAAAAAGCTCAATGTGCATCGCCAAAATGACGATAGAGACCATGTATTTCTCAAAAAATATTCAAGCTGACAGGGGGGGGGATACATTGTCTCAAGGAACCTGGCAAACCCCCTCCTGCAAATATTCCTGGATCCGCCCTGCACACCTCCCATCCATATTATACAATTATAATATCGTATGTATTGAAAAAAATAAAAGTGATGGGTGTTTTTTTCACCGCTGAATGTATACGCAAATATTTAAATATTTAATAAATTCGTAAATAATTTTTACCTTTGGCCATGATTGTATATCACTGTGAATAAAACCTCTTTTAGCTTCAAGGCCCGATGGTACATCCGCACTACCTTGAGTGTTAAGAAAACATTGACGAGTTTGTTTATCATAGTTAAACGAAACACAAGCCGACCTTAATTGACATTCTCGTGCACATTGTAAAACTTGTAATGGACTTATCTCCAAAAAACTTTCAACATTTAGCTTACTTTGTTCGTTGATTTGCGGGTAAGTTTCCATTTTGGAGCAGGTATTTTTTAAAAGTTCCACATTGTCCCATTGTAGCATATGGAAGAGGAGCCAGAGAATTGTAGCTTCACTATTCATAATGTTTCTCTTTAAATATAAATTATACAACAGCTAAATCTGCCTATTGCCGGTCTTTCTTTAGGTCTGAAATGTTACATAAACTATTAATTAGATATTTATTAACATGAAAACTGTCAGACCGGGGTGGCGACCAGAAAATGCACAAGGTCGCCGGTAAACGTGGACACAGCGTACGAAAATGTCTCAAAAAATTGCAAACTTGAAAACAAGCCGCGTTCTCAATCTTTCCAGGTCAGATAGCAGAACCTTGGCGTTTGTTTTGAACATACTTAAAACACACGCCGTGACTCGGCGATCGTTAGATCCACAGCACGATATTTGGCGTTTCCGCCACGCTTATGGCGATCTTGACACGCTCTGAGACCATTTTCCTTCGCCGTAGCAGCGCAGTAAGGGCGCCACCCAGGTCTGACGGGGGGGGGGGGGTATTAATCAACTCTCGATGACATCTTGTGTGTCGGATTTTCACTGGATTTCAATCCGATCTGCTACTCAACGCTCATTGATGACAGTCTAAAAATGGACAATCGAGACTATATTTTTTTATCGTACCGACTTTAGTAATGATGATCGAGGCTTGGCATAATATTCAATCGCTGCTATCTTGGTCCAGAGTGGAACATGAGACTGAAATTTTCAGCAAACTGCCTTGATATTACCTAGTTTGTAACTATTATAGTGAGAACTGCCAGCTCTATATCTAATCTCCCATAACATATCTTTAATTCTCGCGTATTTATCTCATTAATTAAAAAAGGCACACAAACACTATAAACACTATACTCACCCTACACGTATCGTTACCTTACAGATGGAGCTATAACAGTATACTAACATGTGGTGTTACAGATGGAGTACAAACACTATAACAGTATACTTACATGTGGTGTTACATATGGAGTACAAACACTATAACAGTATACTTGCATGTGGTGTTATAGATGGAGCACAGACACTATAACAGTATACTTACATGTGGTGTTACGGATGGAGCACAGACACTATAACAGTATACTTACATGTGGTGTTACGGATGGAGCTATTCTTGGTTAATATAAGAGTTCGAAAGGAAGCGCAGTACGGTCTTTATACAATGAGCACGGACAAAGGCTTTTGAGAACAATGTTTTTTTCTCGATATCTTCAGGTTTAAAAACACGATGCTTCTTGTATCAATAACGAGTGAGCGACTATTTAATTTCAATTTAATTTCAATATATTTATACTGTAAATTAAAAAAAAAAAAAAAATAGTATGCGTGGCTTGGCAACATAAGATGTTGTCAATGACTACAAAACTGCCATGATAATTCTCCACTGAAATTCAGCTGGGATTAAAAAGTTTAGAATGTCTACAGTTTGTATGTGAATTGGATTATAATGCCTTGATGCAATACATTTGGTTACTAACTGGTGCACACATTTTTATATGCACACATAGTTATTCTGATTGGACGAAAAACTGAGGTTCCCGGAACACGTTGGCGCGCACATAAAAGAACTCTTGACCAAATCCCCGGGGACTCTTTAATGAAACATACAGTCTATTTCAGATCAGGTTTAGCTTAATCCTGCTTACAACGTGTGACCAATCAAGCTAGTTTTGGACAATATTTCCCGTTACTAGGAGATTATAAATACAGAATTTAATTAATCAAGCATCATCAATGTAATTACTTAAAGATACATTATGGGAGATAAGATAAAGAGATGGCAGTTCTCGTTATAATAGTTAAAAACTAGATAGTGTAAAGGTAATTTGCTGGAAATTTCAGTCAAATTGATCCACTATGAGCCGAGAAAGATGCGGGTGAAATTTTTGCATAGTCTCGGTCATCATTACTAAAATCATTAATATAAACAACATAGTCTCGATTATCCACTTTTTATGATTTAATTATCAATAGCCGTTAGCGGCATATAGGAATCTAATCCAGCCAACATCGAAGGCTAGCCTTGACATCGAGAGTTTATTATGGTCTGGATAAGTTAATTAATGTCTAATTGATAATTTAGATAACATTTCAGGCCTAAAGAAAGACTTGTAATAAGCAGATTTTGCTGATGCATAATGTATGTTTAAGATATCACAATTCTTTCACGAAATACCCAATTATTGTGAAGCTTTGAATAAGTGCTGCCGATATGCCACCACGCACGAGACTGAGGCTGAGATTTCCCAACAAGAATATTCCCCCGACCATGTAGATTATCGGCGAAGGTACCCAATTATTGGGAACCATCCCCAATGATTCATGCAATCAGCCTTGTGACCATAGCCTAATTAGATAACAAACCTCATCTCTCAACCCTCCGTGTTTCGAGAAAAGAGATGGTCCTATCTATATAGTTCCACACAGCAAAGCCGAATGCGAATCACATCGGGAATCAGTAAGCAAAATTGACAATAGTTTTTATCAAAACAACGACTGATAATTGTAATATAACATTTCTGCCACACCCAACTACAATTAAGCAGAAAATTCTACCTGACGCGGGTACAAATCCCCTCTTTTTAAATCGAAGCGATAGTAGATTGCTTTTTCCGACATTTTAAATTTACGTTTTTAACACGTAATAGCCAATCAAAGTACTAATCTCATCAGAGTTGCGCAGTAGTAATACGCCGTAATTATGAACGTCCGAATCAATTTAGGTAAAAACAACGCTTGATTTAATTTATTGTCAATATTTGCTGATAAATGAATGTTGTTTCAGTAGATTGGACTGCGTACGTGTATAAAATTAACTTATTTTTAAGATGATACATGCATTAATAAAGAAATTGAGTTTGCCACTTGGAACTAAAGGCATCCAATCGTAGCTAAAAACAAGCACATCAGTGTATCTCAGCGTTTTTAGTTACGTTCTCGTAGCTATAGCTTAATGATTGTCATTTATCAAGGGAATACTCCGTTTTGGGGGCAAAAACATCGGGAGGAATTTTAAATTTGTTTATTTCCACATCGCTGATGATTTTTCCCAGTGAGACCTACGTATGAGCAGTTCACGCACAAAGAATAGCATCGCCAGAATGAGGCTAAGTTAAAGAAGTTAAATGTCTATTCTTTGGAACAAAAATGGGCAACAAAGCAGACATTTAATTTTAATGGAGTTTATCATCAGTTATGTTCGTCGAAATACGAATTAAATGACAGTCACTCACGCCTGATTATTCCAGTCTACATCGGGACTTCGGTTTGACATTTCACTTATTCACTGACATTGCCTCATTCATCAAAAGACTTGATTACAAATGGCGCTAGAGAGCTTAGAGTACACGACGTCGTCGACTGATTTTATATGTTAGATATGAAGAGCCCTTATTTTCACGGTAAGATAACAATATCATCCTAGGTCAGTGCTTATGTCGGGTCTTATCCTCTCCCCCAAATTCTTAAACCTAACCCTAATAATAGATATCGGTGGACTAATAACCCCGCGGACTAGTGAGCATTCATCATACAGACGATGATAAAAAATGTAGTGGCGCCTGTGAGTATGGTAAGCTTCAGGTATAGACGATGATAGTGGAGCCTGGTGAGGTAAGATGGTCACTATGTTTCAGGTATTTTTAGGAACCTTTGTAGTTGTGAATCTACATCGTTTTTGATGAATTGGTAAGATTGCCGCACGCTAAAATTGAGTAGAAGTTATTCTCTAGAAAAGGCCATTTAGTCAGTTTTACACAAATTGAAGTATGATCCCGTTTCTGAGCGGATAATATTTTGTTTACCTTGTATACGGTTGTTTTAACGTCCTTGCCTAACAATACTGATATTAATATTTCAACAGTCACCATGAAGACGCCATTTATTACACCCGGGGATCAAATGTTTACATCAATTTTCATTCAACTGGAAAACCTAACTGACTGAATAATCTATTGTATCCTTTCGCCGCATTGTGTTTTTTTTATAATCCAAACATTACATATCATTTTATCTTAACGTTTCAATATTTAATTTCCCAATGCTCAATATACGTCCTCAGATCTCAACGGTATACTAAACAACTTCTACCCAATTAAAGTGTCATTGTCCTCGAATATTATTGTATTTGCTATTGTGTTCTTCTCTGTCCTAGACACCGATACGACGTGGTGTCCCCTTGTCAGTGGTGCAAAGAGGGGGGGGGGCTGGCAAGGCAACTGTCTAGTCGTTCGGATGGTACGAAAACCCGAGGTCCCGTGTACACATTGGCTTGGACGTCACAGATCCCTTCACTGTTGGAAATGGATATTAGAGTGCCGCTGCCCGTTCAAAATTTCGTTCATAGCACACTGTATGGCGTATGTCCGTCTTCATTAGCCCAGTCGGAGCAGAACTATAGGATGTTAAACCCCATTTCATTTCCTAGACACCGATATGTATTGTCTTCTAGCACGCGAGTTGTGTGCACCTGAAAACCAGATTCTTCAATAATTACCGAGTCAAATATTTGGCCATGGATCACCATTAATTTCCTCAATGTTAATTCTTGTCTTTTTGACTAGCTCTGACTTTTCCTCGAATTTCCGTGGGGTTGAACGCTTTCTACTACAGATGGAGCAACAAGTGACAGTCTCTTTCTTCAAGGAAAAATTGAGATACACAAACTGGAAGTAGCATACAAAAAAACATGTCACTGTCGGCCTACATTTCAACTTTCTTAACTCGTTTATCCTCAACTTAACCAACCTCTTAACTCATGAATATTTACCAAAACCTGGTACAAAATGTATATGCAAACCATTTTCTTCGATTCTAGGCCTACACCAAAACGTCAACAAAGATCGCCACGCAAAGGGCGGGGGGGGGGGGTGCAGGGAAACTGAGAGAAAAACTAAAAATAGCTCTGGTTGATATGGAACAGACTTGGGTTTGCCAATCTCCATCCAAGTTTTCTAAGCAAACAAAAAATATCAGGTTTTAGAAATTCCATTATGAAATCAGCCCTGGTTTCATGTTCATCAGCTCTACGAGTTAAAGATACGTTCCCGTATACAAAGTGGGTGATTTGATGATGGATTTGGACTA